TTTAATTATTAAGAGTATTAAATTAGATTATATCGCTTAAATTATATTAAAAATATTTTATTTTTAAAACTATATTTAAATTTTTAGACTAATAAAAAATATAAGATTTTAAAATTCTAATCTTATTAATTAAGATTAAATTAATATAGAGAAATTCGTTTAAAGACTATTAGATATAGATAATAATATTTTAATAAACTTCGAAAAATAAAAAGTTATTAATTAATCTATTAAATAATTATTAAATAACTTTATTATTTAGCTAATTAATATTATTTATAATAATTTTAATTTATATTAAATAGTTAATTTCTATATATCTAAAGTAATTCTTTATATTCTTAATAAAAATATCGCTTAATTTAATAATTAAATTCTTAATAAGTTCTTTAAAATTAAGATTATTTATAATAATAAAAATTAAGTCGTTAATAAGAAAGATAGCTTTCTTTTCTCTACTAAAATAATAAATATCTTTAAATTAATTTTACTTCTATTCTATTATTTAAAATTAAAATAAAATTATATAATAATACTATTAAGAAATTTAAAATAGCGTATAAATTTATATAATAAAATATATTTATAAATTAAATATATTAAATCTAAAATATTTAATTATTATATTCTTAAAGATAAATATAATAATAAATAATATTATATATTATATATCTCTCTAACTCCGCCTAATTTAAATAATCTATATATTTTCTTTTAATATATTTAATTTTTAATTTAATTAATCTTTAATATAATAATTAATAAGACTTAAGATTAATTATTATAGTAAATTAATCTATATCTATACTTTAAGATCTTTATTTATAATTAATTATATATAACTTTAAATCGAGTTATTAATAAAATCGATTTATTAATTATAATTTTAGATAATTTATTAAGAAAATAATCTATTCGATTAGCGAGATATATTAAAAATAAGATTATTAAATAAATACTTCTTTTTTAAATAAAAATATAATTAATTAGCGATTTATAGTAATAGAAGTAAATTAAATAAATTAAATATTATATAGAAAATAAATAGAGTCTAATTTAACTTAGAATTAGAGCTTTTATCTTCTTTATTAATTTCGTAATAATAAAAATAAATTAAAAACGTATAGTAAGCGATTAAAGTTCGATTTATACTTAGAGCTAAAATTAAAATTCGATTTAACTTAGAAAAATCCAACTTTATAAATTTAATTCATGGGCCTTTACTTATATTATTATAAAAAGATAATAATAATTCTTTCTTATTAGCTTAATATACTATCTTCTATAATTATAATAATCTATTTTAATTACGATTAAAAAAATTGACGTTTAATCTATTTATTTATCTTTTAAATCTATTATCTTTATAGCGAGAATTCTATTAACTTAACGATATCTAAAAACTAAATAAATTAATATTTTCTTTTATAATTTATAAAGATTACTAAAGAGCTAATAAGATAGAATTTAATTATTATTATTAATAAAACTAATTAAGCTAATTAGTAAAGTTATTTCTATAATTATTATATCTCGATAAGAATTTTTAATAAAACTACTACTAAGAGTATAAGAAAGAAGAAAAAGATTATTTTAAAAATTTATTTTAACGAAAATTATTATTTATATATTAATTTAACTACTTAAATAGCATTAAAACTTTCTTATTAATATACTATAAAAAATTATAATTTTATTATATTAATTTAAATTAAATATTTAATTTAATCTTAATTTAATCTAGAAATTAATCTAGAGTAATTAATAATATCGATTTAGAAATATTTTATTAAAATTTTAATAAAAGATTATTTTAGATTACGATTAGCTAATTATAAATAAAATTAAACTTAATAATCTTTATATATCTTAAAATAATTTAAATATAAGAATATATTAATTTATTATTTCTAATATTATTTATAGTATAGCGTTTAGTTTAAATATATTAAATTATTATAAAAGCTCTTTTTAGAAATCGCTTATTAAGAATTTAAATTAGACTTTCAATAAAGCTATTCTTAATAGTATTTTTTTAAGCTTTATAAGCTCGATAAAATATTAGATTAAGATTTTACCGCGGAAATATATTAATAGAATTTTCTAAATCTCTTTATAGTCTTTAATAATAGCGATATTCTTAAGCTAGTTTATAAAGATATAAATATTCTTATAAGAAGTATATTAATTTATATTAATAATAGATTCTTCTTTTTTAAAGATAGAATTAAAGAAATTAATATCGTTAGCTTTTAGATATAATAAGTTATCTTTATTTCTTATAGCGTTATTTCTTAATAGATTAAGATTATCTAATAAACTCGATAGCTCGAGTTAAAAAGTAATATTTTAAAATAATTCTTATAGCGTAGTTTATTATTACTATAAGAATCTAAACTCTTTCTAAGATTAATCTTTTTAAAAAAAAAATTTAATAGAATAAGTGTAAATAGTCTCTTTCGTAAATATAGCTCTAATAATAAATTTAATACTTTCGAAGAAATTTAATATTATTAATTCGAAAGAAGTAATTATAGAAGAAGTATATAAAGTAATATTAGTAAATAAGAAATTTTTAAATTAATAAAATATTAGAGTATTTCTTTCGAAGGTATTAAAAATATCTTAATAAGTAAACTTATTAATAACTTAGTTATATAACTAGCTTAATACTTCTATAAACTATAATTATACTTTAATATATTTATTTCTTACGAAGATATCTCGACTAATTTAAAAAGATTTAAAGTTATTTTTAATAATTCGAATAATTAGATAATAAATATTCTTATTAAAAAGATTTATAAAAGACTAATTACTTTTAAGAAATTTCGAAAGCTAAAATATAAGAATTATTATATCTCTAAAAATAGAATTTATTATAGAGATTAAAAATTTAAAAAAAACTATTATTAAGATTAATTAATAATATCGATAATTATAAAGGTAGATAAAGAAGTAAATATTAAATAAATTAAAATTTAATCTTTTTAGAGAAAAGCTACTTTCTTAGAAGAGATTTCTTTCTTTAAAAAAAGATATAGCGAGGTTATTAATCTAAAAGAAACTTCTTAATAAATAATAAAAGCTCGACGACTTTAATATAAAATAGATTAATAACATTATTAAATAGATAATTAAAGAATTTCTTAAAAAAGAAACATTTATAAAAAAAGAAAGTAGTTATTTTAAAAGTATATATATTAAAGCTATTCTTATATTATAGTAAAAGACTTTATTAAAGAACTATAATACTTTCTAATTAATACTTATTAGAAAATAATAAACTTAATTATTAAATCTCTTAATACTTATTAAGTAAAGAAATAATACTAATAAGATAATTTCGATATTACTATTATTTACTAAGAGTAATAATTTAATTAATATAATATAATTTAATTAATTATATAATAAAGAATCTACTTACTAACTAAGTATTTTCTTATTAAGATCTTCTCTTAACGAAAGATCTTTCTTAATAACTTCTAATAAGATTATTTATTAATTAATTATATAATTTATATAACTCTATTATAAATAAAATATATACTAATTATATAGCTAACGAGTTTTTAATTTTTAAAATAATTATCTCTTTTCTTAATTATCTTAATAAGTATTTACTCGAATAATAATATACTAAATATATTAAGTCTCTAGACTTCGAGATTTATAAATTATTCTAGATACTTATTAACTCGTAGAGTAATTAATAGAATTAAAAATAGATTATTAATCTATTTCTTTATCTCTAATTCTTTTATATCTAAAATAATTAACTTATTCTAAATAATTTTTAATTAATACTCTTTAATAAGATAACGTCTAGTCTTCTCTTTATCGTATCTAACTATTTTTATCTCTTATTCTTTCTTCTATCGTCGTTATTAAGCCTTAACTCTATCTACTATTATAGTCTATCGAGCTTATATATCTTTTAAGATTATATATTTATAAGCGACTTTAATATAAAAATCTTTAGATTTAAAAGCGAGGATAATTATATTTAATTAACTATTATTAGAGCTTAACTAACTATTTTCAATAATCGCTTAAATATAAAAGAACGTTTTTTTAAATCTCTTTAATTATCTAGTCGAAGGAAAGATTAATAATAAAAGAGAAGATCTCTAATTATATCGATTAGAAGATATTTCAAAATATTAAGATAAAATATTAAGATAAAGTATTAAGAATTAATTAAGCGAGATATATAAAAGCTTTAAATATAATAAGAAAGATAATAGAATACGATATAAGAGAAGATTTATTTATTTAGTATTACTTTTAATAGTATATATATAATTTTCTTAATATTAAGTATTTTAACGTTTTCTATATACGCTAATATCGTAAACTATAGAATTCTTATAAATTTATATCTTATCTTATACTTTTATACTTCTTATTAAAAAAATAGAATATAAATTTATAAATTACTAGTTCTTAAGATATAAATTTATAAATTATTATTTCTTAGAATATAAAAATATAAAATATTATTAATATCTCTATATTTATAAATTATTAGAAGAATATTTTAAAGTATTTTAGACTATCTACTCTAATTATTAATAATTTTAATTATCGCTAAAGAGTTAATTAGAAGTATTTATATTTCACGCTATAGACACCTTTAAGAGGCCTCGCGAGGTTTTATAAAACTCTCGAAGAAATATTTTCTAACATTAACTCGCCCTATAGATAATAACTTATAAAATTATACCCCTATTAATAATATCTTACAAAATCATACCCCTATTAATGGTATCTTACAAATTTATACTTCATTGGGATATGAAAATGTAAGATGGGGTATGAATTTGTAAGAATCTCATAGTTTGGGGTATGAAAATGTAATTCGCCCAGCGCCCACTACTCAAGTGTGGTTTGGAAACCCATTCCGACATAAAGCTTTGTTTTGACCAGTCTATATAGAAAACCACCGTCAATCAAAGCACAGCAAAGAACCCACTACCCTGCTTCAACTCGCCGCAATGACTCGATCACGTCAAGCCACAGATCGTCGAGATAAACTCTACAGCCTCATTGCCATCGCTAGTGATGGTGCCCTCTTACCATATCAGCCAGACTACCGTATCGCAGTAGGCAAAGTATACCAAGATTTCACGGTCGCTTGGATCGCTGAATACGAAGCTTGAAATGTGCTATCTCTATGAGTTTATCCGGAAGACACATTGGGAACACCATCCTGGGTGCCGAATCTCGCGCGTTCAAAAGACATTCCTAGCATGGTTGAAACTGTGGAGGATCCCTTCGAAGCCTGCGGTCCTTACGATGAGTCCAAAAGGCTCTCTGTGCGAAATAATACATTGTCAGCCCCAGGACTACTATTGGAAAAGATTGCAAGATCAGCGAGCCGTAGCCTGGAAGTCAGAGTTAGGATTGGCGATTTGCACAAATTTGTAGCAGAAGGTGCTATGGACCAGCTTCATGTACTCCGAGAAGCATTACAATTAACAAGTATGCCGTGCTGGAAGGTTCCCGAACCTATACGCAAACAGGCATTCTGGCGGACTTTACTTGGGGGAAATCGGACCGACAACTGCAGACTACGTCAACATCATGAAAACGATTTCAACAGCTACTGGGAGTTCATGCAGCAGTTCGATCCTGAATTAGAATCTCATTCAACTTGGGATGGCTATGACCTGGTCCGTGTTACCAGTGTAGAAACAAAGGTGATTGACATAGCTAGAGAACGCCGCTTTTGCATGTCGGAAAGCGGTCGCATGGGATGGATCCCTAAAGCTGGAAAGGAAGGTGATATAATAAGCGTGCTCTATGGTTGTTTCGTGCCTGTCCTCCTACGACCGAAAGGCAACGCGTATGAGGTCATTGGAACATGTTACATCTATGGAATCATGGATGGCGAAGCAGTTGCGGCTGCGCAGAGTCCTATGCAGCAGATAGATCTAGTGTGACTTGCCATCGCATGTCTAGAATTAGTAGTTTCGGCACAACTATTGGCGCTACCAGCGTTTCGAGCAGAAGAAGTCCTGTGGCCATCTTTTACCCACTTGTATACGTGTTTTCAACTGATTCTATAGAGAGCTTGCCGTTAAAACATTAGCGTCTAATGAGAATGTCATGGTATAACTTAGTAAACTGACCTTAGGTACACCGAAAATCCGACCCTCTAAGAAAACTTTCAAATCGCGAACCGTAAGCGTCTACACGCAACAAAATCATGCTTCCAACAGCGGCACTATACACTTCCCCCCTTCCTTCGAAACCCGCTCCTCTATCATGGACCCCAACGCACAGCGCAGGAGCCGAAGGAACGAAAGCGGAGCCAGAGGCCATGATCGAGCTCCCTTCTTAAAATTTTAGTTTTCCAGCAGCAGCGACCGAGATAGAACCAACACCGTGCTACGGCGCCGGCCTTAAAGGTGTGTATGCGATCGGCTCGATGCTTGTGGGGTCGCTGCTTTGGAAATCGGCAGTGGTCATGATATCGGAATATAGCGACACGGTTGTTTCAGTTACTCGGCCCGGGGTTTTGGTTCTCCGATCGAGCCGCCGGGAATATCTTCTGGTGGGGTACTGGAAAGTGGGAATAGGTGGTCGATGATGTGACGTGGGAAGGGGGAGGGAAGTTTCGGCTGGTTGTGTTTTGGAGAGTAGCCTAGGATTTTGCGATGAGGATGGTGGGATGGTATACGTTCTCGTAGTTTTATTCTCGTTGTGGATGGACGAGGAAGGGATTGTCCCATCATGGTGTCTAGTCAGCTCTACATACACGCTCGCAGCGAGCTACGGGGCGGGGTCTGCTGGGCGTGCAAATGGACTCTACAAGGGAAAGAATCACGGAAGTGCTTCGTCGAATTTCACAAATCGGTTAAGGATCCAGCAGATGGTGCAAGAGAAAGTCCAGTTATGAGCTAGCAAGGCTGATAGTTGAACAGTTAGGTAATGAGCGATTAACTACCCTGAGGCCGCACATCTCCGAATAAACAAGATCAAACCACGCTTCCACAATATCCACCGCCTATGCTGCTTCCCGTCCCCTCTCATCATGATGACGTCTTCCAGCTTTCTTGCGAGCCGCATTCGAGAAACGCGCTGGCGGTGAGGCGACCTATAGTCCAATGTCAACGGATAATCCCACGTGAGCGTTTTACCACACACGCACCGAATCTCGAACAGGCCGAAGCCTTTAGTAGTCGTAAAGGTCGCCGTCGAGGTCGTCACGTTTGTCGATTTTGGAAGTACGCTTGTATTCGTAGAGGTCACCGTCGGGGTCGTCGCGTTTGGCCTTCTTGTACTCGTACAGGTCACCGTCGGGGTCGTCGCGTTTGGCCTTTTTGTACTCGTACAGGTCACCGTCGGGCTCCTCGCGTTTGGCCTTGTACTCGTATAGGTCGCCGTCGGGGTTCTCGCGTTTGGCCTTGTACTCGTACAGGTCACCGTCGGGGTCGTCGCGTTTGGCCTTCCTGTACTCATACAGGTCACCGTCGGGCTCCTCGCGTTTGGCCTTGTACTCGTACAGATCACCGTCGGGCTCCTCGCGTTTGGCCTTGTACTCGTACAGATCACCGTCGGGCTCCTTGCGTTTAACTTTGTATTCGTATAGGTCGCCGTCGGGGTTCTCGCGTTTGTCTTTCTTGTACTCGTACAGATCACCGTCGGGCACCTCGCGTCTGGCCTCGGGGGAAGCAGCAACATCACGCGTGGAATCTGGACTGTCGGTCAGTCGGCGACGATCACACGAGGATTGGCTAGGCTTATGGACTTGGAATGACAACAGAGGCTGCCAGAGAGGCGAGCCAGAGGGCCAGGAGGGAAGCTTTGATGAGCATTCTGTTGAACTTGGGATGGATGTGAAGATGGTTGTTGGATCAGACTTGGGAATTTGGAAGTGGTAGTGAAGTGAAGTGATAGGTGATATCCAAGCTTCCTGGATCGACTGCTGCTGTTGTATAGCAGACGGCCGATCCAATTGCAATATATACTTCAACAACACGCTAGTTCCAGGCGGTGCAGCGGTCTTCGTCGGTCCCAACTGCGTCACAGATGCAGGTGAGAGAGTTCATGAGTCGCCAAACCAGAGATTTGAGGACTCCATGAATCGCAGAAGCAGGGTAATGCTTCTCCAACTAGCAGGACGCTTCGATGTAGCTCTTTTTCTCTCTCGCTCATGGACTCCGCCTGCATCTGCAACAAGCACGCACTATCGATGGTCTGATCACGGACCATGCTTGGAGTACCAGCCAGTCGATCACTACCTTAGCCTTATGTGGGAGAAGTCCGGCTACTAGTGATACCACGTACGAGCCAGTGTTGTCTCGCTTAATACCCCACCAAAACTACACGCACAAATGAGTTCTAAACGATGATTGGCTGGGCAAGTTGCTTCTGAATACTTGAAAAGTGTTATTGAATATAAAATCGGTGTCTCCATCGGACATCGAACAGAATTCCTCGGAAAATTTACGTAAAAAAATTCAATTGGGGGCGACGCCGAGATGTACCTTGATCGATTCATGAAGGACCGAGCTCAGCTTACGTCAGATCTTTATACTCGGGCGGGCAACTAGTCTTTCCTCTCGGCAGTCCGGCACGGACGTACCCACCAATCGAACTCGATTATGGTACCCTCAGTGAGCAGTTCAATTGCTGGGTAGATCCGTGCCGCACGGTCGGGAGAAGTACACCCGCGCTCGCCCTTAAAAATTCTCCGAAGGAATCCTTTTCCCCGCATGAAACGAGTATACGCTAGTAATTTCAATCGACGACAACGTCGACATGTGATCGATTCATGCGAGAATAATATCTCCGTTTCTACTGTGCATGAAAAGAAAAGGATGCTTGTCATAGTGCAGAAGTCGGCCGCTAATCCACGGGACGTGCCATATCCGACTTAGTCTGTGGGCAAGATGCGATCCAGACAGTATAACGTAGGTATCTGATGTACCTTAGTTGCATGTAGAGATTTCGATGATGCTGGCTGGAGAGTCCGCGTGACGTTAAAGTTTGAATTGGCTATACTCAACGGTGTTAAGCAGGGTCTGATGAAGTCTCTACATCTCGAGGGGTCTCTTGGTGTTGATACCTGCTTCAGAGCTGGGTTCGAGAGATTAACAGTGCGTCATGCCGCATCTAGTCGTCCTCCGGAAGGATTCGTAGGGGAAAGAGGGATGAGTGTTCCAACAAACGAAACCGAGATGTGCATATCGAAACCTGACGGGGAGAACGCGGATCAATCAGAGGCGACGACCTGCCAGAGAGAGCGAATGTCCTTTTCAGGACCTTCTTGAGGCCTCCACATTGGCTGCACACCGCCCCACTGTTGGTGCTTGGCAACCCCGCACGAAACAGTAGATTCTGAAAGACCTTGATCTAATGCATGCTGGACATCATTGCCTGCTCGAGTATAAATAAGGACCCACTTTTGCGAGGTGGGGGACTTGCGCAGCTAGTCGAACTGCTGCATAGTAATAACACAATTATTGATCGACAGTGTAAGCGACCGAGCAACTACGACCCCCAAATCCATCTTGAGCAAGCCGAGAGTATCTCGATTCCAGAGAGCTGAGTCTGAGCTGCTCAAATTGGACAGTGGGGCATTCATCTTGGTGGTAGTCCTCCAAAAAACCCGCCCAGTCAGACTTTGCCCTCTAACACATCACACAGAGAGCAAACATTCAAACCGCAAGCCCAAAGAGCGCTCGAATGGATAATTTCAAAAGCAACAGGCGCTCTTCATCTGAAGAGAGGTACACAAATGATGAAGAGAGGCTTCTAAAGCATGAATGTCACCAGGAAGAATTTCAAGGGCGAAACCGCAGAACCTACTGCCGCTCGCCCTACGCAATGCCCACATTTCACATCATTCTGATATTTGTGTACACACTGGGATTTCTCTTTCTATCATACAACAGCGTTCGTCCTAACACGCCCGGGATGAACCTAGTCTTTTGTGAGCATCAAAACCCAAGGCAGTGTATCCGCAGAAAATGATGTGAGCATTCGGCTGACCTCCATGACCTATGACAAGCACCGCTCAATGAAGCCCTTATCCCCGAGAAGAAGATGGTCCACGCTACGTTGAAATCGAAGAATCCATTCAAAGGCCCCCCCAGCCCAGAATTAGACGACGCATGGCACCAACTATTTGTGAACTCCAACGTGCGCGTCTCTGCGGACGACCTTCAGAAGATCAATCGTACCTCGGTCCCGCTTGGAGATGGGTCAGGATACTACGCAATTCCTGGTGAGTTTGAGAGCCATGCATCAGCTTGTATTCTCAACACAGGGGCCATAATGTGGATCTGTGGCTGATGATATGGCTTAACAGATGTTTACCACCAGCTACACTGCCTGGTGAGCCGTAACGAATAATTGCAGATGGATGCCTTGGCTAACCAGCATTAGAAATTCCTTCGACAGATGCTCTATCACGACTACTACCGTATCAACAAGCCAACAAATCCCATACACATTGGTAAGCCGTCGGGCTGACTCTGAAGGTTTCCAAGTCTAACGCAGACGCAGACCATTGCATTGATAATCTTCGTCAAAACCTCAGTACGCACAAAGTATCCAACCAGCAGCAGGAATTTTTTTTAACGAAGATGGTGTATAGTGTGCAAAGCCGATGTCTCCCTCCTGACTTTCGACTGGGTTTCAAACGATCGAGCACCAAAGCCGAACTTCGACATCGAACACGAATGTAAGAACTGGGAGAGCATTGATGCGTGGGCCGAAGACCACGCCTTTGACATTTTCGACGAAACGATCCTTGTCCATCCAACCTTAGGTACGTCCAAGCTCGCTCGTGGAACGTATCTCAAGCTGACTGAGGGTCGCGACCGCCTCTTAGGTCCTTCGTTCCCGGAGGCCGAGTTCAAGAACACTGGGAAGATCCCGGGACATCCTGGCTTCCTTCATGAGCATGGCGGGATGGTGGAATGATGACGAAGGCGTGCCAACACGACTGCGGGTTTGGTAGTAGAGGGCCAATGCGGAGTGCTTCTGGTTTGCAAGGGACAGTACGTTGTAGGAAGTTGAGCGTTGGTGGTGTTTACTATGACACAGATCTCGGGTGGTAGAAAGATGCTCACATACTCTCGAGTTTGAATTGCTATCAAGATAATAAGAGAGCACTCAAGGGAAGATTGAAACGAGGGAAGCTTTGATCACGTGGATGGCTGACGGCGAGGGCGATACGTAGATTAGATTACATAATCTATCCATTACCCGGCCAATCAGATTAGGGCTATCTCGTATCTCACCCTCTAATGAAGACTCTACTCGTCATCAATTTAACAACAAGTACCACCCGAGGACCTCGTTAAGAGAGCGAAAGCCAAGTACATAAAGCAAGGAGCCCAGTAATATGCGCAAGGGCAGCATCAGAGAATAGGTACGTGCTTTGGGAGTAAACATCTGGATTTGAGCCGTGAGCGGCGGGGCGCCTCGACTGATCTCGAGGTTGGTTGTATCTGAACATGACAACTGGTCCGAAGGAGTAGTTCGACAGCAAGCCTCGCTCGCCTTGGTGGGACGTCTCGAAGCTACACTTTTGTAGGTAGTTTCAGACGTTCCAATCGTTCTACAGGCCCACGGCGGACTTTCCCGCAAGTTTGACGCCAGAATCACCTACGTCTACAGAGTACGGAGTAACATCTCTGCATTTGGAACGGAGAAGAAGTTCAAATTGAAGAGCAATGGTAGAATTGGTGATCTTGACCGTGCTTGCTGCTAATCAAAGCTTTTCCTGCCTTTTCTCTACTTGAATTAAAAGTGAAAAATCTACTGGTTGACATCAGAGCGAAGATGTGTTTGGTAGCTATTCCCTGTTTGCAGAACAAGGCTTTGAGGCAGATGCTAGATGCCTAACAACCCGTCATCTGTTCAACCGTGCAAAATTTGCCGATGGAGGGCGTGGGGTATGTTGGCCTCAGCTATAAGCAGGACAGACGTCGCTAGTAGGGATGCACGACGTAGGCTCCTACTCTGCGAAAACGCTGTGCGCCTCTTCTCATTGCCTGCTTCCCAGTTCTTCCAACGTTACACTCGTCTCCGATGCGGTCGAGGCAGTCTACATCAGCGACCGCTTCCCTGAGCTCAATCTGCTCTTGCCAAAGCAAACCCTCCACCGCTCCAATTATCTATATTGCTTCGAGTGGTTCACTATCGACTTACGAAGGTCCATCGCAGTTGATTACAATAGCTTATGCTATGGGAAAATCATCCAGGTGACCATCTTTAGTCTGGTGGCTTCGCAGATACCTCAATACGCCACGAACCCAGGGACATTGACCGTGATCTCTACCATAGATGCTTGGAGTCAAGAGACAATACAGGCGGTAGCCTCTACTGGCTGGGGTTAGCGATCGACTGAGTTTCATATTGGCCATGCCTTGTTACTTACAATGTGCCATCCGATAGTAAGAGAATGGCAGGCATGCCCACCGTCGACTCCGGTACCAGCGCCAACACCAGCGCCAACACCACCGCCTTCTCTTCCTGAAATTTTACAGATGTAAGTCCAAGAAGTCTAGCTTCACGATCTGCGGCTTTGCGTTGGTCATGTTCAGCAATGAAGGAAACCACAGACTCCTTCTCCCAGCTCGTCTGGTTCCCGAGGATCATCTACCATAATCTTAGGCAAAACCGCGACAAAGCGTACCACAACTTCGACCACTCCATTCACGTCCCAAAGCGTCACCGTCACTACACACTTTGGTGCTCCGAACTCGTCTAATTTTGGAATGTCATCCACTGTAAGTTTGGGTAAAGCTGCGGAGCAAGCTTACCACAGCTTCGGCAACTCCATCTACGCCTAACAGTATTACCTTTATTACTCACACAACAAATAACGCGTCTTCCACCCTAACGTCAGCTGCTTTCCAGGGATTATCTACCGTCGTCTCGGGTGAAGCTGTCATCAATGGTACACTGACGATGACTCAATTTGTGTTCTTGGCCATGATGAAAAATCTTCTAAACGGCACCAAGAGCGTAGCAGCCCCCACATCTTTACCGACGAATTTCGGCGCCATCAATTGCAACCAAGAAGGCTGGGGCCTTTGTCTGTCTTGCACGCCTGCCGGAGTTAACCCCAAGATTCGTAAAGGGACCACCATCACCATCACTCGTCTCCCAGAGCCGCCGGATATATCGCTTTCTCGATGTCTTTTCTCCTTTCTGTGTGCCAACCCGCGGCCGGGGACGAGTGCTCAGACTGTAGAGGGCGTCGAAGACGAAATCCAAGTGAATCAGCTGACTGTGGATGTCGATGGGCGAAATCCCGGAACCTTCAGCGACACCAACTACAAAGACACAGCCCGCCACCACCGCTTCTAGTTCCTTCACATCGTCTGCGAGTTCGGTACCTACTAGTTTTGCGTTTTGTCGGAATAGTGCCAAATACACGGCAATCAAGGACGCTTTCGATGGCTCCCTGTATGAACTCGCTGACCCATCTACTATCTACGTGTCAGTCGATGAGGACATGGGTATTTTGTTTTGGTTAGCAGATTTGAACAATGAGCAGATACAGAACCGAAGCAACCACGGGGTAAATTTAAGCAACCTGTAGCCCCCAAACTCCCACCGAATTCACAGAGCTCTACTTCCAAAACTTGGGAGGAAATGACACGGAAAGCTCTTTGGCTGCGCGTGGAGCCTCTTCGCTAGACGAGGCTGATGAAGGACGCCAGGCAAAGTGGGGGGGGGGGAGAGCTTCCGTAGAAGCAAGAGCAATACCGCCTCTACACCACGGGTGTTGTTCTGCAGTTAAATGAAGATCCAAGCTTAGCGATCTTTTTGCAACAAATTGGTCATGCCAATGGTCAACGGGCTGGACCCCAGGAGCCCGTTTCGAACTTGGATGACTATGCATACAACATCGGACAAGGGACTGGAACGATCGTTTATCTAATCGATTCGCTCTTTTCAACTTCGACTTCATTGAAGTCTTTACTACGATCTGTTGATTCCGAATCTTAGCTTAGCTCATCCATGTTGGTGACACAAAGCCAGGAATTTCCCAGCACAGACTCGTACGGCAGTATAGATGTGAAGCCTGAGGAAAGCACCTCCTCCGACGAGCATGCGATAGAATTTGCAACCGAGATAGCGTCAAAGAGCATCGGATCTTGCAAAGGTGGTCAACATTGTGCGGTCAGGACTACCCCACACACCGCGTACTCTTCAGTTGATCCAAGAAGGTGGCCTGCATCAGTAGATGCGCTACGGAAAACCCGCAAGGATATCAAGGACAACAAACTTCAAGGCACGGCTTATATCAACATCTCTCGGGGATTCGAAGGCGCTACGTAGGCCGTGACGGACAAGATGATCAAAAGCGTGACAGAAGCCGTCAATGGAGTCACGCAACTTGATGCTCTGTTGACAATGGCAGATGGGGACAATGGCACACCCGTCACCACTTATCCTCAAATACAACAGTACTGGGGCGAACGAACAACAGGGTGGTCGTCACAGGAGCTGTGCATTTGGCGGGCAACGCTTGGCGTTATCAGAGCACCGCGAATTGGTTTAGAAACGAGTTGGCAATGGCACTACAATCATGGCAACGGACCAGGGATCATCATGCAGCCCATTAACAATCTCCGAGACAACTTTCAATGAGCATCCTCTCAGAATGAGCAGAGAACAGAACTCATCTGATCATGACGACAGGTGCGCCAGGGGTGACTGGTCTACTGGCCCGCCAACATATGACCGATGCCAAATACAATGCGAGATCTATAAAAAACAATTTTTCGGATATCGACATACTCGCTTCCTCCTACCCGACGGTTCAACGGGGCCCTGTGGTGGCATATGACAACATCAATGCAGGGCCGCAAAACGTCAGATGCGGCCTCGTGGTGGCTAAGCGACAGGATGGCGGCGATGATGGAAGACGTCTGTAGCCCTGAGCCACTCTCATCGGCCTCGACAATGACCACCACCACCACCACCACGACGTAGTCCCCCAAACCGATCGAAACGCTATATCAATTCGGAAGACCCGAGGATCAAAAACCGGGCCTGGATTTCGACAACTGCACCTGCCATGGTCTCTGCACTGGAGACTGTGGGCCCAGCGGTGGTATTTCGGACGAGACTTTTAGCCCCGTGTGCGATTCCGCCCCCCCCCGGAACACTGGGATGTTGGCAGTGCGAGCGAAAGATCTGGAGGGTTCGCCGCGGTTAGATCTTGGCTTGTCATATGTTGTAGAGGCAAAGGGGTCAAGGTTGTCACAACGTGCGGCGGGAGGGCCGGGACGCGTTGTCTTGAAGCGCGGTCTTAATTAGAACGGGAAGTATATGTAGAACGAACGATACCGTGTACATTACATGTCTCAGACTGTTCCGCTACCATCTTCCACATTTATTTCCGTCCCATCTCACATACACTCCGTGGCCATAGCGTCACATGGAAGCGGCAGACCAGCGAGCTTGTACCAGCATGGCTTGAGACCCACGCTACCTCGAAGCGGACGACTCCCTCTGGCTTCCTGAACCATGACGAAGTTTTTGCTGCAAGAAGAAAAGCCTCAACAGCCTGATTTCGGAATCGACGCAACCTTCCATTTTAAAGAGCGCAGACGCAACGACTACTCGGTCAATTGAGTTCTGTGCCTCCGCATTAGCGAGCCGCTGGCTATGGTTTTGTTCGCTTGCTGAAGAACCCTCTGGCGGTCTTTTGCGATTCTCGCCTCGGTGACCGCTCGTGCATGGCTTGTCAGTAACCTCTTGAGCATCCCGGCAAGATCTTCGCCATCATCCTCTGCCCCCTCTTCAACGACTGATGCAAGCTCCTGCGGTTCTTGTGAGCGCCGGTGATGGGAGAGGATGGCGTATAGGTCACCGTGCGATACGTCAGGACTGTTCTTTCCGGTAGCTTCTTTGCCTTCCTGTAGGAGCTCCGCGGTCTTGGTGTCCAACTTCGCCTGCAATTCCACCATCTGATTGCGCTCGATGCGGAATTGAGAGACGATGTTCTTCGCGTTCGCATCTCTCTCTATATTCAACGCCATCTTAGCGAGCTTCATCTCTTCTACGTCTCTCTCAAGCGCTCGAGGAGTTTGCAGAGCTCTCTGGAGAGTTGACTTTTCCTCCTCCATATCTGCCGACCGTTTCTCCGGATCCGCCGTCATGCTCCTCACGTGCTCGTTGTAAGTTTCCCATTCTCGTTCCAGCGTAACTCGATCCTGGTTATGATCCCTTACGATGTCTTCTCTTAGTCTGCCAACCCCTTGTTGACTGTTTCTTTTCTCAATGCAAGACTCTCGTTCAAGGCTCTCTTTTCTCGTTCTAGAAAACCCCTTTCCTTACTCACTTGCTCTTCATTGGCTGGTATTTTCTGCATCATCACGGTCCCAGTCGGTTCGTATTTTGTGCCAAGAATGCGAAAGGCTTCCAATAAACCAGCGTCGACTGACCTTTCCTTGCTTGAGAGCGAATCCAAGTATGGCTGACAAGCGCGGCGACTATTGTGTCATACCGTTCTTCCGCCACATATTGCGGAATCGCTTGGCCTGCGATAGAGTGGGTGAGATTTCAACGGATAAAGGCCAGACTGTAAGACTGCAAATTTCGGTTCGTTCACGTTTTTCGATGCAGAAGATTGGCATCAGTGCTCGCATAGCAAAGGTACCGCCAACCTGCTATAACACTACTAGTTGGTGGAGACGAAAATCGACTCGCTTGGCCATCTTCGCTGGTGGCCATGAAAAGCCAATACTCTCCAGGCTGCGGACTTTTGCTCGGCTCAGGGCCCTCGAAAGCGAATATTTGCAAGGCGGTCATGTGGCGTGCAAAGCATTGACCGGCTGTTCTCAATACGACGACGGTCATCGTTTTCTGCAGCGAAGTGTGCGAGTACTAGTACAGAACACTTCCAAGTAAAAAGTAGATAATCAAGTCGATTGCTTCGAGTTATGTGCTGCGCAATCAAATTTCCGTATGCGATATCCGTACGCGAGCTTCCAACCTTCCCCTAGTGCCTCTTCTCTACGGAGTGCATACTGTATGGTACTGCTCCTCGAACCTCCAGTGGGAAGCCACAACGTGGTGAGCCAATGTTCTCGCTACCTGTGGGGGACGCAATAGCTCAAGCCCGCTCCACTGCTGTTTTACTGTGCTGCCTTTGGTGTGATGGCGATCTTGGTCGCTGCTCTGGACACAAATTGGAGATCGAAGCCCTCGCAAATCTAATTCTATTTTCTCTCCTCTTGACAGCAAACGTCTCAGGCATGACGCCTACCGTATCGCCAAACTATCTTAGGCCAGCGCGTGAGTACCGCAGCCGAGATGAGTGGTTTCGATCACATCGGTAACCTTCTTACTTCGTCCAAAGACCAATATTTCCTCATATTATCAACGGAGAGCTGGTCAACTTCGTCTTGCAGATGGGCCCAGAGAACCGTGCCGAACGAATCCATGATTTCTTTGAGCTCGTTCATTCGCATATCACGTTTCCCAGCTTTGCAATCGTCAATGTATGCTTCAAACTTATCGAGGCCATTGTGTATCTGCTTGTGCTGAGTAAGGAGTTCCAACTCCTTCTTGAATGCTGGCATTTTCTGCGCAAGTACGGGAAAGATGTGCTGCTCCTCTGCAAGTGCGATTAGTGGGTGGAGAACATTGTGAGCCCTAATAAGATAGATATACCAATGGTATGATGCATGGTGAGATGATGAGCGAACTCTGAGCCGGTGTTCAGGAATTGTCTTATGCTCATATTCGCAGGGCGTTTCCCGCTTGAACAAGCCCCGTAGAGCACCTTCCAAGTATTTCTGAAGTTGTTATGGAACCACTCCATAGTTGTACCCATTCTGGCGTAAGTGTCTCTGTCTGTGGGACTGAGAGGCGGCAATGCTCCTGCCATAATTATAGTTCTGTGAGATCGCTGACGAGTGGTTGGACACAAGGTTGGAGAAGGTCGTTTCGGCAAGCGATTGGTTGTGCGAGGCAAAGAACGCAACATGAAAAGTCGGGATTGGGAACTGACCGCTTCTTAAAAGCATTAGAGAGCTCGAGGTTTGATGCCGGCAGTTGAATTAATAAGCTCGGCAGCAGGGACATCCGATAAACGCACTAGCGCTTAATCATCGGGAAAACTTTCTTCAACTGGTCCGAGGTTCAATCTTATTCTGGAGGGGCTCGAAGGGAGGACTTACACTTGCACGAGCTGGGCCAAGCTCCTACCAACAAAATGGCCGAAGATGGCATGTTGATGAACTTCTTCATAGGAGAAGACTCATTAGGAACAAAAGCCGTTTTCAAAGGCGGCCGCTGGAGAGACAGACTGCAAGCAAAGAAAAGCTCACAGCGCCGACGGGAGAAGAATCAAACGAACGGGACACTTACAGGAAGCAATACCGTCGCGGTCCCTACAAAGACCAGGGAACCTAGTCTAGAAGAGGATAATCCAAGGTCTGCCAAGAGACAGAAGGTCAGTGGTGCGCAGTCTGCTCAATCTAGGAACAATCATGCCAAGTCGAAATCGCATGAAGTTGTCTCCTCCCTCTTCACCTACAACCCTGCCACCAAATCATCAGCATCGAAGGCAAAACAAGCGGAAGAAGCTCCAGCTCCGTTACCCTCCAACGCTCCTCTCGATGCCAGCCTCTCCACTTTTACCTCTCTCGGCCTCTCCCCGTTCCTCTCCACCCATCTAATCCAAAATCTCAATCTCACCGCCCCAACCGCAATTCAGAAAGCAACCATAACGCAGCTACTCCGTGAAGATAGCGATGCCTTTATACAAGCTGAGACTGGATCTGGGAAGACGCTGGCGTACCTTCTCCCAATATTGCAGCGGATAATGGCCCTGTCCAGTGTGGCGCCCTTCACCCCGACCGGAGACACAGACCCAGCGGAGAAGGAAAGGAAAGATGAGAAGAAGATCAACCGCACATCCGGTCTCTTCGCCCTCATCCTCGCCCCAACCCGTGAACTCACGCACCAGATCTCAGCCGTGCTCACCCGCCTCCTGCGTCCCATGCCCTGGCTTGTCGCTGGCACTGTCACAGGGGGGGCCGTCAAGAATCACGAAAAGGCGCGATTACGAAAAGGTCTCAACATACTTGTCGCGACTCCTGGTAGACTGATGGATCATTTGGACAACACAGAGGTCCTGGATGTAGGAAATGTGCGGTGGCTAGTGCTGGACGAGGGAGATCGACTCATGGAATTAGGGTTCGAGGAGGATATCAAAGGCATTGTCCAAAAATTGGAGAAGCGGAAAGACGAGAAAAGGGGGGAATGGAGATTGAGAAAAAGGGTGGAGGGACTGCCGGAAAAGAGGACCACCGTTATGTGTAGCGCAACAATGAAGATGGGAGTGCAAAAACTGGGGGAGATAAGCTTGAAAGATGCGGTGCATATCAAAGCTGATCCTGGACTGTCCACCGACTCAGAGAGCGCTACGGGCAGTAAGCAAGAGGACAAACAGACGGCTTTTCTAGCGCCAGCGCAGCTGAAGCAGTCCTATATCGTGGTACCTCCTAAGCAACGCCTTGTAACACTCGCCGCGCTACTCAAGCGGACTTTTGCAAGGAAAGGTTCAGTAATGAAAGCGATAGTCTTTCTATCCTGCGCCGACAGTGTGGATTTCCATTTCCAAGCCTTCTCACGAAAAGAGGCCCAACCGCCAAGAGAAACCACGTCCTCTGATCAAAACACCAGGAGTAACAAAACACGCAAAACACCCGGGACTCAGGATGCTTCGACCCCAGCGGAGATGCCAGAAACAAGTCGAAAAAGTGAGAAGCCAGAATTTCCCACGGTTGCGCCCGCGTTCAGCTTGGCTTCACCTTCAAACCCGGGTCTAACGCTCTATGAACTCCATGGCTCTCTAGCCCAACCTCTACGAACAGCCACCCTCCAATCGTTCACGCGTTCGTCTAATCCCTGTATCCTCCTCTGCACAGATGTTGCCTCCCGTGGTCTTGACCTGCCGAACATCGACCTGGTAATCGAATACGACCCGCCCTTTTCTGCAGACGACCATCTGCATCGTGTGGGGCGAACCGCAAGGGCTGGCAAAGAGGGTAGAGCGTGTTGTTTCTTGATGCCCGGGCCGGAAGAAGGCTATGTGGAAGTACTGAAGGAGGGTGCAGGTGAAAGTGCCATCAAGGGAGAGGGAGCGGAAGACGTCCTGCGCAAGGGATTTGGAAAACAGACTGCAAGCGCCAAAAACAAACTGGACGGTACCGCCACCAATGGAGGGAAATGGGACGATGAAGCGACAGACTGGCAGCTTGAGCTCGAGCGCTGGGTCATTGAGGATAAGCGAGCGGGGGAGATGGCGCGGAAGGCGTACGTGAGCCATGTTAGGGCGTATGCCACGCATGTTGCCAAGGAGAGGGGCATGTTCGATGTGAAGGGGTTGCATTTGGGACACCTAGCCAAGGCGTTCGCACTGAGGGAGAGGCCGGGCAATATGGGTCGAGGGAACACCGTCGGAGGTGGACACCCGGCGAAACGGGAGAAGAGGCGGCCCGGTGATGGTGGTGGTGCCGGCGGTGACGGTTCGGTGGGAGAAAAGAGGCCGGGGAAGGAAGACTCGGACCTGGCCCCTAACGATGGGCGGGACGCGGCGAAGAAAATGCGCTCGAAGATGAAGGAGCATATGGCCGGTGCCAGCGAATTTAACATCGGCTGATTACCCACCCCCAGCGTTGTCCGCAGGCTTCAATAGATATCCCACAGCGACACTTTCCCATCCTTGGCGCCCGCCACGAGCCAATGCGTGCCCTGCGCTTTCTGATCCCGCCGCCGCTGCACAGTGCTCACCACCGATCCCTGCGCCTTCATCGCCTGCCCATCCCCATCCCCGTCCCTCCCATCCCCCGCACCGTCACGATCGGCGGCCGGCTCCACGGCCGCGAAAGCCGTCGCGTAGCAGCCCACCCGGTGCCACTTCAGCACCGCGAGCTCCTTCATCGTCCGGCCCGAGTACACCCTCGTGTGCGCGTCCCAGCCCGCGGTGGCGAAGACCCGGCCGTCGGAGCGGTACCGCAGCCCCTGCTGGCCCGAGTGCTGGGTCTGCACCACCTTGAGGGGTTTCGGTTCGGTGTTCCAGATGTTGTGGCCCAGGGGTAAAGGGTGCTTGGCGAGGGTGGCGTCGGCGGCGGAGGTGAGGTAGTGGTCTTTGGACGGGGCGATGGTTAGGGAGAGGACTGGGGGGGGGTTAGATGGGGGGGTTTTTTGGGGGGGGGGGGGTGGGGGGGGGGCTGACCTGGTTGGGTGTGAGGGTTTGCGGAGTAGAGTTTTTGAAAGGGGGCGCCTGGGTCGTTTTGCACGAAGACCATTGTGTGGCCGCTTTCGTAGCCGGCGGCTACTTGGATCCGGGTGGACTCTGCTAGGATGTTCAGGGCCATGACCATGCCTGGTGATATCAGTGATGGGAGCTTTTGGGGGTTTTGTTCGGCCCACCGGTTGTGACGAATCGGTCTGCGTTTATACCGGCAGCGCGGTGCTCGGAAGGGAGCTGGTATATGTCAATCTGTACATAAAATCAGTATGAATAGCGGATGTCGGTCACGGACGGTCTGCGTACGCCACCGGAATCCACAGTGTTTGGCACAGCGATCAGAATCGGGCATGGAACGTCCTTGTCTTGCAAGGCCTTGACAGAAGAGAGGACTTGCGGCATGCCGTCATGACACATTGCAAAAGCACAAAAGTTCAACGTGTTGACCGGGAGCGCGTGCAACAGCCACGGCTGCTTCCTCGAGGTGAGGGCGGCATCAACGGGAAGTGTTTTGTCCATGGCGAGCTCGTCTGCCAGACCGAGCTGCCATACGAGTAGCTTGTGATCTCTGCCATGACTGTAGCCTTTCGAGTTAGCCGGCGCACGGGATCACCCATCCTGGATCATGTACGCACGTGATGATCCGATCTGAGCCCCAGGATCCTACGCCCAAGATGGCGTTGTCGTGAGCCTTCCATACGGCCACCGGTCTCTTGAAAGACAGGTTCCACGACACGACCCAACCCTCGGCGTCGGCTGTTAGGAGTCTGGTGTTGCCCTGTGTGAAGTGTAGGGCGTGGATCTGAGCAGAGTGGCCTCGAAGAATGAAAGCTGGCTGTGCGGGAGGAAGCAGCTCTGTGGTCATGATGGGTAGGGGAAAGATAGGCTGCTAGAGAAAGAAGGGGTGCCTAATGCAGGAAGCGTCGATATATATCATGGAAGAAGAGAGCGGCAGAGCGATAAGTCTGCCTCCGGAAGGGGGGGACTGCTTGATGTTTTGACTGAAATCCCAAAAGCCAAAGAGCTACAGTCTGGGGGGTTGTGCGGTTCGGCACCCATGAACTTTGGCAGTTGGTGGGCCAAGGTAGGTAAAGCGGGAGAAGAGATTGGTCTTTGCGCAGCGAAGAAACGTGTTTTTGTAGGGCTTGGCCCCCAAAGTACAAGTACCGGTCGAGAAAATTGAAGCGGAAGAGAAAATTTACAGCAACTGCGGAGGCGGAAGCAGAAGATTGGAGGGTATGATTTTGATGCTACAAAAACGGACTTGACCTTTGACCTCGGCAGAGTAAAGGGATTTTGGCAGTAGTATGTTGGCATGCCTCGGAGCGGCATTGCGAAGATCCTACTTATTGCTAGACGTTTAACGAATGGCGGGGGGTGGCTTATGTTTGGTGGCCGGGACAACATTGAGGTTTGATACTAATCAGGTAAATGTGTCAACATTCAGAAATTATAGGTAGGTACTTTTAATATTATTTATTGTAGTTACCGGTAGGACAAAGGAAAGCCGAGAGAGAGAGAGATACGGTGCAGCAGTAGTACCTAAGTACAATGTTGATTTCTGCCCTGCCAATCAATCTGCTGGACCAGGTTCAATGCCGGAAAGAAAGTCTAAAAGTCTAGAACCGCCGCTGACGTCTTTACCGACCTCCTCGGCGAATGTATTTACTCCAGAGTAAGGCCGAGGGGCAGCAGAACGTTCATCTTCCATCCAGCATCTTTCTTTTCTCTTCTTCCTCTTCTCCATCTTTCTCCACGTATTTAAGTGAAGTCTTTGGAGTCCGGTGTCATTGGTTCGGAATTATAAAGTACCTACTTTTAGCAAGACAGGAATTGATGGTGGGACCGTGGGAAGAACCCTGCTCCAAAATTCAATTTTAAGCTTTGCCTCGTGTCTGGTTCAAATCGACAGCAAAAGAGTTGACCAAACGGAGCACCAGGATCCCTCCAAAGCCGAAAATTCAAAGGAAGAAACAACCGCCCGGTCGCATCCCAACGCTGCGCCATCAACCCATCAAAGCCCCTAAGCCCCTGTCAAAAGGGTGCCCCCCCTACCAGGCCCAGATCCTCATCGCTCTTCTCAACTGGAAGTTCGGGACGAGTCCGCAAGCCAAAATTTTAAGCAAAGGCGATCTTCGCTAAGACCTCCCCTTCCCCTTCCCTGTTGCAACTCACTCCACCACTGGTACCCTCGATCCTCCATTCTTCAACCAACCTCACCGTTGACCCCCTCTCATACATCAATTGCGACTGAAAGGAGACTTCCCATGTCGCGTTGCATGCTGGGCCCACACGCGGAGTGAATGGGCAACGACAATCATTACGATTCACATTCTGTGACCATAATTCGGACGGTAACAATATCAGAGAAAACCATCGGCAACGACCTCGCGCCAGGACGCCCATACTTCTCATCCCTTCTTCTGAAGGCCTTTTCTTCTGGACCGTTCCATTGTTCCTGCCATACCTCGACAAAATTGTTCTTCGAATCACAAAGTCTGCTTGCTGCTAAGCTTTTCCGTCATTCCTGTACGCCTTTGGAGACGAATCCGCAATCACATCGCTCCCGAGGATCGCGTCAAGACTGTGAACCCTGCTGAAGTGACCCCCTCTTGGCTTGCGCAGCCAGGGCTGCTCAGGCCCGAGGCCATAGCACCCAATACGATCCAATGGCAAGCAAGACTGGCCCATCAACAGTGCCCGCAGATGTTGCAGCCGCCGCCGCCGCCGCCGCCGCAGCCAAGCCGAAAAGGGTACGGACCGGCTGTTTGACTTGCAGAGAACGACACCTCAAATGCGATGAAGGTGTTCCTGACTGCCAAAATTGCAAAAAATCGAACCGAGAATGCAAACGAGGAGTTCGTTTGAACTTCATCGATACCACCATCAGGAATCCGCCAATCACTCCTCCGACGGAAGACTGGGACGTGATATTTCAAGACGAGTCGCGAGAAATTGCTTCAGAATATCGAGGGGGTCTCAGTCGCTATGCCGCAATAGAGATAGAGGCTGAAGGGGACGTGGTACCCAAGGAGGAATCGACGTTCGATTTCGCCGATCCCATGATACAAGCTCCTGTACTTGCCCATCAGCAATTACCTTCCCAGCAAATCCAGCCGGGTGGAGTGGAGGCATATGCAGCGTCGATGCAGCCAATGCCAGATCAGGGTCGAGATCAGCATCAAAGACATGGCTCGACCAATTCGGACTCGACCTTTTCCAGTCATACCATTGGTGCCACCTCTGTATCCTCATACAACAATACCAAGCAGACGTTGACTCCGCCAAGCGAAACGCGAGAAGTTTTGACTGATCCGGAGGAGCTGCTGTTCATGCAAGTCTTCGTTGAAGAAGTTGGGATATGGATGGATAGCATGGATCCTTACAAGCATGTAAGTGGATCTACTTTGGCGCGCCGAGGAACAAACTGACTGACTGTCTAGTTCTCCCGACTTTTGCCCTTCGATTCCTTGAGCGAACCGATGTTGTTGAACGCTTTCCTTGCTTGCGGAGCTCGGCATCTAGTCCTGGTGAACCCAGCATATCAGGAAGACAAGGCTCTGCATTACTACGACTCCGCAACCAGATTGCTGCTCCGGCAATTGCAAAATCCATACCGAGACACTGTCATCTGCGCAACGACGGCTGTGATCCTGAATGTTTACGAGATCATGTGCGAGAAACCCCTTCAAAGGATGAATCATATTGCTGGCGCTCGTGCCCTGATCAAAGAGTGCGGCTGGAATGCTACCTCGGTCGGAGTCGGAGCCGCGTGCTTTTGGCTAAATGTGGGCATGGAGTTACTCAGCTGTCTTCATTTCAATTGGCAGGTAGCATGGAATCCGAACGACTGGGGTCTTGACATGGATTTCTCCGGGCCTACAGGTCCTGGACGCGAAGAAATCTGGACATACCGGATATTGTGGATATTGGGTAAGGTAGCAAATTTCCGCGCGCTGATGACACCTCGCTCCTCGGACCCACCACAGGACCATATGCGGATCCAGAACCGATACGAAGAGTGGAAGATATTGAAAGATTGGTGTGATGCTTGGGATAATAGTGTTCCTCGCACAATGCAACCGCTGGGTCGTTCGCACCCGTTTCAGCAAACCTCGAAGTCATTGTTTCCTGAAGTCTGGTAAGAATTGATATACTGAAATGACTTCTGGGTACGGACTGACGGTATAGGTTGATTAAACGAGCCACTGTCATTGCTCGAATGTTCTATCACACAGCGCTCATCTGCCTGGCACAAACAAATCCCATGATATCTGTAAGCCAACAAGAAGTACAAGATATGCAGGAAATGCAAATGCAGAACGCCCAGACGCTTTGCGGCATAATAGCCCATGTCAAGGATAGGTACCATTCCCACCAGGTAGACCTTCTCCTCGGCATCCTGCTAACGGCCATCAGGGGTGTTGCAAGTGTAGCACTCCGTTCCATTCATCACGCTGGTGAATGCCTGATCTCTCGGCCCGAGCAAGAAGAGGTTCTTACGATTGTCAACAAGATACATAAAGAAACCGGCTGGGGCATCAATTTCGTGATTGAAGGACTGATCAAAAAATGGGGTTGGAGCGGCCAGGACAGTCTCCAGCAGCCACTGAACTATGGATTCCAGCAGCAGGCATCTACAACATCATTACCTCCTGCACCACCGCCAAAGTCGATACCAAGTGGTATACCAAATCCTATGTATGCCAGGGCAGACTTTGGCCAGCCGATCCATCCTTATCAGAACTACTACGTCGCACCTCAACACCACCCAGGAGGGCAGAATTTCAACCACTTTTAATAATCGACAATACTCGGGACGTCTCCCAGTAGTTCTCAGCCATCTACTTCAGTCGATCTTGCAGAGCCAGCCTCCGTTTTAGGATGCCACCGACTTACCTAGTCACATTGGATGGCTTTGCGCCAAAAGTCAAATCTTTTCGTCGTTATGTGTGCTATAGATATCAGCGAGGCGTTGTCATGAATGTGAGGAAGAGATCCAGCGCACTTGCGGGCAGAAGGGCTGAATTCTTATACACGGGCCCACGGGGCGGGCATGATCCCGCACGGATGCTATGTCTGTATTTTAATGTAATGATACCAAAGAAGGGATGAAGAGAGCTATGACAGTCAGTATTTACTGCTTTGTTCAGTCTGGCAAACAGTTCCACCTCAGTCTACAGCCTATCACACTTAATAAACAAACTGACAGACCAGACAGTGACCTGGTATGCAGATAATTAATGGCTCATGTAAAGTGCTTCTAGTAACAACTATATTAGAGATTTTCAGTCTACAGCCATCTTTTGTAGAAACAGAACATTTTGTGTTGTTCTGCGATTCTCGCTTCCCCACCGCGGGTTGCCTCACAGCCTCAGTGCCGATCATGAAACATCGCAATTGCGATACCTTTCACGAATTGTACCACTACTCACCTGCTCCGTGAAGCTTCTTGGAGATTTGCTGTGCTTACATCCAAGAGCTGGCTGACATTTTCCTGGCGACTTGCGTGGGGCAATAGCGCGCCACTCCACAGCATCTGAGCCTTCACTCCGAGACTATGACAAAGACTCTTTGAGGTGTACTCCGAACAGAGAAGAATCACAAGAGTCAAATCGCGATTCCTTGTCTACAGACTTCCTTCCAAGGCCATTCATACCAAGAGTTCCTTTATTCGGTCTGGTTCGAGCATCAGCAGGATCTTCCAGGCTACACCCTCAACGACCGCTTGCTTTCAATCTATCCTCTCCGCCTGTGAGGCGAGGAAGCAGTCAAGATGAATGACGATGACCTCATCAATCAGGTATACCGAAAGATTGAGAGGGAGAAGGTCCTTATCAACGCCGCAAACAACATGCGCCAATCCTCAAATCCACAAGTGCAGCAGAGCTTGGATTCCCAAATAAGAGAGTCACGAAAGGGGATAGACTATCTTGAAGAAAGAATGAGAGAACTACAGATGCGAAGGATGGAGGCAATGGGGTCGGGAAGCAGTGGTGGACCTCAACCTCCAGCACATGGGGGCTTATCACCTCAGCAAAGAGGAGCGCGGAACGCACAAAGGCCAGTCGGACCAACACCTGCACCTAGGGATGGAGGAGCACGTTTTGGTCAAGATTCTGGTGACTACGGAGATCCGGGTAATGGAGGATACATGAACGACATGAGCGGAGGCCACGGCATGATGCCTCCACGAGCCCCATTCGGTCCTCCTGGTCCGGGGTCTACAACACCCAAAACGAGACCGAACTATACAAAACTTGGTGGGCGGAAGGTGTTTCAATATATCAATGCCGTGGACTAACGAGCCTGTGCAGACCTAATTAAATACGACACTGCTTATCTAGGACCCCGAATACAGCTTATGCTCTCCCAGCTAGAGTTCAAACTGAGCGTTGAAAAACAATACAAGGATGGCGTGGAAAAGATGGTCAGGCTCTACCAAGATGAGGGGGACAGGAAGAGCAAAGCCGATGCAGAGGCCCGACGAATAGAGAGCAACCAGAAGATCCAGCTCCTGAAACAGGCTTTAAAGAGGTACGAGGACCTGCACGTAGACATGGAAAGCACCAACGATGCGCCAGATGGTAGGTCCTCCTCTGTGAGGGTTGGATCGTGAGCACCTGACAACATACATAGATGACAGCTTGAATTCCCCAAACATGCGGAAGCCCTTGACAGGTCTCCTCTCCATGACCGTACATGCCGTCAAGGATGTAGACCATGTCGCCATTGGGAGGCTTGCTCGGAGCCCAGAGACGTTTGTCGTGTTGAAGGTTGAAGATACGGTCAAAGCGAGAACGAAGAGTACGAGGATCGACAAGTGGACCGACGAGGTTCACCAGATCGACATTGACAAGGCCAACGAAATCGAATTGACTGTGTACGACAAATCCGGAAGTCACCCGACACCTATAGCCATGCTGTGGATTCGGATATCTGATATTGCGGAAGAGATGAGACGTAAAAAGATTGAAGCGGACTTGGGCGGTGGTTGGGCAACAGCAGACAGGATGGACAATCAAGGGATGCAAAACCGACAAGATTCTGCGTACTCATCGTTGCAACAATCACAGGGCCGTGAACAGCGGGATTCAAGAGGCTCATCGGCACAGGCTTCCTACAACGCAGCCCAGCCTCCTTCAAATCCTGGAGATGTCGACGCATGGTTTGCTCTGGAGCCCGTGGGAAGGATTCAATTGACTTTGAGCTTCAGTGAGCCCTGATAACCTCTAATCTATGGTTCAGGCAGAGATACTGATATGTGGCAGCTAAACAACTGAAAGACCGAAGACCCTTCGACATTGGTCTCAACCGTAAAGGCGCCATTCGCCAGCGCAAAGAAGAAGTCTATGAGCTTTATGGCCATAAATTTGTGCTCCAGCAGTTCTACAATATCATGCGTTGTGCCCTTTGCGGGGAGTTTCTAAAATACTCCGCCGGTATGCAATGCGAGGATTGCAAATATACGTGCCACAAGAAGTGCTACTCCAAGGTGGTCACCAAATGTATCAGCAAATCTAATGCGGAAACCGACCCGGATGAAGAGAAGCTCAACCATCGTATCCCACACAGATTCGAGAACTTTTCCAACATGGGGGCCAATTGGTGCTGCCATTGTGGCTACATCCTGCCACTTGGTCGCAAAAACAAGAAATGCTCTGGTGAGTCGATTCCACTGCAGCTCTTTATCTTATATAGAACTGATCTTTGCACAGAATGCGCTCTCAGCTGCCATGCACAATGCGCTCACCTTGTGCCTGACTTCTGCGGCATGTCAATGGAAGTAGCCAACCAGATCCTAGTACTTTCGCGAGAAACCAAGAATTTGCAAGGACAGCGACCTTCCAAACCCACAAATCTGAGCGAAAGGACCTTGAGGCCAAGCGCTGGACGCCCAAGTCCTGCCCCTCAACCGTCTTTTAGACCAGCGCCAGTAACAGAACAGCTCAGCACGCCGGCTACCGACCCCCGAAGGTCACACGGTCAGGAAGAGCAGCTGTATAGCCAGCCTCCTCCAGCTCCACAGTATGGAGGACCATCGAGCGCAGCTCAGAATGCTGCCAAGAATGCAACATATAGTGGCGAGGGCCTGCCACAGCAACGTCGACCTCAGCAGCCTCCCCGCACTGCTTCGTCCCAAGCGGCCATTGCCGCTTCTAAGGTCATGGGTGTCAACAACAACAAGAGACTGTCATCGCCCAGATCGAATACAACCACTGACTTCAGCTCACTTTCTGGCATGCCCGGTGCAGGCTATCCATCTATGGATGAAGGGCCACAACAACCTCCGCAAGCCACCTATAATCCGAAAGACTATGCAGGCTACGGTGGTTACCCTTCGCAAGCGCCTCCTGCCTCTGTCGTCCAGCCTCCACAACAGCAGCCCATTTTCCAAGAGCCAACCAGAACACAGCAACAAAACCAGCAAGTCGTCAAGGCGCTACCTGCAAGCGAAGCCGCCCCTCAACAGGGTATGGGAAGGCGCATTGGGCTTGAGCACTTCAATTTCCTTGCTGTGCTCGGGAAGGGTAACTTTGGTAAGGTTATGCTGGCAGAAACAAAAGCTACAAAGAAGCTTTACGCCATCAAGGTCCTTAAGAAAGAGTTCATCATCGAGAATGATGAAGTAGAGAGCACGAAGTCAGAGAAGAGGGTGTTCTTGGTTGCAAACAAGGAACGCCATCCGTTCTTGCTAAATCTTCATGCGTGCTTCCAGACGGAAACTCGGGTATATTTCGTTATGGAATACATCAGCGGTGGAGACCTTATGTTGCACATCCAACGTGGGCAGTTTGGGAGCAAACGCGCACAGTCAGTGAAATGATCCCTCTAATCTAATCATCAATACTGACACCTCCAGGTTCTATGCGGCTGAGGTCTGCCTAGCTCTAAAATATTTTCACGAAAACGGAGTCATCTACCGCGACCTTAAACTCGACAACATAATGTTGGCTTTGGATGGTCACATCAAGGTTGGTGATTACGGTCTCTGCAAAGAAGAGATGTGGTATGGGTCAAGCACAAGCACTTTCTGTGGGACACCAGAGTTCATGGCACCAGAGGTGAGTCAATTTCCCATCGTTAGCGACGGAATATCCTAACCTGTCGCTAGATCCTACTTGACAAAAAGTACGGACGGGCTGTCGATTGGTGGGCATTTGGGGTCCTAATCTATCAAATGCTACTGCAGCAGTCCCCATTCCGAGGGGAAGACGAAGATGAGATTTACGATGCCATTCTGGCAGATGAACCGTTATACCCAATTCACATGCCACGAGACTCAGTGTCGGTCTTACAGAAGCTGTTAATGCGCGAGCCAGAATTGCGGCTAGGGTCTGGTCCCACTGATGCTCAAGAAATCATGAGCCATGCATTTTTCAGGAACATAAATTGGGACGATATCCGAGACAAGAAAGTTGCACCTCCCTTCCAACCACAGATCAAGAACCCTACGGATACCAGCAACTTCGATTCCGAATTTACAAGCGTTACGCCTGTGCTTACGCCGGTCCAGTCTGGTAAGTTTGTCAATGTCCGTGGAGTTCAGAATCTGAGCTAATAACTTTCAGTTTTGACGCAAGCAATGCAAGAAGAGTTCCGAGGCTTTTCATACTCGGCAGACTTCATATAATGGGTGCAACAGGATGATATAAGGTCAAACTTGCAATTTACGTGGCGAACGATGCATGAGACAGGTTGTAGGACAGGGCAGGGAGTGAAGTGTGAATAATAGTTAGGGCCAATAGAGTACAACTTAAGAATTTGCATTTTAAGTGATGACAGTGTGCCCATGGTGGTACTCTATGCTGGCTCCAAGCTCTCGATTTCCAGCCAAGGATGTCCTGTAGAGCAGGGTTGCGAAGAAAAAGGCTGAGCTTTCCGAGGTACTACACGCTGGGCAAACCTACTCTACTGGTCTGCTGTTATCACGTGCCAAACCAATCGTTGCACGCATCAATGACAACTTGGACGGTGCCGATGTATTGCTCCCGGTCTTCGCGCCTGTAGGTCCTGCGTTTGATTCTTGATAGAAACGGTCTTGGGATGGGAGCCCGGATCGAGCCGGTTGTGTCATGCCAGCCTAGAGCACACGGCAATCCTAGAAGCAAGAACTGACTTGACTGTTGGCAATAGAGACGGATGGCTCATGAAGCGCGTTGAATGATTGGTGCCCGGTTGCATTGGTCGTGGCCGTTTTCCCCGTCGGCGACCGAAGTCGTTCATGTGAGATTCGCTACTTAAACATGGACTTCCAGCAGAAATTTACCTCGTCTTTGAAAGATTTTTTACTTGATTTGTTCCAGCATTTGGAGTGTATTTCAAGCACAGAGTACTTTGTCAGAGCATACCCAACTCGCAAGCGGGTATAAGGCATCTCTCATTCCGCATCTCAGCCAACAAGATGTCATACCCGTACTATCCAAATCCGACCCGGTCTAACTCCGGGACCAGATCCGGCACTAGCATGGTTCGCCAACTTTCGGATAGAGTGATGCAATCGACAAGTCATAGGCGTCTCGAACATTATTCCGCACAAAGGGCCCAAGATGCTCGCGATGCCTTGCCTCTCATCCAGGCAAATAATAAACGTCACTCCAGCAGATCAGCCAGCTATTATCATCCCTCTTCTCCAGAGCCTTCGTATCAGCCTCATCAGCTCATTGCTGTTTGCTTCAACCACATGGCTGGCAGGGAGTGTGAGCATTGTCGCAACCTGGACCGCTCCTTGAATGGCGATCGTCATGATAGTTCGCCGGATTCACATCATACCCTAGGATATCAAGGACAGGGTCATGGACAGCAGCGATACAGCAATGCCTCTCTCCATGACGAAAAGCAGAGAGATGGGGGAGAAAAGGGGGGTGAGCGAGGTTCACCGCCCGTGGTTGGTTTCTGGCATTCGGAACTCGCAAAATTGAGACTGCAGCTGCTGGGATTGTGGGCAAGAACCAGTAAATGAGCATTGCCCCACTCGTTAGAAAACTTCGCGCTGACTCTTTGGCAGCTTTGATACTCTGTGTTTTTATCCTCCTTGTCATGAGTATGTACTGGGCGGTATTGTTCAACGTGGAACAAAACTTGTCCTCGCTCGACGTGTATGTTGTGGATTTCGACGGCACTCAAGCACCATATACGGGAGTCACGCCTCTTGTTGGTCCCTTGATCACCCAAACCACCGAAAAAATGATATCGTCTGGACAATCCGGGGGCCATTTGGGTTTCATCACCATGGATCCAGCCTTCTTCGACAACGACCCAATGAACGTCCGGCAAGCTGTGTATGACTTCAAGGCATGGGCAGCAATCGTCATCAATGCAAACGCTACAGCGCTCCTCCAACAAGCTGTACAGCAGGGCAATGCCAGTTATGAACCTCTGGGGGCCTGTCAAACCATCTGGGTTGAAGCTCGAGATCAAGATACCGTTTATGACTACATCCTTCCGTCCCTTACGAGTCTGCAGACGGAAATCACTTCCATCTTCGGCCAGATGTGGACGGGCATGGTCCTCAAAAACACCAGCATCCCAATCACAAACCTACAAGCGGCACCGCAGGCACTCAGCCCAGCAATCGGCTTCTCAATGTTCAGTCTCCGCCCCTTTACCCCTCCCGTCACCACCCCAGCAGTCACAATTGGTCTCATCTACCTCATCATCATCGCCTTCTTCAGTTTCACCTTCTTCCTGCCCATCTACACCAAGCTCGTCACACCCGGAGGGCACCCGACCATCAAATTCTGGAAATTCATCTGCATCCGCTGGATCGGCACAGTCCTAGCTTACTTCTTCATGTCCCTAGCCTACTCATTCATCTCTCTCGCCTTCCAAATTCCCTTTGATAACCCCACTGCTCCGACTACGATGGTCGCCAACAACCCCGACGCTTACGGTAAAGGCACGTTCGTCGTCTACTGGATGATCAATTTCATCGGCATGATCGCCCTCGGCCTCGCTTGCGAGAACGTCGCAATGGCAATCGGGCAGCCGTGGACGGCGATGTGGCTTATCTTCTGGGTCATCTCCAACGTGTCGACCGCTTTCTACTCCCTGGACTTGGCGCCGAAGTGGTACTACTGGGGCTACGCGTGGCCGTTGCACAACATCGTCGAAGCGTCGCGGAGCACCTTGTTCGATTTGCATTCGAGGATCGGGCTCAATCTCGGAGTCTTGTTCGTTTGGTGTGCGATTAATACAATGTTGTTCCCGTTCGCGTGCTATTTCATGCGCTGGAAGACGATGAGGATGAAGAGGAAGGAGGCCGAGGCGAAGAAGAACTAATTGATCAGGAGCCGAAAAACGTTCTTGTTTGTTTTTTGAAATTATTCTTTGACGAATCATGACAGGGCATATCGCATACCGCATTGCACGTCATTGGCGTTTTGGATATATTAAATCAAGGAGGGTATGGCGTAGATAACTTATAATGTTTATAAAAAGGAAACTTTGGGCCCGCCTGTATCATCTCCTGCCGTAAAACCTTGTTCTGAGAATGTAAGGCTTGTTTCCAGGTTTGAATTGATACAGAGAGGGCATGTCGCCCCAGCTATCGGATCTGTGTTGGCTTTGAGTTTCATGTCGGAGGAGAAACAATCGGATACAGGTTTAAGCATAACCGTTCCTGAGAACGGAACGTTCAACGAACGGCACTCTGTTGCATCCGTGTCTCCACACCCGTAGGCAAACACTCCCATTGCTGTGCTAAGTTCTATGATACAATGCGGCGAACCTAGAAGACCTCCCTCTGCTCAACCGTATCTTTTTCTTTTCTTTTTCTTTTCTAGTCTATTCCATCCCTCTCCTGCACTCCATCCTCCTTCCCACCTCGCATCCGAGATCAGCTCATCCGATCACCACCTTCTCGTCCTCCGAGAAGTCGTACTCGGGCACGGCCAGGTTCAGCGGCGCGGGGCCCTTCCGCGCCCGCCCGGAGATGTCGTAGTGCGAGCCGTGGCAGGGGCAGAACCAGCCGCCGAAGTCGCCGGATTCGCCAATGGGGACGCAGCCGAGGTGCGTGCATACGCCTGGTGGGACGGAGGGTGGAGGTTAGCTTGGCCGTGCTGGGTTCTGCGATCGTGAGGATAGCAGGGGAGGGGGGAGGAGGAGGGGGGGAAAGCGTACCCAGCATTATGAGCCATTCGGGCTTCTTGACGCGGTCGGAGTCTGGTTGCGGGTCTCGTAGCGATTCCCACTTTGTGTCTTCGGCTTCTTTGATTTCGTCGGCCGTGCGGTGGCGGATGAAGACGGGCTTGCCGCGCCATTTGATGATTACCTGTTCGCAGGAGATCAATAACTATCGCGTCGCAGCGGTGAGCGGAGAGGAAATAGCATACGTTCTTGCCCTCAGGTATGGCGGCCAAGTCGATCTCGACCTTGGCTTGCGCGAGCACGTCGGCGGAGGCGGACATGTTGACTAGGAAATCTGCATTCGAGCACAATTGTCAGCCATTGCGTCCTCCCACTTTCCCATCACATCCCATAGTATCATGCTACACCTCCCCAAACCCTTCGTGAATGTTCACCTTGCACCGTAGCCTTTGCCCCCGCCGCCGCCAACAGCCCCATTCCTCCAACCATAAAATATTGAAACGTCTTATTCGACGTCTCGCCCTTCTTGCTCATATAATTGGCAAAACTCGGTATCTTCGTTGTAGGATTCTCGTCGCGGTTTTTGAACGGCGATTCGAAGCGCGGTGTTTGTTCGTATTCCCCCGAGTGACGTTCGACGATGTCGGCTTTGCAGCGCCGTTGTTGGGTGGCAGCGAGGATTGAGGGGGTGATGGTGGATTGGACATGTTGCCGTGGACAGAGGCGCAGCAGGGTGCTGCGGGCCGCTGGGAGTGGTGGCATTCTGGGGAGAGTGGAGAGTTTGGATGCAATGGAGGTTTCGGTGACGATGGGGATCGAGGTCCTATGGGAGATGAAAAATACGACGCTAGAGTAGCGCTATACCGCCGTCCCAATTCCACGCTGAAGGTTCTATCACGCACGACACCGCCCATTCATTCCTATTGTCAGCGACCAATTTGACTCACGATGAGGTTGTTCGCTCGAATCGTTGCTTCGGGGGAGACTTGGGAAGACCTGCTTCCCACAGTCTTGTTGGATTCCAATTCTTTTGGTTGAGCGTGAATACAAGCCACAGCCACGGCAGTCGCTGTTCTTCTCCTGCCTTCACTATGCGACTACGGTTGAGCATCATCAAGCCTCGTAAGCTTACAGGCTTCGAAAGAGTCATTTCAATACCAAGTCTCCGTCAAAAGCGCCGTAGAGCGCTCCTTGCAGGGAATACAGTGGGATTTGTGCCAACGATGGGCGCTCTTCACCAAGGCCATCTGGCCTTGATACGACAAGCTGCGAGGGAAAACGATCAGGTCTTTGTTTCAATCTATGTCAACCCTACTCAATTCGGCGTCAATGAGGACCTCAGCTCGTACCCTCGGACCTGGGACGCTGATAAAGTCAAGCTCGCGGCATTGGCAAAGGAGTTTAAAAATGACAGCCTAGTAGGCCACATGAGTGTTATATTCATGCCAAGTACAAAAGAGATGTATCCGTGCTCGCCTCCAACCTCTGAGGTCGACGGTCAAGGGTCGTTTGTGACCATCACCCCTTTGTCATCGAGACTTGAAGGTGCTTCGAGACCGGTCTTCTTCCGCGGTGTTGCAACAGTCTGCATGAAGCTTTTGAATATAGTGCAGCCCGAAAGGGTGTACTTTGGGCAAAAGGACATTCAGCAGACATTTGTGGTCAAGCGGATGGTGCAGGATTTCCATCTCAATACGGAGGTTCGCGTTGGCTCGACAATCCGTGAACCGGATGGTTTGGCTATGAGCTCTCGCAACGTTTATCTTGGAGAACGGAGACGCAAAGTAGCATTGGTGCTCTTAGCTTCTTTCAAAGAGGTTCAAAAAGTCTTCGCTAGAGGAGCTAGGAAGAGGCGGTTCTTGTACAATGCGGCGATTGACAAGCTGTCCGTCATGAAAAAACAGCAGTACGCCTTGCCGAGAGAGAAGCGTGCAAGATTCGAGATCGACTACATCTCGATCGCGGATCCTGACACCCTGGACGAGTTGGAAGAGGTGGATTCGGAGCGCGGAGCCATATTGAGCGGTGCTATCAAAATGCTCCCACTCGAAGAGCCTCATGAAGGAGAGGAAACTGGTCTTGGCGGAGGGACATCGACCGTGAGACTGATCGATAATATACGTTTGGAGCTTCTGTCAGCTAAGGTTGGATATATACCATAGTGTTGGAAGCCGTTGTAGAGTAGGCCTGCGCTGGCAAAATCTTATCATAGATCATTCGTGTTCCTCTGCTTGAACTTCTTGGTTGCTCGGTCTGGAGCCCTGTTCTCGAATTGTGAGCCATGCAATTCGAACACCAGACTTGCCGATTCGGCTTTACTTTCTGCCGTGGCAGCTTCCTGGCCCAAGCTCTGGTTGGATACAGGTTGTGGGATCTCGAACCCAAAGATCGTATGCTTTTTGGGTATGGCTAAGACAGTCAACATCGTCAGTCCTAAAACCCCCGTTCGGCTGTTGATGGACTCTTACTCTTGAGCTCATTCATTTTCGTGACGATCTGGAACGTGAACTTCGTATCCCTAACCACGATTCCAGCCAGTCCCACCATTCCCATACATTTACTCCTCACAACCGTGACCTCCGCTCCATGGTAGTCCGCACTTGCGAGCTTACTCCCGGCGCTGTTCGCAGTCACAAAAGCCCTCTCATCCATATTCATACCCAATATTTCCCACACGTATCCCAGCCACATCCTATGCAACGGCACATATATCTCATACTTCTTCGCAGTATCTGGAATCTCATAGATACCAGAATCTCGCTTTTCTTTCGCAGATAAAGGCTTTACCTTCTGGCGTCGCTGCGATTTCTCTTTCTTTCGAAGGCGTTGGATACGTCGTTTGGCTCGAGCATCTTGAGATGTGTGGTCTGGGGATGTAGGGCGGAGGTGGAGTGGCTTGTGAAGGACCTTGTCGACAAAGATTGAGGCGGCGAGTGGGGCAGGGTGGGCTTGGGTTAGGAGATCGTGGGCAATGTGCTTGTTGTTTGCCATCGGGACACTGACAAGTTGTCGGTACTGTATTTGTGTTAGAGCAAGAAATCCGATTGTTTCGGACATAAAGAGCCAAGCAAAGCCTAGAGTTCGCTGACAGGGGTTCGGGTAGCGAGAGTACGCGAAACGCGTCACAGCTTTAAGTTTTCTTCTAAGCGCAATGTCGTCTGGACCTTTAAGCAGTCAATAATGCAAGGGACAGTACTACCGTCGCGGCGTAGAATTTTTGGGAGCCTTGTAATGTCGATATCAACGAAAATGCTCGCTTTCAATGCCACGATCCTGGAAGAGTGCTGAAAATTAGCAGCAATTTCCTCCTTCACTTGTCGGCAGAAGGTGAAACTCACTTGCAGCACCCATCTTCTTATAACTTCAACGGTCCCCCACACGTCTTCAAATTTCATATTTTTACATGGAGGACAGATCTTGGGCTCGTCATAGAATGTACTTGGATTCCCCACAATTGGAATGGCCAGCAATACCCACGGCATTGTCCTCCCCCCTTGATCCTCACCTCAGTCCCCAAACTCAGACTCAGACTCCGCGATCAACCACCGCATCACAGATACTCGCAGCGTTCTCGCCAAGACCCCAACCGAAGCAATCACCTTCATCAGACCGCGTCTCCCCTCAAGAGTTTCCCATAGCCATGGAGGGAAAACGTAGCTCCCGCAGAAAGGAGCAGATTTCATACGAGATATCAGATGACTCGGACAACGTTGACGCCTCTTCCTCGCTCGACTCTACATTCTCTACGCCTCAGAAGGCTCCTCGGACGCGGGTGAGCATTATCGATCTGGAAGATGAGCTCGAGGAAATTGAATCACCTAAAACTCCACCCCCTCGTCTCTCATCTGCCGGGCATGCGTTACGTCAACCCAACGAACTTGCTCTGTCCTTACGGGCACAGGAAAATGGCGATAAGCGTATCGCCAAGAAGAGAAAGATCACAAAGAGGCATGCAAAACCGAAGACTATATTACAGCCCTCGGCTCCTAAAACAGCTCGTCAGGAACTCCGGAATTATGTCAACACGGAGACAGCCGGAAAGAGATCAAACTTCTTTGTGGCAAAAAAGGACCTCTTCCTACCCTTACTCCCGGAAGGCAACCATGTTCAGCGCCTTATGGCTCAACGTCAACAAAGCGGGAAGAGGGAAGAAGATCTGAGTGTGCCTTATGAGATCATTGAGCATCAGCCTGCAGGGTAAGGTCATTTGCTGTCTCAGAAGCGGATTCAGCTGATTAATCTGCAGAATCAAAGCGGACATGAAGCCCTATCAGCTACTGGGCTTGTCTTTCCTGATTTATCTTCACAGGAATGGTCTATCTGGCATTCTCGGTGATGAAATGGGTCTCGGAAAGACCTTACAGACGCTGTCTTTGATCCAGTACCTGAAAGAGAGTCGAAAGCTTTCAACCTCGAGTAAGTGCATGTTTCGAAGTAATCTGGTCTTGATCGAACCCTTGGTCTTGAGCCGCAATTCCTATCTCGTGAGCAGGGGGCCGGCCTCAACTCCCAAGACTATCCTATAACCTAGATATCCTTTCTCGAAGAAGTAGCAGTATGCGGGTTTCAACCGCTAAAACTGCCTTATATCCTGGGCATATTACCTCAAAGAAGCTATGCTGACTTCGAAATTTACAGGTGTTGAGCTTCGACCTTGTCTCGTGGTATGCCCCTTGAGCGTCCTTAGCTCGTGGATGGCTGAATCTCGACGATGGACTCCTGATTTGAAAGTTTTGAGATTCCATGGGTCTGTACATGAGCGCGACCGACTGAAGAGGATAGCGATGGGCGATATTGATACCTTCGGCAATGAGACCAGAGGAGCACGCAAAAAGAAGAATGATCGCCGCACTGCTACTGGCAAGCCTATCATTGATCTAGATTCCGATGCGGACGATGCTCAGGGAGTTGATCTCATCGTTACAACATACGAAGGGTATCTGGCCGAGCAAGGCTGGTTCAAAAAGGCATTCCTCTGGAGCTACGTCGTCCTTGATGAAGGACACAAAATTAAGAATGATCTCAGCTTGGTTTCCAAAGCGCTTCAAGGATTAGGCGCAGAGTACCGTTTGATCCTGACAGGCACACCATTGCAGAACAATTTAGTAGAATTGTGGGCCTTGCTCCATTGGCTCTATCCTGAGGTCTTCACGGAGAAGACCGCCGAGCTTTTCAGGTCCTCGTTCAACCTTAATAAGGGACAAGTCAGCACCAAAGTCATGGACGATGCTCGGCGCTTGCTTGAGATCATAATGCTCAGAAGGATGAAGAACAGCCCTGGAGTGGATCTCAATCTTCCACCAAAAACCGAAGTACTACTATACGTTCCTCTAACTCCTATGCAGAGATTTTGGTATATGAGACTATTGACTCGCGCCGACAAAGGACTTTTGGAGGAGTTGTTTCAAGGTGCCCAACAAAAGGAGGCCGTTGCTCTCAAACAGGAGTCGGAAGAGGGAGGCATCTTGCAAGAAAAGGGTATAGAAGAGCTAGAAGCATTGGAAAACAAAGCATACGGAGGGGAAGAAGCCGCGACTGAGTGGCAAGAGACTAAAGAAATTATGCGCCAAGCCCTGGAGCACGAACAGCAGGACGAAAACAGGAGTACGGCCTGGAAGAAGCTGATGAACCTTTTAATGCAATTGAGAAAGGTGTGTCTGTCTAGAGCCAAATGACGAAGTTTAGCTGACCTGATTAAGTGCTGCAATCACCCATACACTCTTCCTCATGCAGAGCCAGACCCGTATTACCTCGGCGAAGTGAGTCATATTTTCCAACCCATCGTTCCCCGTTTCATCATATCATGGGGGCCGGAGACCTTTTCCGCCTCTTGAGACATGTCTCCTGACTCTTGGTCCATCCCCAAAGAGAAGCACTGACTCTGAAATCATTTAGCACGTGATCCATGCATCAGCCAAATTTATCGTACTCGACAAGATTATCGATGAGTTGGTCGTGAAACAAAAGAAAAAAGTCCTCATCTTCTCTGGCTTTACTCGTATGCTGGACTGCTGCGAAGACTTCTTGCACCTACGCGGTGCTGGGGAGCAATTCAAATACGTCAGACTCGACGGGGGTACTTCGCGCGGTACGTATATTTCGGAGTAAATTCTTCCTGTTCGGTAGCAGATTGGGGCCACATGCCATTTTCAGGGAGCAGAAAGCTTCTTCACTCCCCAGCACTGTCTTTTCATTCAGGTGAAACGCCTCGTTTCGGCAGCGAAAGGATCACTATGCTCTCTATATTTGTCTCATTTCTCGGAATTGTGCCTCAAAAAAGCGACACTGACTCCAAAACCTGCCTAGCCCGACGGAACCTTGGTATACGCATGTTCAATCAGGAAGAATCCGAGTATCGGGTTATGCTAATCTCGACTCGCGCTGGCGGCCTGGGCATCAACCTAGCGACAGCATCCGATGTCGTTATGCTCGATCAGGACTGGAACCCACAGATCATGCTGCAGGCTGAAGCTCGTGCTCATCGCATAGGACAGAAGAAGCCTGTGACCGTATATAAGCTCTGTACACAAGGCACGGTTGAACAGCAGATGATGGGCAGAATTCAGAAAAAGCTTTACCTCTCTGCGAAGGTGACAGAGTCAATGCGAGATATTCATTTACAGTCGGCAACGAAGAAGAAGAAAGGCCCAGGAGGTAGAGTTGTGGAAGCGGCAGAAGATGATATGCCGCAGCTTGATACAACCCAGTTGATGTCCTTGGTCCGACGAGGAGCCCAGGCACTCGCACGTCCAGAACTTGACGTGAACGAGATGCTGAGTTGGGACTTCTCAACAATGCTCGAGAAGTGCAAAGATCAACCCGCCGACATCCACGTCTCGGGGCAGATACAAGTCGGTGTCTCTGTGAAGGAAGAAGACGAGAAGAGATGGTTGGCTCAGATAGAACAAGTCGAGGCGCGTGTCTTCGAGGGCAAAAAGCATATCAAGGTTAGAGAATCCAATGGCTACGACGGAATTGCTCAAGAATGGTCCAGAGAGGAAAGACGAATTGGCAAAAACACTACTGTCATCATAGATGGCCATGTCGTAAGTAAGGAAAGCGCCAATTGTGCCGACTGGGAGGCTGTGCCAACAATGGCGGGCAAAGATCCTCGGCTAGCGGAGCCTAGGCGGGAGAAAAAGCCCGAAGTAGTTAATCAGGAGGTATGTGTTCTGATCAGTTATCCAATTGGTTAAGCTAACCAGGTACTACAGCAATGCCAGGTCTGCTGGGATGGCGGAAACCTAGTCCTCTGTTCAGGATGTCCCCGCTCCTATCACTATACATGCCTTGACAGAGACTTCAAATCGAAGTCCAAGGGCAAAATGCACTTTCACTGTCCGCAACACCAGTGTGCGGACTGCCAACAAAACACTACTGATGCTGGCGGCATGCTCTATCGATGGTAAAGTTCCATATTATTCTGGTCCTTTAAATGAAATTGGTACTAATTTAGGTCTACAGCCGCTGGTGTGAGAGAGGATTCTGTGAGGACTGTCTCGACTGGGACAAAACGGAACTTCTCGGCGAAAATCTTAAAGAGTACGAACTACTTGGCTTTCCGGCAGTCCCGCAAGCATTTTACATAAAATGTCCGAGCTGTTTCGACCACCATGTTGAGACTCCTGAGGCAGCTGATTATTGTGTTTATCAGGCCGAAGAGATCGATGCTCGTTATGAGGTCTTAGTGGAAGCGCAGGCTTTGGTTGCAGCTGCCACACAGGTCGGGAAGAAGCCCGTGCCTCAAACGCCGGCTGAGAGTCTGACCGATGGGACGACCTTGGACAACAGTTCTGGCATTAGCACCCCTCGGTTTGGAGACTTTGCAAATACTACGAGCAGCCGGAAACGCAAAGATGGCCCACAATCTGTCAAACAAACGCCTACACCCTCAAAGCGTTCGAAGGGTATCTCAATTTAGTGGAAGAACAGCGTCTTCGGTATTAGGGAGGGAAAGTCATCGCGGCGCTAGGCTATGGGTGTTGCGATATCGGGTAGTGATGCATCCGCTTGGATGTAATGAGCCCTCGAGGTGCAACTAGCGTTTATACCCACTGTCGGCGATGTTAGATCCAGGGAGACTTTATCTTCATGTGCCAATAGTTCACTATGTTCCCCACATCTGGCCGGGATAGCTTTAGCTCGATTGCGTGTACCCAAAATGTAAACCAATCTGCGCAGCTTGTATCGAATACTCTCCCGTTTTCGCAGTCCTTAGGTAACCCTATTGCAATACGTAGCTTCAAATGGGCATCCTATAGCGGCACGATCTGTCCCATTGTACTTCTCTCATAAGTCCTGATTTGGACTAGCGTATGCCAGATTTGCGGATGACTAGAGTACCTTACCTTACTCGTACTTACCGAGTCATTTTAGCACCTGCCACTTCCACAACACCGCAACCACATCCAGAACCTAGACTCAAGCAGCCACTATCAGTGCTGCAGACAACCTCACATTAGGCTAGGATAAGTAAAATTCTCAGCGCCTAGACAACTGATGACACAGGTCTTTTGCCAAGTGATTCCCGTCGGGTAGGACAAAATTGACGCGTAAAGACTCTCCACCAGATCATCTATTTCAAGAAGCCCATTTCGACCATTTGCCGTTCATACGAGAAAAGGGCACAGATACGTAGCTGGCAATAGGGGTTATTTGTGTAAGCCAGAATCGAGTGAGCCGAAGTAAATGTCTGAAGGGAATCCACATAAGCCATCCTTGAGAAATACGAGCAGGATCGAAATCGTCTATCCAGATCATCACATCGAATTGTCCGGCAGACTCTCGGATCCTCAAGTCCTGACCTTTGCATGATCTCTGTCTTCTCTTTCCCTGGGTACATCAGCTCGAATCTACAAGAATTGCCCTTGGGTCTTGGGGTCTGCTCTCAGTATGGCTGAATGGAAGCCGGTCTGGATTGCTCGCTCAGACGGTGAATATGAGATCAAGACTAAAAAGAATGGGAGAGAGCTCAATGCGCCAACAAGCGCTCAGCTGGACAGGAACTCAGGCGAAAATGATTACTACGAGCTACTTGATATCGACGAGCCTGTCGCAATCGAGTGGAAGCGCATTCTAGGAGGTATGCTCCATCGGGAACAGAAGGGTCCAACGGATCAGATATGGATCTTGGTGGACTTTCCGGAGAACTACCGCCTGTATAAGCGTTTCAAGGACAAAAAGGAGTCCAAATCTCGTACTAAAGATTTATCTAAGCCGGCCAAAGCTGATGGAAAGGATGGCAATAGATCTGAAGATTTCTATCTATATGGCTATCCATTAGGTCATAAGAAGCGATTCAAGAGCGCGGTGGATTTCTTCCCACATTTATTGTGGCTTGCTCAGGGTACAAGCAATCAGCGTACCGATTGCGAGTGTAAGCAATGCTCTCCTGAATGGGTTCAAAACGTATCCATTCTGCCTGGGAAAAGCGGCTTTGTTCCGAAGACGGAACCTGCGGCACTTCAAAAGGACAATCCTGCAGTGTTGAGAGACAACATGATACCAAAACCACAAGTGGTGATCAAGCAACGCTCCATGTCCCAAGAGAGCAACAAGGTATCAAAAGCTGTGCCCAAAATTCAACCTCCCACTCCTAAAGTACAACCTTCAGCTACCAAAAGCCCTGCTCCAGCTCCAGCTGCCAAAGTTGTACCTCCGGCTGCCAAAATGGCATCTGTACCCTCCAAAGCTGCATCACAGCCTGTCAACACTCCGGCAGCTCGCACTCCTGCTCCTGTTCCAACTCTAGTAGCACCGACTCCTCTGCCACCTGCCAAATCTTTGGAACAAGACCAAGATGCCCAGTACAGCAAATACATCTACCGCTCCGGTGAGCTCACTTGGTTCAACAGAGGCTCCGCGTGGGGTCTCTCAGTCATCGTCAAGCGCGACCTCTTCAAAGACCAGCGCGGTCAGGACCGACCAAGGTATCTCGTGCAGCCTCTCTCACACCCATACGTTCATCCCACTACGAAGATTATCTCTTCCGAGGATGACCTCCGCCCCTGGCTTGCATGGAGTGCTCCAGGTCCAACCCATCAAACCTTAGCCACATCCGGTTGGGACTACAGGACCGTCGACTGGAAAGGCGTTATCGACGGCCACTACGGTGTCGGAGATGCAGAGGTGGACGGCAGCATCTACGCCGCGAAATGGATAGATGACAGCTTCACCCTCATCGACCCTCTGAGCAACAACACCACAACTACAGGGGAGCGCTCCTACAATGGTATCTACTTTGGCGGCGAAAAGCTCTGGGTTGGAGAGCCGGTCCGTCTCCGCGTCGGCCACGGCCACGACGTGATGATCATCCACCAAATAATCGAAAAACTCAAACAAAACTCCACGAGCTCTGCCTCCGCAAGCGTCTATCTCATTGGTGATATCTATCGCTATTCCACCATCCCGTACGCCGTCGGGCAAGAGCCTGCCGAAAACCCCAACCTCCCAATGCGTCTCCGCCAAGACCTCAAATACCGCAATCGCGTCTCCATCGCCTCCAAGCGCACAATTTCCTACTGGCAAATCATCCAAGCCGCACACCGTCTTGAAATCACAGAGATCAAAGGCCGCTGGTACGAGTCGAGCGTCCTGCTACCTATCCTCCACGGTGCAGCGGCATTCCAACAAGACGTCCAGCGTGGCGAGATTACAGATGTGGGCACCTGGATCAATGGACGCGGTGACGCGAACAGCGCGCCCGGGAAACCGGGCAAGAGATTCAGTAACCGCCTCGAGGCGTTCGACCAGGCTGTTCCGGCTGGAACGAAGATTAGTAGGGGGTTAGATGGGCCCGCGGAGGAGAACGTGTTTCCGGCTACCAATCCGTCGAGCATGCAAGCATCTGTGACGATGGCGGTTCAGCCTGGGACTGAATTGGCGGCTCAGTCGAGTGTTCAGGGGAGCGGAGGACAAGGGCAGCAGGTGCAGGGGGTGAGCGATGGTGATATTGCGCAGTTCATGGATCTGGATCGCATGGAGGAAGGGTTTACGCAGAACTATGTTGGCGGGCAGTTTTGAGGTGCCGGATCGTAGGCAAGATGTACCTAGCTAGCTTTCTCGATATCATGCCCCTCTTGCTTGTCGTGAAGAAAGTCATCTGCCAGCTCGAGGCGTCAATTTCACCATTTCGCAACCACAGCGGGGAAAACCCTCCCCGTCGATGTCAACCGGTCTATGATTTCAGCTTTGATACCGCAAGCTTGCCTCTGTTCGAGGAACCTTGACCCAACCTTTTCCGTCGAGGTAGCATCGACCTATCCAAAATACTTCGCTCAATACTTCCACACCCTTAAGCACTAACATGGACAAATCACCATCCCTAGCGCCATCCTCACAAGGGAAGCTAGAAGCCATCTCCGTCCCCCGTATCATGTGAACCCAGAACATCAGCCAGCTGTCCGCAGAGCCAGCTCCACCTTCATACAGCAGTGGTGTCTGATGCTGATTTGCAATCTAGGCAATCTCAAGTCCATCGGTCATGGATCCTAACCTCCCATCTCGCGCGGCGCTCTCTTTCTGCGACATCTGCCAGGTAGTGATCCTGGTTCATGTCTGAGTGCGGTAGAGCGACTGTCAAAACGCGGTATTCAACCCTCTAATCATCGTGCAGGCACCCAGGGCCTTATACACATCTGACACAGCGAATCTACACTTAGATTCGGGTCGTGGAAAAAAGTCACCCTCCTGCCAGCAGCGTCCGTGAGGGTTTGAAGTCATCGTAGAAAAAAAAGCATCAGTTACAGACGGCATGACCCTTCGCATGTTCGTCACACCATCGATTACGCACACGGACAGAATTTTCCTCAAGTGTTCATAGTCCGGCATCGCAGCTACTACTGCCGCCTCCGATCAGTCAGCGACTTCTCCGCCTCCGGATTCCGCCGTCCACGTGGCCTTTTCCTCATCTACATAAGGTACGTCCAGAGACGGGTCGTCGCGCTCGCCGAGAGGAAAGAAAGGCACTCGGGCAAAGCTTTTGAAACCACCGGGGGCTACGGTGGAGATTTCGTTGGGATGGGAGCGTACGTTTTTCCCTCCCTTGTGGCACCCTCGTGGAGCTCGGATGCGTGTCGAGGAATCTTTGGGATATCTTGTCTGTCTTTAGGTCGGTTTTCCTGTGGATTGGCTTTTTATGGATACGGAACTTGCGCGGGTCGGTGTGACAGATGTTGCGACGCTTCGAGACAATGGCTCGAGTGCTGTGTACCACGTCTTCGGCGTCTGTTACAAGTGACCAGATGGGGGGTTTTCTTCTTTTTTGCTGTTGATCGTACCGCAGCTGGAGTACGGGTGGACGAGATTGTGGTTCTCAGCGTCGAGTTCGCGATAAGAATCACCGATGATCCATAAATACGGAGACGGGTGAACGTCGCAAAATCCTCTTCGTCTGTGATCTGCAATTTGAACACGTCCGCCTGTCTGCGTGCGGTGGAAAAGATGGGATGATGCGCGCCGGATGACGGATGAGAATGAGGGGCGAGAGAGACGTGTAAAGGTCGTGGGGGATCCAGGTCGGGTTACCCATTTTACCGCTGGGCGTTGAAGCAGGCTTCCCGTAGTATGGATCAGGAGTCTTGTCGCCAAGAGTTCTTGTTCCAGAGTGTATCTTTTCCTATGCAGGGCCGCTCCATCAGTCATCTCCCTACGCCCCTTCATTTTTGATCATCTTTCATCTCGTGCGGTTTACCTTCTTCTTCTCAGCCGTCGCAATTGACTCCGTGAGGCGCTGAGCCGCTACCTGACCAGTCTCTCTCTTTATACAAGCGTTGAGATTAAAACGTCTCGTGCATCTTCTGCAACGCTGCAGTGTTTGAAAGCGGGTTGTATTCTTTCAGGTCCGTATATGGGTGCGCATATGAAAGGGTGGAAGATGTTCTCAAGTCCCTCATGGTTTGCAAATGATCTGTTGGACGTTTGAGATACAGTACGTGGATGATCAAAAGACAAAGATGCGATGGGGAGAGACTGGCGGTTTTGTTATCCTGGATATGGTTTGGAAGGATACTGCGAGTCGTACAAGAAGAATTGCCAGAATTGGCTATATTATGGTCCCTCCTACCAGCCATTCGAGGTCGACTCTTGCCTCGATTGTTGAGGGGAAGAATGACATGCACTGTCAGCAACATGCGCTGTCAGCAGGATACTCTCAGACGCTGTGGCGCTGGAGAGACTAGAATTGAAGGTCCCTAATATTTCTGTATGAGCTTATGAGGATAGCTTCCTGATAGGAAGAGGTGGTTGACGAGACCGCGACACTTGGAGGTTGTCACATCGTGAGTTAAGTCTATAAGGATATTCAGCCACCAGTCCCAAATGGCCCTAGTCCAGTATACACGACCGCCTCAACCATACACCCTATTCCACCTCCTGGGAATCCTGCAGCCTTCCCTGTCAGATACAACATGATCTGTATCGTTGCAATGTCTCCTAAGATGCCAACAATGGACCTTGTCCCTAAGCACTGGAGCCTTAGAAACCACCCTTTGGACCAATACTTCCCGCGCCAGCTTCTCAGTGGATGCACTAGGAACGGCGGTGGCTCTTCGGCACAATTACCTGGGTCTGCGACTTCGCTGGACGGTATGGTAATTGCGCGGGCGGTGGTTCACTTTGCTCTTGGAGTCTGCTCGCTAGCCGTGTCTTTTTCAATTCATTTAGGATGTGATTCTTCGGACCTCAGGATTTCACTCAATCCTCAACCAAAGGTTTCAATCCTAGTCCCATGGGCCTCGCTGGGCTGCCTCTCCTGGATTTTCTACCCTCAGCCATGCCGGCTATGCGTTCCTTACTTTCAGTACGACCGATCAACCTGCCCAGATTTTTCGAATTAGCGTTGGTACTTGGGGGCAAATCATAGACAAAGTTAAGGAGTAAGAAGCGTTGATCGCCCCGTAAATATCTCTTGAGACAAGAATATCGGTACAGAACGGGGGGGACTCCCTTTGAATCCAATTGTACGTACCCACTTCTATCCATAGGATTGCCAGCAATGCCGAGACCTTGACCGCTGCCAAGGTTATCAAAACGGTCTCTTCCATCAAGACCGTTTTTGTTTCGACTACGAGGGGTAGCCCACCCCGATGTCTTGCTTCCGTGGGACGCAGAGGAGGAGTCCGAGGTCTCAGGTTCGTCGCTGTCGTCCACAGAACCGAGTTCGAAATTGTCATTTGCCGCTTCTTCGAGTACGCGCTCGTAGTTGCCTAGACTCGTGTTGGAGCGCCAAAACGGGACTTTGCCCCCGAATAGTCCACGCTTTCGTGGTGGTGAGCCGAGGCCACGCCGCGGTGAAGAGCCGAACCTGCTATAGATACGTTGACGGCGGGAGCGACCGCAGAGGAGGTACACCGCAATGGAGAGAATGAAAAGGAAGAGAATGAAGCCAGGTATGCGGCGTGGTGATGATGCGCGGAAAAGATTCGAGTGCCAATGGTCTTCCGTAGAAGTGGAATTCTCCGTGCGGAGGACCGCTGCGGAGCCGGCGTATTGGAAATCTGCGGGGATACCGGGTATATTGCTACCAAATCCAACAGCAAGGGCGTCGTTTCTTGATGGAGGGACCTGGCTGGATGCGTATAGAACCATTTTGCCAAGAGTCCAGCTGACTTCTGTATTATCGATCTTGTTGACTGCTTGAAAAGAAGCTGTAAAGCCCTTGTCCTTTGCATTATCCAATAACTTCATCGTACCATTGTGCATGCTATCTGGAGTTGCCTCCAATCCCACTCTCGGGATTCCAATGCCTTCGTGGAGGATGTTGATAAGCCAGCTAGCTTTGAAGCACACCTCGATAGCGGTCTGCTCATCGACCTTCTTCCCCCACTCGTGCTTGTCTATCCCTTTGCGAATGATATCCCAATCCTGGCTACAGAACTCGCTGACTCGCTGTTGATATGTATTGAAATCGTATGCTTTGTCTTTGTGGCTTTCCTGGAATATCTCATGCGTGGTATGCCAGTACTCACTGACGCCAACAAAGTGATTGACGTCAAAATCGATGGCAGGGACGTGTACTCCGTTGAGAAGACAAGGGTTATCCTCACAGATATGGTCTTTCTCCAAAAGAGGCAGCGTCATCATCAAACACTTGTCGAATTGTCCAGTCCCATTCAGATGAGGGGTTTGTCCATTGATTGTCTTTGACCCTGGTAGGAAAACATCCCCCTTGGTAGTAACGCTTAAGCCGGCGGGAAGGCATGGATCTTGGAGGACCTCCGTATCAATGGCACCACTAGCCTTCTGCAAGGCTTCAACGTATCGCCTCCTGGCTTCATTGACTCCAAAACCTAGCCACGTGGTGGTGAAGACTCGATACTCCGCTGCTGTCCCATCGATAGTCCTCATCCGGAGCAGCTTGAGATCATTCGCATGACGCTCAGCTTCCGTTGCATTTGGGGCGAAAGCAATTTGCGCAGAGGCGCCGCCCATGTCGAGAAAGCCATATGTATGATGGTTTTTCCCATGTGCGTGATCCTTCGGCGCGTCAAAGCCTCCGAGCAGATAGTTCGCGGCGACCCATCCGTACAGACCTTCGACCTCGCCGGGGATGACCTGTATATGTACATCGCATTCTGGTAATTGGAACTTGGTGTTTGAACGAGTGTAGGAGCAAACCTGCCGCAGAAGTTCGTTACGCTGGTTCTCAGGCAACAAGCGCATGCCAGCCGTGGCGAGCAGGAATACTGGCGTGTCTTCCTCAAGACCGTTTGGAATGACTTTGCGGGCTTTCTTATATAGGCTTTCCAGGTGGTCTGGCCCAACACGATCGGGCTTCTCTCCGAACGTCGCAATACCAGGATGTATCTTCTCTGTCCATTTGCTCTTAGTCTCCAATACAGGCAGCGACTCTAATTCCTTCACTCCCGCTTCCTTTCTTGCCTTGTCGCTGTCGAGCCATCTGTAGATATGTAGACGGGTACCAGAGGAACCCGCGTCGAATATGATCCCATACCGCCAATGCGACGATCTCTTATCCACGTCGCCAGACATCACTTTGGTGCATCGAGGGCAGGATGCCAAATGCCAGACGTCAGACAACGAAGGGGCTTTTCTCGCTTCTCAAAGCCAATAAGGAGTGATTGATGCGGCTCAACTCCAGGCGGATGACGAATACTCTACCCGCCGCTAAAAGTAAGCCGGGACGGGAGCTATAATATATCCCCGCAAGTGTAGAGTCATATTTACCTTACATACTTAGGTATGTTTGAGAAGCTTCATCCTACCTCAGTAGTAATCCCAAACAACTCACAGCCTTTTAAACAGTCCGTCGGTTCCATTTGCAACGATCAAAATGAGAGAAGCTATTTCTTTCGGGGAGCTGCCCATTGAGATAGCGTAAGTCACTGAACACTGCCCTTGCAGCCTGATCCTGATTTGGCACTTATAGATCTTACATCTGCACCTTTCTTCAGCAACAGGAAGTTTCAAAACTTTCAGCTACTTCCAAAGCCACCTACCAGCTCTTCCGCCCAATACTCTACCGGCATCCCAATGTCTCATCTTCCACGTCCCTCACGCTTCTTTCTCGAACCTTTACCAGAGCAACATACATGGGAAAGGCAGATCACAAGTGGTCAACCCAAGAGTGCCTGGATCAAACAAAGACCTTGGATCTTACAATCGACCAGATTAAAGATAGTGCCAGAAACAATGACCAGCCTCCAGCGGCCATCTTGGTCTCGCGTTACATCCAAGCTATCGTTCGGCGATGTCCCAACTTAGCAATCACCCTTCGCTTTGCACATTGTCAATGCAAATCCACACCCGTCTCAGGTCTTGACAGTGAAACGTTCCCTCGAGTTACCAAGCTCATCCTCTATGTTGGACGACACGACCCACAGGAAACCCATGGCCGCGCTCATACAAGTTGCGTACCGAACGCCAAATTCTGGCGTCCTTTGGTCAACGGCGTTTCATTCCCAGACTGTTTGAATCTCGAAATACGTCACTACTGGGCAACCAGTCCACCTATGCATGCAAGTCTCGACTTGCAGAAGCGCTACACTAACGTCTCGACCAATTACGGCAGCTATAATATGCGCAATCCTCGTGGAATTGCTGGCGGCAGACTTAACAGTAACTTCGTGGACACTCCATTGAGAGCAGATCAGATAGTAGGCCCAACTAAAGGTCTGAAAAGGTTCGAGAGCATTGTGCTTGAATGTCCCCCCGAGCTTGACTCTCCACTGCTCATGCAATTGCTTGGTAATCCAGATTCGGTGGCTGTGAACTTGGCAAAGCTTGAGCTCCGGTTCTGCAATCTTGATTACGAAACAATCTCAAAGTTGCTTTACCATGCACCGCCCAATCTGAAGCATCTTGTACTTCTCTGTTGGGACGATGATCGAGATTACCACGGCTACGACGCTACAGAATGTCCGCACTTGTGCCCGTTGATTAGAGACTTCAGTAAGAAGCTTGTCCATCTGGAATATGCTGCTCCTACAGTCTGTCGTGAGCTTTTCTTTGATGATCTCGAGATAGGAAGCTTGAGACATAATGGTATCACGACTGGCCTTGGAACGGAGGGGGGCGCAATCGAAGGTCATGAAAAACTCGATACCCACGCAATTGGGGAGACTGTGCAAGCTTGTCGTAGACAGAAGAGATCGAAACACCGCACTGGCCGCATCAAGGAAGCTATTGCGACGGCCAAGGCGCAGAGCGGAGGAACAACGACGTCATCTCTTTTTGGCGGGGGTACCAATGCAAATCTTGGTGCTGCTCGAGCCCGAAGAGAAGCCGAAGTATTGCTCGACGAGGAGGACGAGCAACGGGCCCGTTTGATTCAAGGGTCCAAGACACCCTGGTTCAGAAGAATAATAACGTGGCACGGTCTCTGTCAGCCGAACGATACATGGGAAGAAGTTCAGCTTGCCGCAGATATGGAGGAAACGGGCGTCGAATGGGTCGTTGCGAGTAAGTCCGCCATCCTCATCGGCTAACACGGCTTCATTGGCGCTAGCTGACGCTGTCGCAGATAAGGACCTTGGAGTCGCAAGCCAGCATTCCCATGGCAAACTTCCCATTACCTTAGAGATTGGCAGGGCTTTCGAAGAGAAATTCGACTTTGAGCCCGGTCAGTTCTTCGGGACCCAGGCTTCATGCGAGGAATCCGACCCAGAGCCGGACCCATTTGATGAGCTCTAATGCACTGACACGTAGATATTGCTCAAACAAAGAAGGCAATATGATACGGTGTGGTATGTTGTGTATGGGATTCAGCAACCCTCTCAGGGTCTCGTTGGATATGCTGTTCTACCTGGAGCCTCTAGCAGCCTGGCGATGCATTGCCATTACTGTGGGACCCTTTCCTCGTCGACTTCTCCACTTGCGGCTAGATTTCTCCTTGCCACACTATTGCACACTGCACCCATCTCAATGCATGATGCGTGTCGCCGAGCTCGAGTCACTGAGTCAGTTGCGCTAGTATTGCTGTTAGGGTCATGCGCTAGCTCGATATTACCAAAGCATTGGTAAGCGAACTTTGCAAAGCATAATGTCTCCATACAGTCTTGCAGCCAATGGACAGTACGAATGCTCTCCCAAAAGGGTTGTTCCCATGAACGGATGCTTTCGTAGTACCCTGTGTGCTGAGAAATATTTATGCATCTTTGGAACCGCTTACCGATGCCGTAGGGGCATATCGCGGCTCAAACGACCTTTGTCCACGGACAACTCTCTCCCATTGTGTCTTCACATATCCCTCCATCAGAACAACAGGAAATCTCACCGTGAAACCCATCCTCCCCCTAAAATGTCCCAAATCCCGGTCACAGAAGTCTGCATCATCGACCTCAAAGCCCCGTACGACCTCAAAGACCCCTCCACTCCCGAAGGTGCCATCTGGGCATCCTCCATCTCCACCCTGAAAAAATGTCCCGGCTTCCGAGACATCTACACCAGTAGCGTCGTCGAGGATAGGGGCAAAGCCCGTATGTTTCTTAGTAAATGCCTCTTTTCCTTCCCCCCTTTCTTCTTCGCCCCAGGCATGGTGTCAAAGATGTGGCTGTTTGAGAAGTTGAAATCTTTTGAGTTTGGGTATCAGTTTGAAACACTGCGTCGTTGGTGATCAATCTATTTCCAAAAAAAAAGGCGTTCAACAGCGCAAGGAGATCCTCGCTGGAGTTGATTTTGTCGAAAGATATGAGCATCCGTACCCTTTCGACTGCCAATTTCCCCAGCACCTAGCCTGCCTCATTACCCCAGCCCCCTATTTTATCCCCCTCAGTCGGTCTGCCTGCTTACACCATCGCGAATGAACCCCAGACTGGGACAGCAAAGCAGACCACCTCTCCTTCTACGACACGCCCCACTTCCCGGCCTTCCGCGCCCAACTGCTCTCCCTCTGCGCCGTCCCGCCGATCCCGATCCACGTCCTCTTCCACCCCGCGCAGCCCAAGACCCTACAGGCCCCCGTCACCGAGGTCGTAATGGCCTACTTCCCCCTCGCCATCACGACGGAGCAAAAGGAGAAGTGGGAATCTATATGGCAGGGATTCGTGACGAAGGTGGGGGGGGAGGTGGAGGGGGTGAGGGATGTGCATGGTGGGTGGGTTGTGGAGGGTATGGAGGTGGAGGGGTTGGAAGGGGAGATGAGGGCGTGGATGGGGACGGTGGGGTGGGAGGGGTGGGGGGCGCAGAAGGGGAAGGCCGGGGAGGGGTTGGTGGGAGTGTTGGATGGGGCGGAGGGGTTGGTGAAGAGGGAGATTTATCATGTGGAGCTGACTTGAGTGCTTTCGCGTTCTCACTCATTCAAATGCTGCTGAGAGTGGTCGTTACGGTTATGTGAGAGGAAGTGGCCAGTGTCATGCGTAGGTAGATCACAGCAGCGCTGTTGCGGTATAGCCCGAGTCGCGCAGTATCGGTTGTAATGTGAAGAACAAAGTAGTGAGGGTCGAATTTTCCAGCTTCGCGGGTTTTCTCGGACGATTTCAGCGTTTCGAGCGTCAGGAGCTCAACATGGAAAATAAATCCCCAAGGTCTTCGAATGAAAAAATTGGGGGAAGAGTGATTGAACCAACCACGCTGGTGCCGCTCTCTAATTTTTCATGTCATCAAGCTCGAGGCTCTGATGCGCGAAATCAGCGCTATCGTCACCCCGTGGTAGGCGAACTCTGATGCTGTCCCAAAGCCGGATGAAGACGTGGACGTGACTTCTCTCTGGGTCGCCATCACCAAACTCTTCGGACTTTGGTAACGTGGCGGAGGGGGAAGGGTAAGCTGCTGCAACAATGTTACACTCTTAGGGTTCTCTGAGACTCTCTCTCAAGCATCTTCTCTTACCGCACATAGTTTATCGTCACCATTGGAGTGATTAACTTCGATGAATGAGGCTGTTCGCCTGTCTCTTCTTTGCTGTGCTTTGATTGACGGTGGTTTTCTGTATAGGCTGGTCAAAACAAAGCTTTATGTCGGAATGGGTTTCCAAACCACACTTGAGTAGTGTTTGAGCAAAATTTTTGCATTCTCCAAGTAGCCCTCCAGCATGGCAAAACTCGGCATCATAGCATCCGTGGTCCAAATCGCTGACGTTGGCTTACGTCTAAGCATCAAGCTCTACACCTTCGGTGAAATTGTTTCGAACGCAGATAGATCCGTTATCTCCATATCCAAAGACGTATCCCTCACCTCTTCCGTTCTCAAAGAGCTGGGATCGTTGCTTGATAAAGATGAATCGAGTCGGATGGTCTCGGAGAATGCAGTGCAGACCGCTGGTAAGGTCGTGAAAGAGTGTTTGGAGGTTTTCGAAGAGATAGATACTATATTGGTGAAGAAGATGCCAAATTTGAGAGAATAGGGCCGGGAAAGGAGACCGAAAGCCGTGGTGCTGCTGGAGAGAGTCAAGTGGTCATACCTACAGCCAAAGTTGCAGTTGCTGAGGAGCAACTTAGATAGATTGAAGAGTACGTTGTTGTTGATGCTGAATGTCATTACCTATGCTAGGCAAGTTGCTGGAAGGTATGACCTGGTTTTTTTAAGATGTTGTTAATCCAATAATGGGTCTTCGCTAATACTATGATAGATCTTAGCCTTCTTCAGTGATCAAAGATCAGAGATCCCTAATCGAAGATTTGGCGAGGTCCAATCAGGACTACATACGCAACTTCGAGAGCTTGAAGCTGGGGATCGAAGACAATCAAAGCACAAAAGAGTCATATTCACAAAAGGGTGGGACTAGCAGAGAGATGGGTTGGCACCTACAGGAGCAGCCACAGGTAAACTCTCAGCGTGGTGCACCTAGAAAGAGAAGTGACCCACAAGAAGCCCATGCACCACACATGAACACAGGCGATATGTTCCTTAGTATCAGTGTTCAGAACATGCCTGTGAAGCAGGAACCGAATGACACCAAACCGCAGCGGGAGATGCAAGACAATGAGCCGGCAGAAGATGAACTCTTCTCCCATCTCAAGCACTACATTAGCCTCGTCAATAACCTACTCAACGAGGTCGACGAACTCAAGTACGACATTCGAGTTGATAGCCGCGATCGAGTCAAGGTCGAGATCTTGCGGACGTATAAGCACGAAATGAAAATTCTAGATACTCCCGACCAACGTTTATGGGGCTCAATGGCGGCGAAACCTATCGCGCCTCTTGTAAGCGGTCTCCAGAAACACTTGCACCAAGCTCAGCAGCGGCAGAATCAACAGAGGGTCAAGCAATATCAACGTCAAGATACCGTAGGGCAGTGCATGATGGCGCCTCCGATTGTTAATCCAAAACCTTTTGTGCAAAGTGCGGATTTTTATCCACAGCAACATTCGTACATGAATAGCAGCGAACAACCATCAGCAGCACCGACAATGTCGCACTCAGCCTTAGCATTTGGCTCCCAATCGCGACGAGACGTGCCTCAGACCTATGCTGAGCCAAGCTGGATAGCGCAGGGTTCTCTGGACTTACCAGACTCCAAGAGAAGACAGCCCAAACCCGAAATGTTTGGCGAAACATCACTATCAGCTCAAGGTGCGGGCACATCGGTGGACGAATGGCACGCATCGTATTATACGCAACTGGCACAAATGCAAGCACAAGACCGGCAAAAGGAAGCTTTTGATAGTTTCCTGCTATCTCAAGCAGCCGCAGCAACTACTGCGGTCGCGTCAGCTCAACCGAGCTATGACTGTTCGATGCCACAAGCAGCAATGCCTATTGAAGCTACTTCACCTCTCCCATGGACTTCTCCTAAGACATTGGACTCACGATCCCAAGCTGATGGCTATACTAAATTGGACTACACTTCCAGCAGACTCGCTTCATTAGACGATAAACCCCTAGAAGACACTTTTCCTGGTGCGGTAGAATCAGTCAGCGCAAAAAAGTCATCCACTTCATTTAGAAGATTTGCGAGGAAGCGTATCAGAAGTAGCAGTGACCTGGGAGGCCTCATTCTTCATAACCTTACTCTTCCCAGTGCCACAAAGTTAGCAACAACGCCTGATCGTTCGACCCACAATACAGAGACTAGGTCGGCGACGGCAGAGTCAGCCAGGCTCGGTCAACTGAGAGGCACGAAAAGGAGGAAAGATGGAAGTCCGATTCGTCTCAAGGAACGAATCATGACGACATTTGATTATGGGACACAATGTGTAAACGGAGTCAATCATGATCCAGATCCAGATACTCCTGATGGCAGACGAAGTGTTGTAGACGATCTCATCGAAATGTGGACATTGTTGCCCGTCAAGAAGGCTACTGTGTGACGTGGGTCGCTTCATTTCTTCATTCTAGTATTGTCGCTACTCCCAGGTATTCAACGCGCCAGTACACGATCAATCATTCTTGCTGTAGGTCACGATAAGCATGCTAGTACGCAACTATGTCGTATATCGTCAAGGACTCAAAGTCACTCTGCATAAGTCTTGATGCGTATATCTGAAGCGTTCAGTTGGCCAGCCACATTGTCAGGTTTTGCCCATTTTTCATGTGATAGAGATAATTAGCAGGGACTGCAGTTTTGCCCGTTGATTATTATACGTTCCATTTGTGTCACGCATCTGTTATACTCTAGCAACAAATTCCACGTTCCCCAAACCAGCAGCAAGGAATGGTCGAATTGTCTCCTCAATAGTACCTACAATTCGTACGTCTAGCTCTTTGATTTCGGCCCTTTTGCCCACACCGTGCGACAATGCAGCACTTTCTTCCTATTTCCACTTGTCTGATTCGAGCAGGTAGTGAAGTTAAACTCTTTGAGTGCTGTAGCAGCACTACCGGCATACTCGTTCGATCATTTCGATCATGAGATTGAGAACACTTCGAGATTCAGGCCAAAAATAAAGTTCAGGGCATCTAAAAGCCGACAGTCGAGGGACAGGAAACCCTCAGAATCCTCGGATCCACTGTTTGTCCACAAAACACTTGTTTAATTTTTGTCTCTGCATCTCCGTCAGATATTTCCTTCCTACTATTAGCAGACTCCTCTGCGCCCCTCGCCGCTTAAAAAGTCAGAATACTCCTTGCTTCCGAGATCTCTTTCTCTCTCTCTCTCAACAATGAATAAATAGAACAGCAGAGCTTCCTTCAACACTTCTATAGCGTGTGACCCGAAAGCCTTCCCTCACAGTGCTGATTCTCTATTCAGCAGTACATACGCGAATACGACGTTGAATTGGCAGTCTGTCTGTATACGGTACAATTGAACCCTTACATCTGTCAGTATTGTTTCCACATGACGGTTATTTAGTATTACCTCAACACTGTCTTGAACTTCAACGCACATGTACTGTAAGCAGGTACTCTAACGTTTTACACGGATTTGGATAGGAAGTGAACCTGGCTGCAGGGGGGCAGATCACTATTTCGTACTCACATTTGTAGAACTCTTACCGAATCATACCCTCCCACCAAATTTTGGGGCATGATTCAGTAGGTTGTCATAGTGACCTCAAATCACAAAGGAGAGGATCCGTGATCTAGCCCGTTCGATCACGGAAGTAAGGAAATTTTCCCGACCGCTTTAAGTTTACATTAGATGCTCGTACGAAGTTCCTTAATGTTTTATATTACTTGTTTGTTGATTACTTTCTTACTCGCATACTTGCTTACTTACTCTCTAATCCTACTTGCACGTGTTACTCGCTTGCTTACTCGCTTGCACATATTATTTACTTGCATGAGTTGCTTACTTGTACGAATTGCTAGCTTACACACGTTGCTACAACGATACACGTCGCTGCAGACAGACCTGGCCTGATGCCCCACCGAAGGTGGGTCTGAGTAGAAAACCTTGTCAAGCCTTATTTTTCCGCTGCGGCCCTGTTATGTCACATATTTTACCTTGGGTTAACCGAGTGATTGATCCGAGAGAGGGCTGAGAGGAGGCTAGTGAAATTATTGTGATTACTTTTAGTCAGTCCATAAGAACTGCTAATATAATGTAAGTGAATGTAGCCATTCGAGATCGAGCGGATTTGCGGAATAACTGTGCCCTGAGATACCCTCCACGACACTAGTGATCTTCAGTTCCAACTGCTTCACATCGTCCGCACATCCACGGGCTTCGAATACAGCTGCGAGATTTCTCATGCTTATCACGACGTCCTGATCAATTGCATCCCATTGCAGTGCTCTAAGACTCCGTGTAAAAGACTTGAGTTCCAGCTCTGCTTCAGTCCAGTGTCCTTGGATCCAGTGAGTTAGCGCCAGGTACTCGGTACAGCCTCCCGATACCGAATCGAGCTGCGCGTCTTCAAGGCTTCTTTGTCTTGCGCTGACGACCTGCTCCAGAAGGTACTGTGCGTTGCTTCACTTCGTCTGGTCATAGTATATTGCGGCCATACTCGCCATACATCGGAGCAAGTCCGGATGATCCTGTGGTAGAGAAGCCTCCCTGAGGTCCATGACCTTCACCAGAAGTGCTTCAACCTTCCCGTGTCGCTCTTGATGGTGATACTTCCAGGATTCTAAAAGCGAAATTTTCACATGATTGATAGTCGCTTTGCTCAATCATAAGGTGCATCGGGACACTGCCCAACCAAGAAGTAGCGAAGTGGACAGGGCCGAATGTCTCCGGCATGGTACGATATTCCCTATGTGACAGGTTGACGACGTTTATCAAGGAGTCGGACCGCCAGTACTCATGGGGCAAATTGGGATTTCCGAGATGCCCGGTACTTGTCAAAGCCTCCACCGCGGCGTTCGTAAAGGAGTGATACCCGTTCTTGCGAAGATTGGCTACTGCATCTTCAAGATATCCTATTCTTGGGTCACTATGTCCCAGGAGAGCACGGACTTTAGTCACACATTTCGCCGTACCAAAGCCAAGGCTGTGGCAGAACGCACGCTCAAATCGAGCATGATCTTGGGCGTCGTCCGTCGTTTGCTCCTCGGTCAGACGTTCAAGACATCCGAATGTATGTTCTCTTATTCGGTAATCTGCTTTGATCAGCTGACTAAAGCCCTTGACCATCTTCTGTTCAGTCAGTAGAAGATTTCATCTCTTATTTCATCTTTTTCAGACCCACCGAGAATTTTGGCTTTGGAGCCAGCAACATTTCGGCCTCGGCTCCGAAAGCAGCTCCGAGTCTCGCCATTTGGATCGTGACTCTTGGTAGACGAGACATAAGTGACTATTTAGCTTTGGGATTTTAGCTCATGTACACGAGCGCAATCTGCTACCCCCCGGAGTCTCTCATTTGGCTCGACCTGAGGTTGGTCGTCGACCGCATTGTCAGTGCGGGAAGCAAAAAACTTGATCCATAATGTAACTAATCCTAGCGTGTATACATCAGCTTCTTTGGCCGCACTCAGTGGAAACCCTCGATGATGGTGCTCAGGAGCGTGCCATGGAGGCGTCTGAGGAAGCAAAACAATTATATCCAGAGTCGGTAACTTTCCCCCTCTGAATATTAACACGTTTTCAGGTTTGATGTCGCCGTGAACAATGGCCGTTGACCTGATTACTTCATTACCATTTATCGTGACCATCCGGGAGGCTTACAGCGCAGCTGCATACTCTGCATTGCCATTGCAATATCTACGCAGAGATCCAGTCTCTCTGTCAGGTCTCATGAACCGGCCCAGGTCGCCGAAGGGCGACTTCTCAAATACCAGCACCGGTCTAATGTCTTCCCTGTCCTGGGGAATATTCCAACACGAGCCTTGGATTTTGATGATGTTCGCATGGTTCCGGTTCCAAGGGTGACCGAGCAGAGCAATATCGGATCCTAGAGTCTGGAAACCGCTACGAGAATCACTGAATTCAATATGCTCAAATGCGTCGCTAAGATCAGTTCTTATTTTGATATATGTTCGACGTCGTGCCGCTGCCTACATTATCCATCGCTGGCTGCCAGGTAATTGGAAGCAGATCGATTCCGCGCCATTGCGCAACAGCAAGGAAAGAAAGGAGGTCCCGCGGCAGGGCTGGTCCTGGTCCACATTCTGGTGTAGCGCTGCAATCCGTCCTGCTGCCGAAGGAGAAGACGCTGCATGTACATGCTGTTGCCCGACTCACTGCCACCTGATAGTCCGCACTACAATACACACGAAGAGTACCACGACAGTAAAGATAGTTGCTTCAATACGCCAGCTCTAGGCAACAAATTGCTGTGCTACCTACGGAGGTCGGCAACGAAAGCCAAGACTCCTGCGCCAAGAGGCCTGGACAATTGCGCCCTCAGCCCAGTTTGGGGCTCAATGCCCGTATCACAGACCCCTAAAGTCCCTCGGGGTCGGCAGAATAAACTGCACTTACTCTACAGAGTGTGTGTGTGTGTGTGTAATTCCTACGTCGGAGGGGCGCCCCTCTAGCCATATAGGCTAGAGTGGGACCGTTTTTCCCCACTCGGCCTTTCGGCCATATCCGGTTTTTACGTATAGTGTGCTATCTAGAGTGACCCATACGCCTAAAGAAAAGAAAAGAAACAGTACTGATTAAAGGGTTGTCTTCGGGCCATGCCTCCCCAATTCTGTCCCGTCTCGCTTCCATCGAAGTTCCTCATTCGTGTTGTTCGTCCCATTGCCTTCCGTCCAGTGTCAGTTGGTCGGTTGGCTTTCATAAAGTCGCTCGGGGGGCGGTGTCTTGAACACCCTTCTCGGAGTGGGTGTCTCTATGCTCTGTGGCTATTGTAGTGAGGGGTGGCGGCGTATATAGGACATATTCTCTTTTAAAAGACCGTTATCGTACTATAATCGTACCCCAGCTGCTATAGCCGCTAGGTTAATTATTTGCATCTTTCATACTCTCGGATCCCGTGCTTGGATAAAGTCGTTATACTACTCCCCAATCCATAACATCTAACCTAATACTCGAATAATTCCTATCTCGCGAACGGGCTCCTAAAGATCCGTCCTAAGAATATCTTCTATATCGGTTTCTCTAAGTATACTACTGCCATATCGCATGATAAGTATCGAGTGCGTCCTCTCCCGTACACTAGTGGTTATCATCTATAATATCGCCCCGAAATAATAGATTATATATTCGCTCGGGGGTAGATCAGCCAGCTTCGCTAGGAAGTCTTTCGTAAGGGGGTTTATTCTCGTAGAGATCTTCTTATTTATCATAAGAACGTGCTATCTCTTAAGGTTCTCATCTTACATAAAGGCTATAACTTCGAAGCGGAGGTGTTTGGATTTAATTATCTACTATAGATCGTCTAGCTCCCCTAATAGGGCGATATAGTTACTATTATACTCCCTTAAGAGAGCATTTCATAGGTCTTTAATGATGTCACAATCGGTTTCGATCCTATCTTCTCGACTGTATCTAGAGCTATAGGCGACTATCTTTAGATATAATAACGTTAGTGTATTCTATACTATACGTAAAATATAGCGTTCTTATATCTCTTTAAGTGCCTCGATCGCGATAGTTATCGCCGGGAGTGAAAAGATGTTACGGAGTATTATGGGCGAAGCCGAGGATAATAAGGCCTAACTTAATCGGTTAAAAATTATATCTAAAGTCTGTTAGCGTAAATAAAGATTTAAGGGCTGAAAGTTAAATATAATCCGTATTAAGAGAAAGATGAAAATTTCGAGGCTGTGTTTAATCTCTTATTATAAGATACGGTTATCGATTATTTCGTTGATAGAATAACTATTTTCCCTGGCAACCGCCTATAGTAAGAGTATTCTATATATACGGTTTCGTCTATTAATTCTATAGGTAAGTATACTATAAGCTATCTACTCGAGGGAGTAAGATTAAGGAGATAAGGTTGTATTACTATAGGTAGGTATTGAGTTCGTTATACTCTTATATATTAGTCTGAGATTTAGCCGGTCTTCTCGAGTTTAGAAGCTCTCTCTCTCGTTGCCGTTCCCGCTGGAGGGGAATATCTCAGGGAGTCGATAGCGCTATATATCGCAAAAGTCCCTACAGTTTAACCTCGAGTCTATGTCATGAGATGCCTCAGGGATACTCATAGGGCCACTAGCGTAGGCTTGGCACCGCACATATCTGCCTGCAGACCACATAGATAATTAACATCTTTTACACCACACACATATATGAGTCAAACCATAATGATTCCTTAACAATTGGTAGCAACACCTGGCCCTACTTCATAGGATATCCAGGCGTCATCAGACGTTTACGCAAAGCCCACATCAACACCTAATAGTGTGACGCTCCAAGCCGGACCTCCAACACACTCGCGTCATCGAGTACCTTTTGACACCCCGTCCTATCGATCCTTTCACTAGGCCTGTCGATATCATGAACTCATACGCTGCAAGACTTGCCTCATTCACGTCATGGCCACACATATATCCAAGTGCCTCTACCGTAGCCCGTGCTGGCTTTCATCGAGAATTCGACCCTACTTTTCCATCCCCGGATCTAACGGTGTGCTCACTATGCGGTCTTGATCCTTGTGACTGGGATAGTGACAATCCATTCGATTTCCACGCTACTCGATCACCGGAGTGTCCATTCGTACGTGCAACACAGCAGAAGAAGAAGCACCGGAATCAGAAGACTCGCCAGCAATATACGAGAAGGTCTCTACAGCCAGTCACTCAGTCAGCTACTCAGCAAGCCACTCAGTCATCCACTCAGTCAGCCACTCAGCAAGCCACTCAGTCTGATACTCTACAAGAGGAGGAACTACAACAGGCAAATGCGGAGAATACTGCGGAGAACACGGCGGAGAAATCAAGCGGCAGCAAGGCCTTCAGCACCAAGAACACAGGCTTACTCTTCAAGATCCCACGTTATATGCTCTCTACGATTCCACGTCAAATCACCACTCAGCAAGCGGAGAACGACACTACAACTTGGCCTGTCATCCCCACTGCATTGATAGGATACATCACTGCAATGACGTCACAAGAGGAGGATCTACTGCGTCGATCACAGCCAATTGGGCCACTGCAGGAGGAAGATCAATGAGGAAGATCGGACGATGCATATTTGGACGAATTGAAACCGTCCGATGTCTTGCTTCGACATCCATTTCATTATTCAAAAGTTTTCACTACGGCAGGAGATTTTGTGAGATCCACACCACTAATTAGCCCGGTGTCTCCACTCCTTTCCGATTTTTCGAAAAGCACACATGCATGTATACTTCTTGCCATGAGGACATGGCATTTCTCTGTTTTTTGTGGGCAATTGTCATGAGATGCCTCAGGGATACTCATAGGGCCACTAGCGTAGGCTTGGCACCGCACATATCTGCCTGCAGACCACATAGATAATTAACAACTTTACACTACACCACATATATGAGTCAAACCATAATGATTCCTTAACAGTCTATGTGATATATGCCTTATTTTACAGAGTTAAGATCGAGATATTAATCCTACCCTATTATTCGAGGCTATAATAAAACCGCGAGATATCTACTTCCCTTTCTAAGATCCTCGTAAACCTTATCTCTTACGCCGCCTATCACTTTTAGTATTATACTTATTCTATTAAATTTGCGTATTTATCGTTCTATAGACTACGAGATTATCGTATTTAACTATAAAGTTAAGAAGGCTCCTCGCTATAGCGCGCATCGAGTCTTTAAACGTAAAAAAATCAATCGATATAATCGATATATTCTCAGCTTATTAAGAGGTATAATAAATTACCTTCGGGTGGGTTATAAGAAATACTGCGTTTAACCTCTAGTCGTAGGGGTAATAACTTCTAATAATAATATTCTATTATTATTAAGGGGCGATAATGGATAATAATATTTCTCGCAAAGGCTAACACCCACAAGATTTCTAGACTTCCCGAGACGTCGCGTTAAAGTGCTTTTAATTAACATTACGTCGAAGAGTAGAAGATAAGTATAAAAAGAAAAGAAAATGATGCTAACAATACTAACAAAACAGCCCATAGGCAAGGCGACTAAGTGTCACCTGCCCGAGTACTTTACAGAGTAGGGCCCTCGAAAATCGCAAAACATATCTTCTACCAACTTTTATAACTCAATAACGAAAGCTTCAACGACCAGAACCTTGGTGTATGAATTACTCTGATCGTATAACTCTACAACTTCCCAACCGGAATGATGAGCGCACGTTGAATGGTTGAATAAATATTCGACTTCAAAAATCCGCCACTGTGAAGTTTAGTTTGCCGACCCCGAGCGTTCCAGGGATCAGGGCTCCTACTTTAGGGCTGTCTTCCGAAATTAGGGTTAGGCGGGTACTAGCGCAAGCAGAATCATAATGCACTGACACTGCAACATATCTGAAGAAATTGCGCATGTCGAAGCGTCATCTGATCTGACCAGCTTCATCACGTGTTACCAGGACGATACTTTCATAATACATGACACTTGCCAAGTATCGTCTCCTCTCAATCTCTTGCGCCCGTGTACGGGTGAAGCTGCCTCCGTTGGCAGAGCTCATGCCTGTTTCCCGACTTCCACGACGCCCTTATGCGACGCCCTACGAAACAGTCCATATAGCCATTGCCAGTCCCGTGTTGACCACCGGCAGCCAATACGGTATCTCCATCCTCCACTGACTCCACCTGTGATTGTCTAGATCAGAAGTGTCTCTTGACAAACATAAAAACCAAGAACGAAGACATTCCGCGGAAGAAATGGATCTAGAGAGAAAGGAAAAGGGGAACTAGCTTACACGCCCATCAGCGACAAACACCCCGACAGGACCGACCCCGCCACTCTCGTCGCCGGCAAGGCTACACCGACAGAGGCAAGGCACATTGCAACACCGATGACCTGCGTGAAGGTGACGGCGTCCAGGGGCACGAAGGGGAAGGCGGCGAGGGTGCCGTCGGCTTTCGCCATGGCGCGCTTGTAGAGGGACGGGGTGGGGGAGAAGGGGAGACGGGCTTGACCGCCGAGGAGGAGCTCGAGGGAGAGAACGGTGGCGAGGACGTGGGGGAGCGGTGACATGGTGTACGGGTTTTGTAATGTGGGTTTGCAGGTGGTTGTATGATTATCGGTGAAGAAGGGCTTTGGAGCCTATTTTCTTATGTAGTAACCTCTTCAGCCTTGCAAGGCTGGAAAACACACGGATTTTGGGTCGGACCTTATCAACAGATCGTCAGATCGTCGGATCGCCCCTAGATTTCAGGCGCCCCCGTCCGTACTCGTAAAACAAACCGGTCCAGATCAAGATTAGATAAGATCGAGACCAGAACATCCATAACATCCATAATTTCATTTGATTACATGTAGGTGCTTTACGGTAGGACCTGCTTACAACAGAGGTAGCAGATCCTCGAGTTTTGATCAGTCCAGTATGTACAGTGATCCGTAATAGCGCTCAGTACACACTTGGCATATGCAAAAACCACTTCGCTTCTTGGCATTGCGGGTCGTTACACCAATCAAACCACATACTCCCCAATAGCATGCACCTCACCATCACCCACATATTCCAAATTCGATCCCGTCTCCATCTCCCTGCCCCTCTCCGCAAGATGCACCTTCTCCGGAATCGACATGCTAGCCTGAGACTCCAGGTCCTCCCACCCTTTGCCATGATTTCTACCCTTGTCCTGATAATAAGACAAAGAAGAGGGCATGGCACTCGGCATAGTATTAAGCGTAAGTTTGTTGAGTTGGACTTGATCGTCGGTGTCTATTGCTAGTGTGTTTTCGGAAGTCTTGCGATATCTCTCGGATGTTCTGCGGTATTTGAAGTAACGAAAGATCGAGGGGCGTGAGGGATTGAAGAGGGGTTTGAGAGTCGGGATGGAGGCGGCTATAATGCCGACATTTATTTCGAGGCTGTGGCACGATAAATTGTGGTTAGCAGTGGGCTACAGAACGTAGCGAGGGACGAAAAGATATTTCTGGAATGAGCTGGACTTACATGGCCCAGACGGCCGATTGGATTGAACCGCCTATGATGTATGTCAGTACACTTCAACTTGTTGGACTGGAGATGATTCTGATTGGGCTGTCGCCGCTAGCACTTACCCTGTTCTGCTCCAGAGGTACCATCGGTGAACAGTGTGGTCCGGACAATGGCACAGATTCCGGTGCTATTTCTTGATTTAGCCGCGCAACATCTATGGCGTGGCCAGGAGATCTCACAAGTAACCCAGTCCCATCAAGATACAAATCCCAATCTTAACCGTGAATCTCATCTGTATGTTCCACATGAATACGATTGGCAAAGTGGCGAGTATCCAGTCGCATAACACCGATGCTCCTGAAGAATATTTAGGTTTGGCTCGATCGTAAAGTAGATGATTCAGGGTTACTTACCGCCGTTGAAGTATCCTATGTCAATAACAGTCCGGGGTGACCAGCAACTGCCTGGCAAGAGCGGGTCCCAGAGCTTCTGGACTGGTGAACACTGGGCCAAAAGAGAGACAATGGTAGGAATGATGACGGCTGTGGCAAAGACCATGACAGCATATAAGCCCCATCTCCATTCTCTCTTCGTGCGGAAGATGCGCAAAAGGAACAGACATATCGACAATCTTGTGCAGAGTCCGGAAAAGATGCCGATTGGCGCCGCTATCGAGCTCCACTTCAAAGCTGTAGTGACGTCGCGGAGCGCTTCAGCCTTTGTTGAGTAGTCTCCGGCGAGGTACAATGCACTATAGTGCACTGTGAGGCTGGTCATCGCACAGACGATGAGAGAAAGAATCTGATTTCGGTTAGCTTGCAATTAGTGTTGGTAAAAAGGGTACATACCAGAGCCAAGACAATAACGGCGTCATCTAGTCCAATGCTTTTTACGACAACGGTCCTAACATAGACCCTAATCAAAACCAGAAGAGTCGCAATAGCAACGAATGTTGACTGTGTAGCAAGGTAGGCAGTGCCTCCCTTGTTGCTTGGGTCAGATGATGATGCAGCTTTGCTTGTCGTGGCCATTGCAATTCAATGGCACACAAAAAAGTCAAACCTTGCCCGTTGGTGTTTTTGTTGAGGGGGGATTTTTGATGAGTGACTTGTGGGGTTGACACATTTTCTAGAGGCTCTGGTATTTGAGTCTGATCTTACAATCGATGACAGCATCGTGGGTCGCTCACTGTACACACGGCACAGCCTGACAAATCAATGTTTCATGTGTTTGCGAAGAGTGTGGCATTTCAGCCCACAGGATGGCTGTGCTGGGCACCTAGCCAGGAGCGAAGAGGGATCGATAAGCATGTTGAGAAGCGATTCCGTAGCGGCGTAATTTCAGCTGAAAGGCTAGATTGCTGGAACAGATCTGCCATTGCCGAGTTTCGGTAATCTGCAAGCGATCTCATACCTGTACACCCCTTCAGGTCGGGTCAGCGTTCGCGATTGTCAGAGTAACATATGCGGGTTGAGGGGATAGGGTATGTCTATGCAGAACACAGATTTGTTTACTTTAACAAGTTAGGGTGTGAGGTGCTTTCCTTAATGCCGCCTCTCGGGTAAAATGTTTTGGCTAGGACTGGACCCCTGAAGCTTACGGGTACATATGGCAGTCCTGCAGGAACAAGAACCCGACCACTTTGATAGGTAAAGAAGTGAAAGTCTTTGACCGGCTTTAGCGCTACCCGATGTTCGGGTGTGTAAATCTATCAATTTGGGTCGCTTCGCTCCTATCAGTGGACCTTCCTGCTCTCAGAAGTAGGGACCCTATATGCACAAGGCTGTGCAGAGCTGAACGTTGATAAGAAGCTTATGTCAACCGAAAGGAAGATGCGAGCGAAAGAATTGATGGCTCGCGTGCGAGGCTGCGGGCGAATTACTAATTCATACCCGAAAGTATGGATCCTTACCGAATCATACCCCTACACCAAAATCCACCCAAATATGGGTTATGATTCGCTAATTTGCTATTGCTTGGGGTATGATTTGGTGAGGATGCGTCCTTGCCATAGTGGTAGCCTACTTATAGATACAGCTAGGTGCCTATTAGAAATTATTCCTCTAGGGCCCCCGGGCATGGCTTTTAAGCTAGCGGTAGCTTGGTACCTTATATTTGCATTTCTACTCCGGGCCGATCACCTAGCTAGTGAGACCCCTAGAGCTAACCTGGGTATTTGAATCTTTTAGGGTAAGAGGGCCCCGGAAGCGTCTGAAGCGTAGTGGCCTTCGAGGGGTCGAAATTGCCCCCACTCGATTTTCATCTGATGTTTTCAGCGGTTGGAGAAAATCCCTTACTTCTATGGTCAGACAGGAGGCCACTTTTGACAACTTACAAATCATACCCCATATTTGGGTGGATTTTGGTGTAGGGGTATGATTCGGTAATTCGCCCGCGAGGCTGCGGAGAGCTGAACAATGATAAGAAGCTTACTCATTCGAAACGAAGATGTTCGCAAAAGGATTGGTGGATCGCATTTGTGGCTGCGGAATGATGGTGTGAGACATGCATAAGGAGCTTGCTGCGCCGTACACGGGACTTGTTCAAAGGATTGCAATCCAGGCATAACCGAGGTGCGATCATGGGAGATGCGCATCACTGTGATGCGTACATGAGGCCTCACCCTTGCATCCAGTGAGAGCCATAAGATTGGAGGTAGCCTCCGTTACTCTGTAAACATGACGAACCGAGCTGATTGCTGTGGCGAAAATGTTGAAGTTGATGACGGCTTATTGTTTTTCTATGGAGGAGTACTGCTACTTGTAGTCCTTGCCAAGCATAACAGGGCTGAGATGCTGAAGTCCAACAGAAAATCCTCCGCTCCAACATGGAGCAATCGCCGGTCGAAATCTTGTGAGCCTCAATCATGAGTGACAAAGTAAAGGCTGATCACCTAATTCAAGCTCTTAAATCGGAGCAATCGACCTACAGACTCCATCTTCGTCCCGTTTTCTTAGTATCCTTGTACGGGATTGAATGAGGTTTCCGGGCTTCCACAGACGTAGTAGACTGTAGAGCTTGTCAAGGTGGTTGCAGTGTGTGTGTTTACCGTGGACAACAATTCATCGAAGAGCGGGGGGCCAGAAGCCTTGGCAGGGCCAATCACTCTAGCCCTGTAGGAGCATAAAGGAAAGGGTTGGACGGCGATTATAGAGACTTGAGAAAATTCTCGAAATTTTTAAATTTGGGCAGTCCCTCTTCGCAGCCCTATACTCGGATTTACCTAAGTATGCAATCTGCTGGGACATGCAATCTTTCATTCTACATGAAAAACGAAGAAAATATGAATTATGGAGCGTGGAGCGTGGATCACGATTTTCAAAGCTTCAAGAATTCTTGTGGATAGCAAAAGAACCCGGATTGGCACCCGTACCAAGACATCTCTTTTGTGCGAGACTGCTTTGAAATATTCGCTATGGAAGAAAACTTCTCTTGCTTATTCTCTACAACTTTGAGACCAAGGTTTTATCACGACAGCTAACCACAGGACAAGTGAAGTGGATTCAAAAGTGCCACTCGGGTTTTGTCACGTTAGATTTGAGGGCTAAGATTAAGGCTCGCAGGCCAATCCGGGTTTTTTGCTACCCGCGAGACACTTTAGCGGCCGGACTTATCGGACATTGCATGTCCCAGTCACTAGGTAGGTGAATCCGAGTAAGGCTGCTCGGCGCTCATAAACTCACGATACACGTACCAATAATAAAGAGATTCTCAAGACAATGGGCAGGCAGAAAGACTATTAGTTAGCTGATTAAATGTATTCAAGCCTCTTGCGCCGTCAGAGTGTTGAGATGCACGTTGATTCTCAATGGTGTTCTCCGTTCAGCCTTCATCTGATCATGGAAAACGTCGTCTGATCCTTCCTTTTATGCTTAACTTTTGCTGCATGCTCTTACAAGAGAGGGGAACATGACGAACCGGCAACCCCACCACAAGGCCCCTTTCCCCTAGCTATTGCGATTAATGCGTGATTCGTGGGTCATGTCCACTTACTATTAGCATATTTGATTCTTTACCGTCAGATTTTGAACCGCCTTTGCGGTTATCGATGCAGGAAAGGAGTCTGGATTTGGGCGTTCCAACGAGCGTTTGCCGCCCGCTCATGCAGCTCCTGCGTTTTGGCCCCCTCTGCTCGAGAGCGTTGCTGTGGTTTTTCCCGCAGAAGCTTCGATGCCCCATCAGCGTTCATCTCGGCGTTTAATGAGTCTCGTGCCTGCGTTTCTCGTCTTCCATGGCTTCCGCAATGTTCCTGGGCGGCCTGCCAATGAGTGCCTCGCTAGCTGACCTTGGCTTCGAAGCGTTGAGCCTCTTTCAGCGCGTCCAAACTGTAAATAGCGACAAGACATCCCAAGACTGGCCCGCAGCCTCATTCACCGCCGAAGCCGAGCGATTCGAGCTCTGGGCTGTGAATCTGGGGCTCTTCGTCGTAGGCCATGGCTCTCTGGACTATCGCGTTCGGGAGGCGGATAGGCTGGCGCAAACGATCCGGAGATTCTTGCAGGAGCTGATGGATTCTCTGGCCGAAGGTGGGCCGTCCCTTGTTGGAACGCGCATGTTAAATCGCTGACGCAGGCTCCAATAGTGATCCAGATGCGCATCGGTGGCGGCGATGAGCAGTCGCCCGATGATGATAATAATGATGATAATGATGATAACGATGATGGAAGTGGTGATGATGATGATGACCCAGAGGCAGAAGAGTCAGACTCGGAGCCTTCCAGCGACGATGATACGGAGGAATCGGACTTGGATCTCCTTCTAGATGGTGTCCGAGACCCAATCGACCGACTCTACAAAGTGTCAACCAAGATCCGAAATCCGTCATCCAGGCTCGGCTCATCCAGAGCGACGAACCACCAGCAGATCGACGAAGAAACCGGTGTCGACTTCCTGCGCGCTATTGAACAAGCCGACTACGACCACATCAGGTCGCTGTTCCTCCAGTACCAAAAGGCCAGGGCGCTCCAGGAGCGTGACACGGTGGAACCCACCAAGGATACGGTTGGAGGAGAAGATAATGGAGATGGTGTCTGGGAGCCGATCCGGACCGTCCTATCTCAGCATGGAGCCGCCGAATTCTTTCTCATTCGCCGCGTCGCCCGCGCAAACGTGCGCCGAAGGCAGCAGTTTGCGTATCGAAAGATGCATCGGGAGAAACTGGCTCGTCAAGCGAGGGCCTCTATATCTACACAAAGCGTTTTGACTCCAGGGACCGAGATCCCCTCCCAGCCCTCGTTCGACAGGCATGTGTCCAACAGTTCGTTCATACCCCAGGCTGAATTGGCTCCTCCTGCGGCGTCCGTCACAACCGCTACGAATCTGAACCTGGCCCGACTCGAACTCGTGGAGAATCAGTCGATGTTTACGGTATCCGAGTATGCTCCTTCAACGTGGCAGCCGGCCCGAGATGCAGTGGCTTTCCCTCCCCCACCAACAACGCAGTCGGGTGAAAAGTTCTTCGAATGCCCGTACTGCTTCACTTTTTGCTCTAGAGGAGCTCTTGCCGCTAAGGCGTGGAAGTAAGGAGGACCTTATGGAAGCACTGACAACTACAACAGAGCTGACGCAATTCACAGGGCCCATCTTATCCACGATCTCAGCCCTTATATCTGCACATACGAGGACTGCAGGAACCCAGACCAATTGTACGACGACCGCCACGACTGGGCCCACCACGAGAATTCGTGCCATCGGAAGGTATGGCGTTGTCCGGAGCACTCGGGTCAAGTGTTCACTCTGCTGGGGACGTACCGAGAACATCTTCGCAACGAACACACCGACTATGGTGACGATGCATCGGCGAATCGAATTATCCGTGCCAGTGAATCCATCATGACGGCTACAGACAGGCCTTGCCCGGTATGCTCGATAGTCTTCGACACTCCGAGAGTACTGCAAAACCACATCGCGTTGCATCTGGAGAGATTTTCCCTCTTTTCGTTGCCGCGATCTGTTGCCTGCGGTGGCGACGACGATGACGACGTTGCTGATGCTGACTCGGACAAGGCCAATGGTACGATTGAGGACTCTCGGGACGAGGATTTTGAAGGGGATTTGGACATTAAGAGTGAGAACACCGGCGGTGAAGTCGAAGAAGGCGGGGAAGCGAGCGAGGCGCCCGAGAGCAGAATTGAAGTGGCGGAGGAACCCCCCGACGCACCCGATAAGAAAGCATCTGAGGAAGTAAGTAGGTTGCCCGAAGCCAAATTCGAACTCACTGAGGAAGCGGTTCTGGCAATCGACAGTAAAGTCGACGTGGCCGTGGAAGCGAAGAGTGCTGAATCCGAGGATAATTTGGTGGTGACCGGGACGACAGTCAACGTATTCGAGGATCACAATACTCCGGTCTATATGGTGGCGTTCTCTCCAGACGACAAACTCCTAGCCTCCGTGTCTGATGATAAGGTGGTCAGGCTCTGGGATCTGGAAAGTGAAGCAGCGCCCACACCCCTTAAGGGGCATAAAAGCGGATTCAGGTCTCTAGCATGGTCTCACGATGGCCGGACAATAGCGTCGGGATCATACGACAAGACGACCAAGCTTTGGGACGTCAGTACGAACACATGCCTCCATACGCTTCCGGGGCACGGAGGAGCCGTCAGCGGTCTTTCTTTCTCGTCGGACGACAAATTGTTGGCCTCTGCATCTCACGACAAGACATGCAAGCTCTGGGACGTGAGCACAGGAACGGCGCGTTTTACTCTCGAGGGACATATAGCTGGTGTCTTCTCTATAGGCATCAGCTCCAACGACAAGTATATTGTGTCGGGGTCCAACGACAGGACGGTTAAGATCTGGGACCTGGCTACGGGGGCACTACTTCACACGCTCAAGGGCCATGGTCGAGTGATCTACGCCCTCGCATTCACGCCAGACAGCCAGATACTTGCGACCGCGGGTAACGACTGGACTATCAAGCTTTGGGATTTGGGCTCAGGAATGTTGCTTCGCTCCATCAAATCTCATGAGAAAGGCATTACCGCATTAGCATTCTCGCCTGACGGCTCACTTATGGCGTCTGGGTCTTATGACTACATGATTAAAATTTGGGAGACGACGACTTGGACAAATGTCGGTGTCCTTAGAGGCCATTCAGCGGATGTCTACGGCGTAGCATTCTCACGGGACGGTCAGCGGATCGCGTCGGGATCTCGCGATAGAATGGTAAGGCTCTGGGATCTCAGCCTTGAAAGACGAGCGCTGCCTGTAGATTGAGCTGCGTAGTGGTTAACGATGAAAAGCCGATTGCCTTGATCAAAAGCTGATGCAGCGCACATGCTACTAGCCCTAATAGATTGGGTGGTACCGTGGTACCGAAGGTCTACGTGTGCAGCTTCGCAGAAAATGTCTCAAAATTGAGCTGCTATCTCTCTCGGGCACGTTTTCGATCTCGATTAGAATGGCAGACGCTAATGTAAGTCACCTACGCGGTGTTCTTTACTAATTCTTATATAGATTAAGAGATAAATAACGAAGACGCGTATAGTTTCGATAGATATATATTTAATAATCGTCAAGGTAATCTTTATAGCTATCTCGCTATTATTACAACTTATCTAACTATTATTTAATCTATATAGAGGATAGTGAAGAGTTTACGCGTATAGTTTACGCTAGCCCTACTTTATTATAGCGTCTGCTATTCTAATCGAGATTAGGTATATTTTTAGCTCGACGAGCCGCCCCCACTTGCCCCCTGCGGTGTCTGAGCCCCTTATAGTAAGCACTAGACAGGCCATGGTGGAAGCGAGTCCCGCTACCCCGCTCTTAGGGTCGGTAAAGTACCTAGCAATGATGGTCCCACAACTTTTTAACTTCGTTGCTACTTATCTCATAAAGTTCTTTTCACAAGCGTATCTCGTTCATGTCAGGCTTCGAAGTTGTGGGCATTGCGCTAGGGGTTCTTCCGATAGTGCTGCACTCCGTCGACGCGTATAAAGACAGCATTCGCCGGGTTGGAACGACGATTCGGAAGCGCAAACATGTCGAGAAACTCGCCCGTGCGCTCCTCCTTCAGCAGCAAATCCTCGAGGAAACCGTCAAGTCGGTCGTTCTCGCATGCGGGTGTGAGAATATCGGCGCCTTGGAGGAAGACCCGTTCGGGTATTTCAGCAACGAGGACGTTCGAGAGCGGGTAGAGGACTACTTGGGGCCGAAGAACAGTATCGCCTTCGTTGGCCTGCTCACGGCGAGCAATGACATTGTCAAAAAAGTCGCCGAGAACATATCAGGTCTTGTACCGGCGCACCAGGTAAGGTTTCAATTTCCAGTCCCAATAGTGATCCGCCATATATCAGGATTCCACGCTAAGTACAGTCGCAGGAACCGACAGATGACCTGGTTGCTATCATCAATGCCAATCAAGAAAAGACGAGTATACTGGTCGATCTGGCTCCACGGGTGAAGCTGTTACTCGGAATAACTGATATCAAGGCCACCATTCAAGAGATTGATGATGGCACGGCTGCGCTTGACCGCTTTTCAAGGCTCACCTTGTCAAACCGCCAGACCATCCAGAGCGATTCTTCCCGAAAGGCGGTCAAGCTCGCAAAGGCTTTCCGCCATATCCGGACCTTTGCTAGCACCTTGTATCTCGCCATCACCGACGGCTTTCGAGAAGAATGCCACGACAGTCACGAGACGAGGCTGTATCTCGATGACCGGGTCGACATTGCCGCCGACATCTTGCGACGGGTTGGAAAAGCGAACTCCGTAACCCCCCTCATGATCTTTGACCTCGTCTTCACCGCCGGCACCTGCCCAAAGGAGCGAGTCTTTTACGAAACTGTCGTGCAAGTATTCGACGAGGATGACTGCGATGACAATTTCAACCTCTCACTAGACAACCAAACTCGTCGGGATAGCCGCCCAAACACGCTGGTAGGACTGTCCTTCGTGTCGCAGAGGGCCTCATCGCCCTCGAAGCCTGCGATCGCCTCGGTCGCCAGCATCTGCGCCGCGATCAAAGAAGCCGGCGGCTCCCAACGCCGCATCTCATTCGCGCTCGTGGGCAACCAACCCATCGGGACCATCTCCGACAACGCCTCTCTAGCCCATCAGCTCCAGGAAGAACCTAACGACGCAATCTCCCTCAAGGAGATCCTACAGGCCGAAGGCACCCCCCTCCCCTGGAAATTCCGCATGCTGCTCGCTCTCCGCCTCGCCTCCAGCCTACTGCAGCTCCTACAGACATGCTGGCTCGATCGTGCGTGGTCCAAGGACGTCGTCTTCTTCCTGGTCCGGCCCGGCGCACAGGCACAGGTCTTTCTCAACCGCCCTTTCGTGCGGTGCGCGTTCGGCGGCTTGCGGACGGCGTCGCGCAGCATCGAGCCCAAGGTAGCACTGCTCGAACTTGGGATCCTGCTGCTCGAGATCTGGCACAAGACGACGCTCGAGGCGCGCTTCGGCCTGGAAAATGCGCCGACGGCCTACTACGACCGCATGGCGCGCGGGGTCGAGTGGCTCGACGACGTCGACGAGCCGCTGCCAGACCTGTACGACAAGGCGGTCGCGCATTGCTTGCGGGTGAATATTAGCGGTGATACAAGGTTCTTGGACTGGGAGGATACGAAGCTCTGGAGCGTGATCTGTGGGGATATTATTGTGCCGCTGGCGAAGATCTGCAAGCAGTGGAGTGGGTGAAGATATGATACACCGAAAGTGGGAGTCCTCACGAGATGTGGAATGGTGTGTCAAGTCTGGCGAGCGCCTCGATTTTGACAAGATAGTGTCTTTTTCCCTATATGCACAGATCGCCTAGGTCGAAGGGATGTTCTACGCTATGGGCTAAGGCGTTGCTCAGCCTCTAGGACGGAGTCAGATCTGCGGGATGTACGGTAGTGCTTCCATAGAATCGTACCATGCTTGTCCAACGTACAGCCTTGATCTCTGCGAGCCGGGTTCGCATATATCTCATACCCGAGCGCAAGACGACTCCCATGCCTATGGCATAGACCGGAGTGCGACGACCATCTACCGGCGTGGGTAGATGGGGCGCAAAGCATGCAATGGCTCTGAAAAGAGACAGACTCGAACGAAGAGCTAATTGCAGGGTACCAAAACAGCAGTCTAAAGTAGATGGCTGGGCAAATTACACTAGGTATGGGATTCTTACAATTTCATACCCCATCCTACAATTCCATACCGCCAATGGGGTATGAATTTGTCAGGATACCATTGATAGGGATGTGATTTTGTAAGTTGCCGTCTATCGGGCGTGTTGGTGTTGGGAATTATCCCTTCGGGGGCCCTGCGGGGCCCCTTGCTGTCGTAGGGGTGTCTGCAGCGTGAAAGTGCACGGGTTACTAACGATTGGGCCCTAAATACCCTTCTAATCATTTACAGGTATAGGGACAACTACATCTACAAGTTGGTGGTATCTTACATTTTCATACTCCAAGAAATGGTCACTTACAAATCCATACCCCAAAGACTAGCAACTTACAAATTTATTCCCCCGTTTTTTTGGTGAGGGGTGTGAAAATGTAAGATGGGGTATGAGTTTGTAAGGATCCCATGGTTTTGGGGTATTAGCGTGTGCAGAAAACGTTGGAATACTTGGCACTGAGAAAATCACACACACACCACCAAAAGTAGTACTGAATAGATGAATCTTCTCCCATATCGCATTCTACCACCTTCCTCATCATATTTGAAGCTCCTGTATATCTCGCTTAGCCAATTCCTGTTGTTTCGAAATACCCCTCGCAACGATCAATAGACGATATCTGCCTCCCTACTCACCAGATTTCAATCCTATCGAGCTCTCTTTCAGCGTCTTAAAGGCATGGGTTTGAAGACACTTTCACGAGGTATGGCCTCAGTTCTAAGAGAACTTTAATGATTTTTTACGATATGCCGTGAGGAGGAGTCGATGCGATTGTTTTTTAAGGGAGCATTTCAAGTATAGTGCTATGGGAGGCTATATCTTTTAAACGGATATAAGAGAGTTAAATAGGGCTCTTAATGAGTGCGATATTCAGATAGATTTTGAAGACTAAACTACATTTGCTACTGCTGCTATTACCCCAGAGTTATTAAGGCCTTCGCCTATCGCTATTGAGGCTTAAATATCTTCAAGTCTGCTTTAAAGCCTCTGGCTAAAGCATCAGGAACCCCTAATTGTATAGCAACACGATACATAGTGGAGGAAGGTTGAAGAATGCGATATGGGAGAAGATTTATCTATTCAGTACTACTTTTGGTGGTGGTGTGTGTGATTTTCTCAGTGCCAAGTATTCCAACGTTTTCTGCACACGCTAATATGGATTTGTAATTGGTCCGGAGATGGCTCGTGCTGGACACCTGTCTTTGGCAACATCATGTGCTCCACTATCACCCAGTCCTACGGCGGTGAATTAGATCTACGTCGTATAGGTGACCGGCGAGGATGATTCCTGTAGACCAGGACCGTCCTGATCGGCCCTTTATCTTCTGCCAGGTTTTTGTCATCGAGTCCGGTCCGCTTCGTCTCTTTCATGAGCGATGTGGGGTCTGCGATGCCCCCCAAGGAGCACTGATCGATCTACTTTCTACCATACTCAGATCGAGATTTTTCATTTCAGCTTCCTGGTTCTCCCGGGAGAGTCCAGAGACCTTGAATTATCACAGGCGCTATTGAGACTAATTCGTCTAGCTGTTCACGTAGCAAACGGCCAGAGAGGCGACCTCAAGCTCGCTGTGTGTTGTCCGCTATTGGGGGAATAGGATTGGAAGCTATCATTTTAAGGGCAGTCAGTGCGGTCAGCAAGAAATCCGATTGGGGTGCGATGAACTTGGCAACGTGTGCTTGGCCTTACAATGGAGAGATTCATCAATCCCTCGCCAGATCGACAGGGCAGAGGTTCTTGGTTTTGAAATCAGTTTTTTCATGCTCAACGATGTTACATACATATCGAAGTGTAGACAGTGCCAACTGGCGCTCAGATCAGATTGCGCTTCTGCACGCAGCACTCTACCCAACAAAGAGTAGACATTCAACTACATTAAGAGCTGTAAAGCCTTTTTTCTCCTTCAACTTTTTCAGTACTCCGCCAAAGGTTCCCTTACTTCAAGGTGACGGGTTGTGGCTCCAGTGATGAGTATCTGTACCGTATATTCACTGGTTCTCAACGATCAGGTGCTTTCTCCCCACAGCGAAAGACAGACGACGCACGTGTCGATGGTAATCGAATGGGAGGAGTTATGTTCCACTTGACAGGCAGGGGTTCCATCAATTGCGGAATCGAAGTAGATGGAGGCGCGTTGACAGTTGATTGCGGCGCCTGTTTTTTGACGTCCTCGGAGGAATCTTGACTGCCCGACCGGTCTCCAAAGCTAGCCGGCGCTGGTGGCGCTTCTTGGCCATAGCGGACGAGGTTTAGAGAGTTGTGGGCAACTTCCTATAGGCCATATACGTCGTTATCTGTCCGGTGGTGGGAAGTTGACTAAGTCTGCTACTACCACAGTAACATGCCGCAAAGCCGTACGAGATTTGGAAAGTTCGAAATCTGCTCTCCGCGTCGAGAAATCGTTCCTGATTGACGTCCCCACCTCCGCCTGACATTTGCGTCGGCGTGTTGTCGGGGTTATAACTATTTCTTTACTTCAGTGGTGTCCTTGAGAAATGTCTCGAGTACCTTGTGATAAACCCTCTCCTCTCCGAAAAGCTGGTCGAACATCCTTTCCCAGCAGTATATGAGATCTCTTCTTTTCTGGTATCCAGCCAATATCGCGGAAGCGCAGTGTCATTGCTAGTCGTACTGACTCCAATCTTGAAAAGCAACCGGCGGACGACTCGCATTTCCCCAAGGTAAGTGAAGATATGCTGGGTAAGTTGGGGGTATATAGAATCTTTTATTCTTGAGAGCTGCTCCGCTGCCCTCACACTTCATATAATGCCTTCTCCCTTCTTCTGTCTTTAGGATTTCGATCATGAATGCAAGCAAACCCTCCCTATGGACCTTCTCATATCTCTTCCCACTTTCCCGAAAGTTCAATTAATATGTGTTGAAAAGCGTATAAAACAAATATTGGGGTACATTTTTGGGGGGGTTTCCAGGTGGTGAATCATTCAATTTTGACGGCGCAATTAGGCGGATAGGTGCCAGCGAACAGGTGAATGGGCTTATACTTTCATATAGGTACCCTGTGTACGAATGCTTTTGGTCGAAGCTTCCCTATCCAACCCCCTAGACACAGCAGCAGAAACACTCCCGTAACTGCACTCAAAAGTCCTAGGCACCACGTCGTTGTTTGCCAACCAGCCGCGTTGCGGATGAGGCCTGCGAACAAGGGGCCAATCAAGCAACCGGCCGCGTAGGCAGCATTGACAAGGCTCCATCCCGTGGCAATGACGGATCCCTTGATGGCTTGCGGGTCATTCTTCTCCGCGTCTGCAACAGTGGCACCAATCTCTGCAATAATCGCCGGCATGGCAATGGCCATCGCCAGGCCGATGATCACCAGGAGAACGCAAAGCAGGGTCTTTTGGCTCAGCGTGTCCTCCGTGACAAGACGTAAGAGCACGTAGGCCGGGGTGGCCAGAAGACAACCACCGGCTGCGAGCAGTCGTCTCCCTTGCTGATATCTATCGGTTATCGCGCCGAAGACGGGCTGTAGGAGGGATGGAAGCAAGATTGTGATGAAGATTAGACCCTGTCCGGTCTGCTGCCATCCGAAGAGCGCGTTGACGACCAGGGGTAGAGTGCTGTCGAACGCGACGTTTAAGCAGGACTGCAGCAGTCCACCAGCGAGACCCACAAGCATTCGGAAGGACAGCAGAAGCCTTAGTATTGGGGGAAGCTGGTGGTGCAGAATTTGACTTGGAGGAGGCGCCCCATTGGTCGTCTCATCGTCGTTTCCTGTCATCGTATAGGAAGTATCGGAAGATTCGGGACACGGAGTCAGACTCACTGGTGAATCGGACTCGGGACGAACATCGGGTATGTCAGGTTGGACAGTCTCGGCCTCCAACCACTTCTGGGCAACTCTCTTCTCGATCATGACGAGCCGCAGCACGGCGTCCACGCCCAGCATGGCGAACATCAGTCCGAAGACGGCGTAGTATCCACCGTGGGCGTAGATGACGCCGCCAAGTAGGGGCCCTACAATTGGTCCTATACTCATTGGGATGCCAATGACCCCGACCGCTTGGCCGATGCCTGCCGGGCCAACGGTATCAGTGAGAAGAGCCAGGCACACGACCCATAACACTCCCGCGGATGCACCTTGAAGAAGGCGTCCTGCAACCCAGAGGCCGATGTTTGTCCCGACGGCAAGAAGCGCCGTGGCGCCTGTGAGACAGACAAGACAGAGCAGGAAAGGAGTGCGACGGGACCCCATGCGATCCATGAACAAGCCAGCGGCCGCTGGAAGGGTTGAGAACACGTCAGAGACCAAAAACTCTCAACGGCACAAGAACAGTAGACTCACGGGATATTGCTAGTGTTGCGCCGCCATAGATGGCCTGGAGAATTGAGTTCCATTTCTGTACTAGGGCGTCGTATCCATCAGTAGAATGACCTGAGGACAGAAGCCGCAGCGTGGCAAAACTCAACGTACAGTCTTTCGGGGACACACCAGCTCTTTGTATTAAGGCGGTCGGCGTGACAGGGACAAGCTGTGGTATGTTAGCGTAAAGGATGACGGTGTGGGTTCAAGCGGGCTTACCATGCCATAGAAAAACAAGTGCTAAACAATTGTTCGTATTAGCAGAGATTCTTCAGAATGAAAGGTCGTATTGAAAGCTATCCACTAACTGTGAAGATGCCATAACACGCAATAAAGATAATGAAGCGAGGCGCCGAGCGGATTTTGAGGAGGAGAGGCGGTCTGGAAGAGGATGACAGGCTCAGTCGGCGTGCCATTCGAATTCTTCTCTTGGGGGGGTTCAAGTTTGCCAATTCCGCCGAAGGGATGAGATGTGAAATCGAGCATGGACAAAACAGCATAGCGGGCAGACATGGTCCGCTCAAAAGAGAAAGTGATACGTGCCCAACTCGCATTCAGCAGCCTCAAGATTTTACCTTGACCACCAGGTATACCGTACCGTAGATCGTTTTCTTCGCTGGCCTTTCCCCTCTATTTGGCATGCAATAATGACGCAGTGCTGATAAGAAGCTGTCCAGGCTACGCGCGGAGTCGCGGAGCCTGTCTCGCCGTGTTTAGCCGCCTGCAGGCACCCTACTTTAGTTACTTATAAAGCTATAACCTACCTTGTAAACTAAGAGCACGTAGCAAAGGTCATGCATATAGGGAAGGACCAGGCCATCAGACGATGTTTTCAAAGATCAGATAAGCCTGAGTAGAGTATGTTGTCTAGAATCAGCCTGTAGGCTGCCGAGAAGGACTTGTTTGACAAAGACAACCTACCTGCCTTATCATCGTTGCAGCGGTCCATGCAACATGCATGGCTGCAAATCGTGATCCTTACGAGCTGAACTGCGCTTTGTGCTTTGAGTCCGATGATGGATTCTGCTACTCGGACCTGACTAAAAGCTCTGCTACAGTTTACATGCCAATTGTGAATTCGACACTGTGGGACATTTCGTTGAAATGAACCTTTTAATTATGTCGTTGTGCGATGTCGATATCGAAGAGACCAGACACCAAGAGGACTACTCCTGCCCGCTTTCCAGCAATTCGGGACATCTGGCTAGATAACTTCGCCGGCTTGCATAAGGATATGAATTGTAACTGATCCTCATGCTTTCCTCCCCTGCTTCTTCTAAGTCGTACCCTCGACAAACCTCTTGCGCCATGCTGGGATTCTCTTCATACGATCCGGATGGAATCCAATCTGTCTCTTCATGGTCTAAACCATCAATTGATAGAGCTTGAGACGACCGATCGAACCGCATCATCTGAGCCTATATCTGTGGAGCCCGATGATCAGGAGCAATGCGAGCAGAAGCCGAGACGCCAGCACACAGCCAGTTGGTGGATCCTGCAGTATCTGCCATTAATATTGTACGGCTGCCTAATCAAAGCAAAACAGCGTTGTTGCATTCTCTGGGGAAAGCGTGACGGTCCTATAGTCCGATTCATTGGCTACCTCCTCCCAGTAAGACTTTCTTTCGGCATCCTCCAGCCGAGCTTCAGTCAAGTATACTGGGATGGCGCGACGACAGGGTCGATCTCTTGGAGGATGAAGTCTTGACAATTGATTCACAAAAGACCAACGGGATTCTTTCCTTACTACAGATTACCGCTAAAACAAATGATATAATGATTGTCATCTTGCTGTCACAACTGGTGCTGCATTACCTCAGGCGAAGGATTAAAGTGAACAGCACGGCATCAAGTCGGGTTTCATTAACATAGCCATGTACCTCACCTGTCCCACGGTCTCAAGCAAGAAAAAATTGGTAATCCAGATGAAAACGACGCCAAACCGAAAACAACCCCGGCATCATCTCCAATCCAGGACCCCTCAACCAACACACTCCTCCGCCTCGGCGGTGTACAGCGGCGGCCCATCCAGCTTTTCGACAACCCCGTGACCAACCACCGCACCTGCCTCCGCATCCATCGCAGGACTCCGCGCATCGCACGCAATCTCCGCGACAGAAACCGTCGTCTCCTTCTCCTCTCCGTCCCTCTTGAACCCGAAGCTGCGCATTTTCTTGTTCATGACGGAGACCTGGGAGAAGAGCGCTTCCTTCTTCGTCGGCTTCGGCTCTGCGGCCGGGCACGCATGGACGGAAGGGGCGGGTGGTTCGGTGGCGGTTGGTTCTATGGAGACCACGCGGGTGTCGTGGGTGATCTCGACGGCGGTGTTGAGATTTTCGGGCTGCGAAGGTGCTGCGATGGTGTTGGTTGGTGCTGGGGCGGGGACGGGTTTTCTGGCGATACTGTGCGAGACGATGACGGGCTCGGTGGTCTTTTCATGAGTCTGTGTGCGTTCCGGAGAAGACTCTGCAACTTCTACCTCTTCGGCAACTTCAGCTTCCTCAGTCTCAGTCTCAGCATCAATTTCTTTCGTCTCGACCAGCTCCTTCGTCTTGAACAGGTCCTTCTTCTTCACATAGTCCGTAGTACGTTTCGCATTCTTCTCAACATTGATGAGCCCAAACGACATCCCGGCCGTGGTCCCGGCGGCGACTCCCAGCGCAATCGGCACCGCATCCCTGTATCGATTCGGGTGGGCCGTCCATCCCATTTCGTTCATGCGAGCCTCCATGGCTTCGATCTGCATGCGTTCGGTTCGGTACCTGCGAGTGGTTGAGCGCATGCTGAGAAGGCCGACGCCAGATGCGGTGTTGATCACGGCAGCGGTGCTGTTGACATAATGGTCGATTTTGAGGTCTTTGTGGAGATCGCGCAGTTCGCTTTCTGTGAGGGTGGAGATTCGTTCGACGTATTCTTCTTCGGGGGACTTCTTGGTCTCTTTTTTGGATTTGGTGAATTTCATGGTGGTAGCTTATGGGGTTTAGGGGAAGTATGAATCACAGATGGAATGAAATTGAATGAAATGTCTGAAGAGCGTCTTAACGAGCGATGTACTTCCCACCCCTCTATCCCTCAGCAGGTCGGCATGGGTCTTATACATCGTGAGAGGACTCTGGAACCTAACCTGAGCCGCATAGCGGCATTCAGCAGGCAAGGCTGATGCGGTAGCGCGTTGACCATTGCCAACTCGGGACTGAGGAAAGATTCTTTTTCGGAGGTAGTGAATCATCTGGCAGAGCTCAATATAGATCTCGCTATACGCGGTAAAAATAACATAGACCGAGATCACACGGCTGGGCAAGATGGTTCCATACATAGACCTCAGCAAGGTAAGATGCATACTGATCACTGACAACCCGAAACATGGCTTGGCTGCGGCCAGTAATCTTCGAGCCCACCGGAAATGGCACAGCGTGCAGCATTGCGGACAAGGCTGAGAATCTAACCGATCAAACACATTCATCACCGTGCGAATTTTCAAGAACCCTGGACTCACAATGTCTCCAACGATCTTGTTGCAGACTGGGTCGTGGCAAGGCGGGATACGCTAGAACTTACACAATTCCACGCTAGTTATGCATCTCGGGCAAGCTGAACATGCGGGGTCAATCGTTTCCATATTGGGTACGTCGCATTACCCCCCAGATGCTGGCACGGCACGGTTCGGATGAACCGTAGATCGATCAGTCTCTGCGTCGGGAACGCCAAGGCTGTGTTTTAACCCGTTCGACTTTCCTTCTTCGAGGGGAACTCGGCAGCGTGATCACGAGCGGCAGGCGGCCACGTCTTGCGTGGAGATGAAGGACACTATGGTGGTGGCCGTGGCTTTCATCTGGGGGTGCTTGACTAGTCTATCTGTACTCGTAGAGTATCCGTGTTCCATCGACGTAGCCAAGGTTTAATTTCACATTGATACGAGGAGTTGAAGACTGCAATAGACCTTCTACTGGTGTTTGTCTTCTCGCAGCTTATAGATTCAGACGTCTATCAGTCATCTCAATGTTGTTCGGATCGTTCAAAAAATTGTCATTCCAGTCCACGTGCGAGAGACGCATTCAAGGAATGGCAACCATCCACCTTGCGGCCGCCAAGACACAAAGTCTGATACGCAGAAGATGCCACAGTGACTTCATACATAACGGGTCCCTTATTCGTTCTATGAAACTGTGACCCCAACAATGGGTGATATCGCAGACTGTAGCGGTGAGACAATGATATCTGCCAGGATTATGCATAGGCGCAGAAAATCGAAGGATGCAGCATTGGAAGGTCAGACTTGCCAACCAGCAGCTTTATGGTGCTTCTTCTTCTGCTTCTCATGACGCATCTCCCAGAAGTGGAAGCCAGCCCAGAAGAGAAGGGTGACGACGGTAAGCGGCAAGCTCAGGGCGAGGTAAATTTGTACGGGATTGAGATTGGCGTAGGGATTCGGCATCCCGCGCCCGGTATAGTCTGATTGGAAGATTTCGGTGCTCATGAGTGTCTAAGCACGGGCAGATTGGCAGTCAGCTTCAAATGTGTCTTGACTTACACTGAACAATGACGAAGACAAAAGGGATGAGTCGCTGTCGTGCTGTACACCACGAGGCTTACCGATAGAAAATTCTGACCTACAGATATAAAAGTTCCAGGCAAGAAGAACAGAGTCACAAGGGTGATGACCTTCATTGAGACGGTTTCGACCTTCGTTTTGCGGGCGATGTCATTCATGTCTTCGGTCATCGTGAACATGCTCTTCGTTGAGTATTTGTTCGCTTGAGTGTTCTGGTAGTCGAGAATACTGTGAAGCTGGTCTTTCTTAGCTTAGCTGATTATTCGGACTGCATGATCTGCTTTACCAAAGTCTTACGGTCTTCAAGGAGACGCAGCAGTGTCTCGAGCCTCAGGATCTGCGTCTGCATGTCATTCTCGAGTCCCCCGATACGGAGCTCGAAACCATCAATCGCGTCCTCGCAGTTCTCTACCCGGTCTTTTGGGAAATCCTTCCGGCTTGAGATCGATCTGTAGTATCGTTTCAATTGAGTAAGAACAATGATATTTTGCTTCAACACCAAGACAGCCTCGTTGGCCTTTTCTGCAACATTGTGAACTTTCCGCAACTTGCCAAAGGAAAAGTCGCGGGTTTCGTCCTCAGCTTTGACGTCGTTCGGTTTGAGCGGACTCTCTGGCTCCTTGTCGCCGTCATCATCATCATCGTCCTCATCTGGAGGCAAGGGCTGTGAAATGCCAGTATCTGGATTCTCGTACGTCTGAGGAGCGGAAAGTCGTTGCTTCATGGCCGGTTTGAGGGACCTCTTTTCGGTCAGATTTGTCCGCGTCCGCGAGAACATAGAATATTTAGATATGTCAGTATTGGTACGCGGATTTAGTGTAAACTGGTCCGTGGCTGCCGCAGGAACAAATGGCACATAAACAGGCGCCGAGAAAGTCCTTCGTGTCATGCTTTGGAATTTTTCCTCGAGGGAATTGATGTACCATCGCCAGTTCTCGGCTGACCAGTCGCAGAAGATCAAGTGGGTCTCCAACGATGTCTCGAAGGCTCGCCCCAATGACTCGAAGTCCGACGGTTCATGACGGCCCCGATCGCTGATCGCTGATTCTATACGTTGTTTCATTTGCTCATCACCTTTGACGATGATCCAACTTGTCCGCACCTCGTTCATGTCAAATGAATGATGGACAGCGCAATGGCGAATGGACCAGCCGTCGGAATCTGATGGCTCGACCGACTTCAAATTGCAGCAGATTTGATATCTCTTGTCTACAGGCCGAGCGTTAGGAGCAGGAGCATTATTCCGCCGACGCTCAGCCAATTGTGTTCTCTGACGAAAGCCACTGAAGTAAAAGTCTTGTGCGTAGGACTGAAAGCCAAACGGAAATAGAAATTCAACAAATTCAGGCATAACCTGAAAGTGTGTGAAGCACAGCATGAGCATTTCTCGTGAGATCTTCAGCTTGTCCCTCGAATGGGCTGCATGTATGAAGCTACAGTCAACTTATCAGTTGCTGATACACTGCAAATAGGAGGTCGGGTATTACTCACAGAAACCTGCATTGGTGATTGTTTGGGTTCCGGAATGGGAGGATCCCCAGATGCTCTCTCAAGCGCTCAGTACTTTTGATACGAGTCGGCCAAAAATCTGGCGAGTTCGTCAAGGTTGAGGCCAACTCATCTCGAGGAAATGACTTTATCCATACCTTTTGCGCCCTTAGCCAAATCCAAAGAATCCAACGCTGCTTGGGCCTCCTCGGCGAACAATCGAGGCGCTTGCGTGTTCAATTGGTGGCTAATGGCGTCCAAGGCGAAAGGGGTAAGTGTGCGATCAGCTACATTTCGAGGGTAATTTTTAGCGTCATGATACGACGTCAGCGACGGTTCCATTTGTGCCATGAGTACGAGAGGACGGCTGAAGAATTCAAAGCCTTAATAGTTTTGGCAATGGAAGATTTTTACCGCTTTATATTCATAAACCGTAAAGCTAGCCTTGGACGCTGTGCAGCCTTAAGACAGTGGCTAGGGCAAGGACCTGCGGATGACTGGGATCACCGCCCTATTTTGGATCACAAGGCTGTGCCGCCGTGCTCGCTCCTCCTACCGTTTACCAACGAGCCAAGCAAACGCCTCTCGACCCAATAATCATGTACCGGTACCTCGCTATCCAAATTCCAATAGGCCGTAACTCGTGAACAAGGCCATGCGCAGCCTTCGTTTGCATCATTGCGCTTAGCCAAGGCATCTCGGAGTAGAGTACTCGGCCACTTCAGACGGCTATGCTTTCGGCTTGCGGAGCTCTATCAACTTATTCTTCTCGTCCTACATCCATGTCAGAAGGAGGACTGCTCGCGCGCGAAGAGGGAAGGAAGGCAACTTTGTCAAGAGCCCGGGGCACCCAGAAGCGGAATTCATCGCCCTTGCGCTGCGCCAAGTCAGTCGATCATCCATAACCTCGCATGAACGCCACGTGCCCTAACATAATATTTGTAGTGTCCCCACTTTCGATCCAGGAAGCCACCGATGATGTTCTCGTCAAGTCGATAATGATCGATGTAATCGTACTGCCACACTGCATTGGCAGAAACTGACTCAGACATGATTGAGGCTCAAGTCTCTGTTCGCTAATTTGCGGGTCGATTTCAGGGTAGGATTCAAGGCTTGACGTCTGGCCACTTGGCGAAGTAAATCTGCCTTGCGATACTGTGTGGGTTGAGAGAAGGGTAAAAAAGGAGGAGAAAAAGGAAAGTGACTGCGTGGCAAGGGTGTGTGTGTGGACTGTGTGGGAATGAAAACATCAGAGAGCTGCGCCAAAAGCAGGGTGGGGCTCTTAAAGTATCTTCAAGGCTCCCAATTATTATTATTTTGAGCCGCACAAGATTTACTTTAGGAAGTCCCCTAGAGTAAGCGCTCGGCTCATGCATTAGTTGCTACTGTACTTTTAGCGTTGCACGTACTTCAAAGTCGATACTAACTTTACTCAATAGCTCGATGTTACATTAATATTGCGGCGCACGTGGACAAAGGCGGAAGAAACAGAGCAGCATTCAGTACTCCCTACCCTAGTATTAGGTACTGATCCCTACACCAGCCACGCTGTAATTTTTGTGCAGGATGAAGGTTCGAGTCTCGACCTTTGGAAAGTGGGGGATAAAATAAGCTAGGGTTCGCCGGAGCCTCGATGACAGCGGTTGGTCCAGCCAATAGCGCCCCCGAAGCGTACTTTAATGCTTCATCGTGCCCACAGTCCACACGCACACTTAGCTCCGGGACTACTCATCGCGATTTCGCTTAGCTCCAAGGTAGGTACTAGTACTTTACCTTATCGATAGGCTATCTCGGAGCCGAAGTGCGATCCCCCCGAGTAGCCTGGTGGGTAATGGTTAAAGGTAAGCAACTGTGCTGCGAATACTCCAACGAAAAAGAGAGGCACAGCCTACAACAACCTACAGCCTCGAAGCTGCTTCGCCTTCTTCCCATGCATTCAATTTCTATCATCTTTTCTCCATTCGTGACTCAGGTTTTGCTCATGTCCAATGACCAAGTTGTGACCCATCATCATCTCATAAATACTGCCACTCGACTATGCCATCACCTACCTCTCATGCGCCTCTGCCATGGTCCAATCATACGCCCAACACAATGATGCTCTCCAAGCCTTCCACAAATGGACGCGTTCTTCGGAAGCGCAAGTGCCAGGGATTGGGGGTCCTGATTTTGAGACGACATGCCGATTCATTCCCCGATCAAATCTGGCAAATTACTTCAAAAGACCTCATCAAGTTGAGAATCTACTCGACGCCGTGCTAAAACCGGACGAGAGACCCGCAGTAGAGGCGAATTATGTGCGGGAACATTATCTGCAATCTTTCGCAACCCTTTTGTGCATTTCAGAGGGGGCCATGATTCACCACTTCCAGCAATACAAATCCTTGCGGGACCAGAAGTTGCCATACCGCACCCGACCAGATGATTTCCCTATTACAACGCCGGATAAGTTTGAGGAATTCAAGGACGCACAATGGCAATTTTGCGCCTCGAACCTCGAATACAACATGAATGATCGCTTCAAAGAGGAGGACATCCTGCCTATAACACGCAAAGAGAAGATCGGAGAAGGGGGAAGCGCCATCATCTACAAAATTGTGGTTGACGAAAACTACAATTCGCTACGACCGCGTGGTCATGTCATACCGGTATGCTCGGCTCCTCTACCCAATAGACTCGCAGTCAGCTGAATGGAAGCAGAAGCGCCGCCGCCAGCACAAGAACACGTTTGTTCTGAAAACTTATCGAGCTGCGGATGCTGAAGAAAACTACAAAGCTGAGCGTGACGCATACATGAAACTGAGATGGGCGGGAAAGCCATCTCCTCACATAATTGCCTACTACGGTGGCTTCATTCACGGCGATTCATACAACATCATTTTGGAGTATGCAGACCAAGGAACCCTAGAGGATTTCATGAGAAACACGAAGTCGCCGTCAACAATCGAAGATACCGCAATATTCTGGGATAGGCTTTTTGGTGTCACACATGGCATAATGACCATTCATGGTAACATTGGGAACTACAGCTCGGTATCTCAGATCATAAACGGGTATGTGTTGTGCCCAATCCGATATCTATCACCTCTAATGTTTTTGCCAACAGCTGGCATCAAGACGTTAAACCAGCCAACATTTTAGTATTTAGTGGAAACGGAGATTCACCATATGACTGTCATTTCAAGATCGCAGACCTTGGACTCGCTCATTTCAAACCCAACGTCTCCCAGCCAAATGATCCCTCAGACTTGGACGCCTTTGGTACTCGCGCATATGGTAGGCCGGACCTTTAAACCCGCCTTCTCCAATCTGACTGATGAGCGCTTAGGTGCACCGGAGACTTTCAGATCCCACATAGACATGGAAGCTTCCCCTTTACAAGTTACACAGGCCGTGGACGTATGGTCGATTGGCTGTGTGTTCAGCGAAGCATCGGTTTGGGCTCATCACGGCTGGAAAAGAGTTGTTGAATACAGACGTCAGCGAAGCTTGGAGATCAAGGCTAAAGGAGGTGATGAGGGTGAACACGTCTTTCACTTTGGTGGCAATCTCCTCGACGCGGTTGACAACATACATCAAGATATATTAAGGGCAAAACAGACCAAGGATCATATTACTCGGTCAGTAGTGGACCGCCTTGTTGTTGAGATGTTGCAGCATGAGACCCGGCCCCACGCTATGTATCTTTTCGATAAGTCAAAGCGACTTATTAAAGATGCCGAAAAGAAATTCGATGTCTCTGTGGTTGGGCTCGTGGGAAACATTAATGGCGAGCTTGTCGATTCTAACGAAGCCAGGGTCGGGGCTAGGAGTCCTCCTCAAGTCCCACATGACCATTATCGCGTACGAGGGGAAAGAGAGTTGCCACTGCGGGAACCTCTTCCGCCTGACGACGATTCCGCGTGGTCGTCTTCGTCTTCGAGATCGCAATCATCTTCTCACAGGCATCACCATAAGTCAGCAAGCCAAAGCAGTAGACCACGCAGCACTGGTGCCAAAGGAAGCTCACCAGCTGGCGCACAAGGCTCACATGTCATTCCTCTCCCAGCAACCCCGTCTTCAACCGTTGCTAACACTCATCAAAATTCTCCGCAGCAGCATGTACAGCAGCCTCAAGAGGAGCCGGTACGACCTACTCTATCCATCAATGAAGGCCATGAATGGAAGAGGAAGAAGAAAAGTGGTGAATATACCGTGTTGCGTGGAGAGGAAAACCTGACTTCTCTGGATAAGAGAGATCATGTGAGTCATGTCCTTCCAAGATTGAAGCTCGCTAAGAGGTGGCTCTAGATTTTTTTGATTGATACCTCTGCCACGATGAAGCAGTACAGTAGAGAAATAGAACGCGTCATCTCATTGTTGGCATACATGGTCAAGAAGTCAGACAAAGACGGCCTCGACATCTTCTTCACCCAGAGCCGGAAAAAGGTCAATTCGCGGAAATCCTCGAAACTCTCGTCCTCGATACACCAGGAGCCCTTCGTGGGGGTGTCAGACATGCGAGGAAGGCTACAAAACATTCTGCAAGAGCATATAAATAAATTTGGCACATTGATTTACCCCCCGAGAACGGTGTACGGACGTCAACCTCCTCCGCAACCGCAAAGGCCCCTGAGCTTCTACATCCTGACAGACGCTAAGTGGCAGCCCACTGACGTTGAGGGTCTCATCAGAGACCTGGTCCAAAGTATGATTGCCAAAAGATGCCCTAAGGAACATGTTGCCATCCAGTTCATCCGGTTTGGCGATGATCAAGCGAGCATAGATAAGCTTGATAAACTAGACCACGGTCTCGGTCTCAAGGCCATTGGCATGTAAGCTGACTCTGTACCTGCTTTTGTTATCCATTGACTGATGGACCGTTCGCAAAATTCAGGGATATTGTGGATCACACCTACTGGGATGGCAACGTCTGGAAGCAGCTGCTAGGCTCCCTCAACGACTGGTACGACGATGATCCGACCTAAACATCTAACAGCTTCTCTCGTGTGCTGTCCCAAAAGGACAGCTCTATGCGTCACCATCTTCCATGTGCAACACTTTTCATCACCGCGAGCGGCGTTGAAACTATTCCCGAGGAGGTAATGGGGCATGGGTAATGCATGGAATGATACCAGGCCAGATCATGTGTGTACGAGTCTAACGGTAATCATGAGTGAATGAGTGGGAGGTAAATGATCACGCGCAGACGGTGGCCCAAGTGTTGGAACCATGCATTTGGGAAGGTGATGGTGTGATCACTAGAGTGCCTTGTATATATATCATCAGCACCTCGACCGAACAGCGGGATACCCTGACCGAGTGTAGCATTCGAACAAGCACGATTTCAATGTGCCTTCCCAAGTCTCAATTCGTGCCGCTCCTACTCCCGCTTCTAGCTCCACTAAACCCACTCCCAGTCAGTATCACATCCCACGCATTCGTCGTCGCATCCAACCATGCGGCAATCACCCGGATTTCAGGGTACGTATCCCGCTCTGCCAAACCGCCCGTCGTCAAATCCGGACACTGAGAGCGCGGCGGAGGCAGAAAGAGAAAGGAAGCCCAAACCCGGCGAGAAAGGCAGAGGGCGAACAAGGAAGGGCACAGGCCAGGAACCTTTCTTTCACCAGGTCAGATGTCATCGTACTCCATCGCGCCGCCTCGTGCCGTGGAAGTCTGACCAACTTCCGACAAGCATGGTCTTCGGACCACAGTGCAAGAAGAGTAAGCAAGTAAGGTAAGGTACAGAGGCGTATCCGCACTGCGATAAACGGGACCGGATGGGTGCCCATAAGCGCAGACAGTTGGAGCGATCTGTTTTATGGCCTCGGGTTGAGGCTGGGCGGCGCGTGTTTCGAAGCGGCGCCGGCGCGGAACTGAGGTATAAGATAGCATGACTAGGGAGGTTTAGCAGTTTTTTCAAAAGAAATGATTCAAAACGGGAACAGCCCTACCTTTCTACCGCTAACCCGATTAGGTAATATCACGGACTTCGGCGAAACCTTTATCGAAGAGTCACAAATCTCTTTGAATTTCACTTATTCTTCTTCTTTTATTACATATATATATCATAAACTCCTTTAATAAGAAGGCCCTCGTTGTGACGACCTTTATAGTCATATTGCTAGGCTATTAAGCTGTGATCGCCACTATATCACGTTATAGATACGTCCCCCTAGTAAAGTATATAACAATTGCCCACAAAAAATAGAGAAATACTATATCCTCGTAATAAGAAGTATCGAAATATTGGAAAGGATTAGAGATATCAGGCTAATTAGTGGTAAGTATCTTACGAGTTCTCTTACCGCAGTGAAAGCTTTCGAATAATAAAATGACTGTCGAAATAAGACATTATATTAGAATATTAGATATATGATGTGTAGAACGGACGGATTAATTCTTCAAAATCTCTTCGGGGCTAGGTCCTAAATACAGTACAAAATCAGGTGGCTGGAAAACATGGTGGCTGGGATGCGCGGGGGCCACATTTCGACACATCGGACGGTTTCAATTCGTCCAAATATGCATCGTCCGATAGGTGACCCTTGCCTGCAGAGGTCCAATTGGCTGTGGTCGACGCAGTAGATCCTTCTCTTGTGTGCTCATTGCAGTGATATATCATAATGTGATATTGTCTATAGAGGTCTGCACCGAAAGTCCTGTACCCGTCAAGACTCTTGCGCTTAGACTTCGGATATTGTCCCACCTAAAGGGCTACCTAGACAATGCGTTTGGAGTTCTTCGAAATCGCATCTAGTCTTAGTTAGGTTTCGGAGCTTAATACCTCTATTAAGCCAAAAGAAGTATCTAAAGTTTCATTCATGCGCTGTGAGAAGATATTTCTAGGCTTCCCCTTTATAGGGCCGCTTTTCGAAAGTAGGGTTAGAACTACACTAGTGCGGGTGTAGGACTTTCGGTGTAGATCTCTGTAGGCACGCGGAGATAGCAGGCCAAATTGTAGTGTCGTTCTCCGCTTGCTATGTGGCAATTTGACGTGGGATTGTAGAGAGCATATGACGTGGGATCTTGGAGAGCTGAGCGGTGTTCTTGACGATGATGGCCTTATTGCCGCTTGGTTTCTCCGCAGTGTTCTTCTTATTTGCCTACTACAATGTTTCCTTCTCTTGCTTAACTGAGTGCTCTAATTGAGTGGTTGACTGAGTGACTGGCTAAGTAGCTAACTGAATGGATTGATGTAAGATTATAGAGAGCAGGCCTGTTGTATTACTGCTACTATTGACTATCTCCGTAATTCTCTTCGTAGTGTATTATTCCTCCTCTTGTAGAATATTAGACTGAGTGATTGGCTGAGTAGCTAATTAAGTGAATTGGTGTAAGATCGTGGAGAGTAGATCTGTTGTGTCACTACTGCTGCTAACTATCTTCGCAATATTCTCCGCATTTGCCTACTGTAGTGATTCCTCCTCTTACTGAGTATCGGGTTGGTGTGAGATCGTGGAGAGTAGGTCTATTATGTTACTGCTGCTGCTGACTGTCTCCGCAATATTCTCCGTACTGCATTGCTCCTTCTCTTGTAGAATATCAGACTGAGTGGCTAAGTGAGTGGCTGACTAAGTGGCTGGTTGAGTGGAGTGGTGAGCTGGCGGGGTAGGTAGTGCTGACTGAGTGACTGGCTGAATGGCTCGTAGCCATTGTGTACTGTAAGAATGAGAGGTATGTATAATGACATCTAGATAGGTGGGTAGATTATTTCTTTATTTTTGCTATGTTCAAATAAGCAGTTACGCTAACGCCGTATAGGGTAACTTTGCAATTGAATCACTGTTTCATAATAATATGTGCTGGAGCGCGGGCTTCCCAGTAGTGAAAAGCTTGCCGAGTACTGGTTTTTGACTATATTTGATTCTCAGGGAGACCCCTTAAAATCCCTGAAGCCCTTCGGGGGCTCTTTAAGGGCTCTCCGAGAGCTTGTATCGGAGGGGCTGTCAAAGCAAGCTCGAAATTTGATTTTTTAGTGATATTTGATTGATTTCGAGCTTGCTTTGACAGCCCCTCCGATACAAGCTCTCGGAGAGCCCTTAAAGAGCTCCGAAGGGCTTCAGGGATTTTAAGGGGTCTAACCCTGAGAATCGAGAGACGTTATAATATACTCAGGGGGAGACCCCCTGAAACCCCCTAACCCTCCGGGGGCTCTCCGAGGGCTCTCCGAGGGCTCCTGCCGGAGAGGCTCTTCTCGCAAGCTCGATAATTCACTAGTTTAGTATATCTTTACAAATACTTTATCAAATTTCGTCTACGCTACATTATTTGAAAGCGTATAATTAACTCTATAACTTTATAAACTTACTTTATTATTATATTTTTGATAAAAGAAAAGGAATCAAAAAAGGTAGATTTGAGGATTTTGAAGTTCTTTTCCAGCTTCCTCTTTTGGACGTACCCGTGTGCACCCGCGTTTAGATCGAAAATGAAGAAATAAGGTGAGTTTTAGACTGAAAATGGTAGAATCCGATGATCTGATTGGTCACTAGCCTCTTAGCGTAGCACCCATTCTCGTTTTCAAGTCTTGAGCATTGAGAAAGCAAGCTTTCCAATAAAACAGTGATTTAATTTGTGGGTGATTGATGAGGCTAATAACTACTCTATATGGTTAGCCTATTGAATTATTACCCTTTTCGTTTTGAATCATTCTTTTGAATTACATTGCTAAACCTCCCTACTGGCTTAATTTGACCGCTTTTCCCACCTAGCCCGGTCTACTCCACCTTTATTTTTTGGGAAAATGACACGATCGTGAAGAGCTGAGGTGTTGTGTGTGAGACTGGTCGAAGTTTGAAAGTACATCTGCTAAGAGGAGATTCGTTGATGTGACGGGATGGATGATGGAGGAAAAGAAAGGTTGATCGTTAGCGTTGACGCATCCCTTCGACGGTTTGGTTTCAAAAGGGCAATCTCAAATTTCCCAAGTCCTTGACGTTCATCGCGAAACCGGCTGTCAGAGTTCGTCAGCGGCTGGAAAGTGGTCGAAGGAAGATTTTAATCCCTGCTGGCGATCCAGTCATGGTTATAAAAAAAATACCTACGGGTAACCTGGTTTGCCTCTGTGGAGTACTTGTAAGTAGCACACTACCAGACACCGTCGCGGGCGCTATCACAGCGGGCATCCGGCATCGATTATGGTAAGGGATCGGGAAGACTTACCGCACAACGAGGAAACCAGCGTGGACCTTGTTGATCTTTATCAATTCGTTAAACTCGTCTTCAACATCCCTTGCGAAACCTATCTCCTGTTAAAGAGGGACTATCTCCAGAAGGTTCGATGAATTATGATGAATAAATGATGCACTATGTTGAAGCATCGGCCATCCCCGTCACGGAGCTTGTTCCAGAACGTGACCAATGACCAATGAATGATCAGCCGTTGAAGTGATTCGCTATCGTGCTGTGTGAAGATGATCAGTGATCTCACCGCAGCCTACATACATGTATGACGTACCTAAAATTCTATTCAAGCTGGATTGCAAAGTCCTACAGGCCTAGCCATAAAGCTTATGACTTATGACTGGGGAGGCCTTTGCAACCCCCGCATGATCGTCCCTGCCTCATATCTATATACGAACTTAATTCTAGAAACCATGTGAGCTATGGACGCCAGGTGCCAAAAGAATGCGAGATATCTGCAACGTACCACATGTCACCGCAGAAGTTGATCTTTCAGCTGGCTAGACTTTCTGCACAAAGGGGAGAGAAAAATCCAAACGCCACTAAGAGAGAGGTTCCTGAAGGCAAAGTTGACTTCAACACACGTAAGATTCCAATGCAAATGATACCTCAATCGATAGAGCCTTTCGGAGGCTTTCTTCAGACTAATCACGGCCCATCTCGACGGGCGGCATGGCTCTTGGCTATACTACCTTCTACCTCGCTACGTGCACACCATAAATTCGGTCCATGCACCAGCGCCAAGTCGAGGTCCTGCACGTCCCATATGCGCATGAACACTGTTGGCTAGAGTGCGATTATCCCGGCCTGGGCGGAATCAATCTCCAAGAGGCAAATTACCGAATCATACCCCATATTTGGGTGATATTTGGTGTAAGGGTATGATTCAGTAATTAGGGGTATGATTCGGTAAGGATTCATACTTTTGGGGTATGAATTAGTAATTCGCCCAATCTCCAAGATATGGCGCCGCCCAAAATCTCACGAGTATCTATCTCGTGTGCATCACACTAATGTTGGCGCTTCAACAGCTGCTTATCGCAAAAGTTTCAGGCTTAGCTTTTCTGGAATGTGGTGTCCCATGATCCCATCGATAACTTTTTGACAATCTCAAACCTTGCAACCAACAAAGCTTTTTTCAGCATGGGTTCTACAGAGACGATGATAGCACACGAATCACATTCCAAGGACCAAGCTCCCGCCCGTGAAATGATGCTACGCAATTCCGAAGCGTCATGTCTGGGAGGATCAACTCCTCAAAAGTTAATCCATGAGGTTGTCGTCAAGTACAAAGCTTCCGTCCCGAGAGAAGAGCCACACCAGGCCAATGCCAGCTCTCACGAAGAAGAAGTTCCCTCTCCAGCAGACAAGGCATATGGGGAAAATGGAACGGTGCGGCAACAAATGGTCTATTTACCCGATATGTTTGTTTCTTTCTGTTCCCTACCCCCAGCGATGAACAAACATTAGGATGAAATCAAAATAGAATCAGACACCTTCATCCGAACACTCGGGCTTCAACGAAAGGGAGAGCAAAGTGCATGTCATGGGAGACTTTCCCTATCTTGGAGCTATCCTCGTACCAGATGCTAGGCCCGACGAGTTCCGGAACGTGTGCGATTGGCTCAATTGGGCATTCGACTTCGACGACCCCTTTGACGGGGGCGAATTGAGAGATAGACCGGAAGAAGCGAAGAAGCTGGTGGATAACCTACTGGTCACGCTGGAGGCGACCAGCTTGGAAGGCGTAGTGGTGAGCGAGAACATACTTGTGGAGGTGTTTCGGAGCGTCTGGCTTCGTCTGGCGCGGGACTCGTCGAAAGAGACGCAAGGGAGATTCAGGGGCTCGATGACGGATTCCTGCAATGGACTCATTCAGCAGACTGAAGCTTGCATCGACCCCAACAACTTTGACTTGAATGGGTATTTGGCGACAAGATGCCAGACGATAGCGGCATACCCCTTGTATGCAATGGTCGAGTATTGCTATGGCATCGCGATCAGTGACGAAGTCATCGCCTGCAAATCCATTCAGACCATCCAGCGACTTTCTACCGAGTTGACCGTACTGTGAGTCTTCCCCTGTCGAACGACCATCTCACTATGCTGACGATCCTACAGACAGAATGATGTCCTGTCATATCACAAGGAAAAGGTTGTGTCACCCCATCTGGAACCATGCAGCATACACACAGCTGACCTCGCATAGCGACTCGGCTTTGAGCACACCCTGGTTAGCATCTACATCCGGCAGGGCAAGACCCAAACAGAGGCCTACGATTGTGTGGATCAGCTTATGAAGGACCGCTACCGCGATTGGTATCTCGCCTTGGCCGAGCTGCCCATGTGGGGTGAAGATGTCGGTAAGCAGGTCCAGGTATACATCCAAGGCTGTCAGAACATGGTCGTCGCGAACCTCAATTGGAGCTTCAAGACGGAGCGGTATTTCGGAAGGGAGCATTGGAACGTCAGGCGTACTAGAATCGTCCCATTCACGGAATGAGGGGTTCTTGAAATCTGGCACAGCGCTCCCAAGGCATTTCTCTCGGGCTCTGCGCCTCGATGGTTCATCGCTCCTACTAAGTAGCTATCGGCATGTCACGATTGCCAATTTTTGAATGACACATTCTGTTCCTGATACATACATCATGCCCATATTTCGACCGAAAAACAAAATCCGAGCCGCAAATCTACCATTCGGGTGATAATATCTGGGAATACTATCACCCCCATCACATCATGATGACTCGCCAGCCTCGTTCGCCAAAGTAATACAGCCGTCCTGAATCCTGCCGCTCTTCAGAGAAGAAAAAATCAATACCCTGCGGGCACTTATCGCCACGGCAGCTCCTTCCAACAGCACTCGGACCTGCCTTCGACTCCCGATCAGGAAAGGGGTGTTGTCGGCGTAACAGTCAGTAATCGAGCAGAGCATTCATTTCGTATGCAAAAAAAAAAAATGTGTATCACCGACGTGACAAGAGCGGACGGGGTCCGTTTCGGGGGGGTTCGGCCAACGAAGCATACCTAACATATTCCGACCGGTCTACTGAAAAATTGTATTGCGGATTCCGCTCCGGTGGGGCGGAGTAGGGCTCCGCGGGTGGATGTACCTCGTGTGGTGGAAATCTACGGGGGAGAAGGAGAAGAAGAAAGAAACGCGTTTGATTGATTGATGTGCAAAATCCGGGTCGACGCGAAGGGTTTCGACGCGTGAGATTGCGGGACTGGGAAGGTGGAAGCAAGGGTTGTCTGGAAGACCGGATGGAATTTGATGGGGAGTTGGTTGTAGAGGTAAAGGCCACGGCCGATCGAACTGTGGGTACCTGGATGCACTTCACCCGAACCTTGCATTCTCCGTCTTCGGGCCGCGGTGGGCATTGACGCTGTGAAGGCTTTTGGAGACTTGGGAAGGTCATATGATCGTTGAGCTGAGGTACGGATGTGATCGGATGGCTCTACCCGTCGAAAAAACATGAACGGTGCACCCGCTCCGCCAGCGACAGTAAATCCTCGTAGCCCAGCGCGACGGACAGCGCCTCGCCGAATCTCAACCCGCCTCCCGCGACCCGAGCGCGCTTTCCACCACCACCACCTCCCTCCCCCCTCGGCGTCTCGTCCCCCTCCTCGACCCTCGCGCGCTTCCCACCGCCGTGCCCCGCTCCGTTCCGGGCCTGATCCCGCTCCCTCGCACTGCGGACCCGTCTCTTGTACACGAGCAGCTCGTTCCAGAAGTAGCCTTCGGGATTGCCGTGGCTTTCCGCACACCCGATGAAATGGGATTCGAGATGGTACGGCCGTTTGTGACCGAGGCCACAGATGGGGCAAGGGTTGTCCGGGAGCTGGGCGGTGGTGGCTTTCCCGACGGTTTGCTTTGAGGCCGTTCGGACGCCGTTGACCGCACCGAGTCGGGCTCTGTATTGCCTGGAGCGGTCGGACGGCGGGTTCGCTGACGCTGCTGGAGGAGGGGGATTGACCGACTTTGCGGACGGTGGGATCGGTGAATGCGCTGACGTTGATGAGTTGGTGTGATTGCTCGGTTTGTACGGGGAAGTTGTTGGTGTAGCTGATGTGAGGTGATAGAATGACGCGTGGTCTTCCGGTCCGTCGACTGGCGCTGGAGCTGGCGGGTTTGCTGCCTCTGACCACGTTGGAGTGGTGCCGGTGCTTGTGTTGTGTGGATAATGGGCTGATCCGTTCGATGTGAAGTCATATGACGGCGAAAGGTACACTGGTTTATGACTTTGCTGCAGTTGCTGGAATGGATCTGAGCGGGCATAATTGTATCCTCGCATTGGTGGATAACACGGCTGTGGACAAGTGTTGTTGGTTGAAAGAAATGCATTGTTGCTCGATGTGAATGACTGGGCGTCATTGATTGGAGGGTATGGTTTGTAAGACTTCGAGTAGTCTGTCGGGTGAAAATGGTCAAAAGGGGGCACTGGTGAATATGGTGGGTAGTGCGTGTTGTGGGCCGGAGGATGTGTTTTGTAAGACTCCAAAGGAAGGGAGTGCTCTGTCGGGCAACATTGTTCAGAAAGAGGCACTGGAGGATATGATGGGTACCCAGCCATGCTATCCATTTCCCATGCTGGGTATGAACCCGACATCTTGATCGATAGCTTGGTAAAAGTATGCCCGAGGTTTGGTGTTGTCAGGATTAGAGCGCGACAGTGTTGTCTTTGCATGTTTTCATTTCCAAAAAGGGTAAGGCGGACTCGTCACCCACCTGATTGAAGGTTTCTCACTATTTTGTCCTGCTTCCCACATTAGAGTAGAGAGAAATATTGACTAGGCCTACGATTGCTCACACTGAGTCATCTCTTTTGCCAAATCTGTGAACCGTGCATTCAGCCGATTGTGCATATGCATGATATGACAACGAATCTTGTTTTGAAAGCATTTGGGCCAGGAGATGCATTACGGGCGTAGGAGACATTCTTCCTAGGTTCTGCATTGATCACAAAGTAGACCCATACTTCCCCTCTTTATCCATCGGCAGGACCACGACTCTTCTGTAGCGGAAGAAATTTACTCTTTTCAAATCCCTGTGGTTCTTCAATTTTCTTGGCTAGGTTGCAATGTAGATGAATGCTTTCTGCCTGTCCTGGGAGCTACATTCCTCCCAAGACTAGTCTCCCAAGGAGGGTTTCTGTCCTGGGTAAACTACCCCTGGAGTCGCATTGTCCTAGGCTAGAACAAATGCTCTGAGAACCTACCTTCCAGAATCAAACCTGAGCTAGATGTGAGCCCTAGGATAATCCTCCCAGGAGCGGTCGCCTGGGATTAAGAAACTCGCTTGGTGATACTTTCTGTAGACTAAATTGCTGCTTTGAGGGAATCTCTGGGACTGTTGTGAGCTCTAGGAAAAGTCTGACTGACGGGGAGACGGACGAAATTCCAGCATCAAGGCTGAGCTTCACCTCAACTTCTTGCAGAGCACGAGCACGAGAATCGTTAGCCCGTTACTTCCATTCGAAGACGGCTCATCCCTACATCTTCGACCAAAGGTCCGTGCAAACCGACAACCGGTACTCCTAAATGCAGGCCCCAAGGGCGATGCGAGTGCAATGCGTCTAGCAAGGTCCTTACTCGCCCCGGGTGCAACCCCGTAGGACAACGCTGGTCGTGCGTGTCTATCCCAGAGCAGCGCTGAGCCAGAGGCTCTCGAGCTGGCCATGGTCCATAACACATAGTGGACCGGCACGCGAGGTTCCCATACAGCATCTGAGTCCCACTGAGGAAATTTCTATCTTTCTAGGCCCGTCGGAGGTGGGGCGTATGTAGCACGCGGATGGTCGACACATGAAGTCGCCGTCAGACATGGGGATGTCGGTAGCACTGACATGTCATTCGCACACACTCGACAGGCGTGTTGTGGATCCGGGAATCGCCCTTGGGCTTCCTGTTGGATCCTATGGAGCTGCAGCTTCTTCCGCTTTTGGTGCGACTGCTCGTCGACGTCCCGGCCGTGCTCAGCACTGACGGGGTCATGCAGCAGGAGTCCTGCATGTCAGATTGAGAGCCTCGATCGATATGCAATCGATCTGGTTAAGTGCATGGTTCACAACTTCTAGCTCCTAATCTTGAGAAACAGTGTACCTATATATATATTTTTCAATCCTGATAAACGCAAGAAGATGATTGGTATATTCTAAAGATTAAGCCTCGACACAACGATAGAGGTAGAAGATTTTTTGCAGATAGAGCTCTTTGCGTAAATCTAGAAACGCTTCTTCCCGACTCACGATGCCTGTCTTCAAGTCTGTTTCGCAACTATAACATATCATTGCGTTATTGTGTCTTTGCGACGTTGAACCCGCGCGTATTTTCGGCTCAGACGTGCCGTCTGCAGTGATCAAGAGTGCTAACTCCAAAGAGCTTAGCGAGCTTGGCAGGTCCGGGACACCAAGTTCAACCAACCAATCAATCAATCAGATCCCCACCACCCAGATAAGCCCAACGAGCAGAAGATTCCAATCCGAAGCTGTAAGCGTACAAACTACTCGGAGAAATCTTCGCACCCCTACACCCAAATCCAATTCCCTAAACCGCAAGCACCGAAGTGAGCGCAAGGCCCGTGAGGTCCAGAAACGCCAAGCAAGGGATTGACCGTGCGCGATAAGATACGCCCAAAACAGATAACCACTTAGACAGACAACCCACCAAGCCTCCCTTCCCATTCCCATACCCTCCCCCCTCACCCAACCCACCCCCACCATGCCCCCCACCCGGACCCCCCTCCGCCTCGCCATCCTAGAAGCCGACACGCCCATCGGCCGCGCGCGCGCCAAATACGGCAGCTACGGCGGCGTCTTCACCTCGCTCCTGCACCGGGCGGCCGACGCCTCGCACGTGCCGCGGGAGCGGTTGGAGATCACGGGGTGGGACGTCGTCGACGGCGCGGCGGCGGAGGAGGAGGCGGGGGAGGGGGAAGTCGAGGACATGGGTGGGGAGTGGGCGGTCGTGAGGCGGAAGGGGTATCCGAGGATGCGGGACGTGGACGCCGTGCTGATCACCGGGAGTCGTAGGTGGAGTTTTTCTTTGTTCGTTTTTTGGCTTGGGGGGGGGGTGATGAGGAGGGGGGAGGTGGGATGGGATGGGATGGGATGTGGCTGATTGGCTAATAGCGCCCGGGCTGCAGGGTTCAATGCCTTCGATAATGACGCGTGGGTTGTACGGTTGGTTGAGTTTGTGAAGGAGGTGCTCGCGCAAGGTCGGGTGAAGGTTGTTGGGGTGTGCTACGGGCATCAGATAGTGGGGAGGGCGCTGGGAGCCAAGGTCGCGAAGAGCGAGGGCGGTGCATGGGAAGTCAGTGTGTGCCAGGTCCTCCAGACGCAGAAGGGGAAGGAGTTGTTTGGCGGGAAAGATGCTCTGGTGAGTGGTGGACATGTTGTTTTTCCGATGCGAAGAAAACAATGTGCCATTCAGGACTAATTTGCTGAGTGACCCGCAGAGCATATTCCAAATGCACAAAGATCTCGTATACCACTACCCCACAGGTGTCGAGGAACTCGGATCATCGGGGCCATGCAAGGTCCAGGGCATGTATGTCCCGAAGAAGGTAATTACAGTGCAGGGCCACCCGGAGTTCACAGAGGAGATTGTGGCGGAGCTGTTGGAAAAGAGGCGCGAGCAGATGATCTTCAGTGAAGAGATATATGGAGAAGCCATGGCGAGGGTGGGAAAGCCGCATGACGGCGTGATGGTTGCTCAGGCCTTTTTGAAGTTTCTTATGGAAGAATGAAACTTGACTTTAAAGTATATCATGGTACGGAGTACATGGTGCACAAAGTTAGAACATCGGATGGTGTATGCGACTCCTAGTCTCACGGGCTTAACATAGGAGAAGAAGACTCGATGAAGTAGCCAGTCGTCTTCGAGGCCAGGAATCTGTGGCAGTAGATGTTTGGATTTGTGTAACAATAGATAGTCAACAAGAGGAGATCGTCTATTGATTCCTGATAGAGTACAGTGCTCGAACGAGCTCGCTAAATAGTAGAACAAAACCGGAACATGTTGTACGTAGTATGTGCAATCATGAATATCTTTCTCATCAACATCAAAAACACCATTGTGATCAAATCAAACCTTCCCAGTCATCTCGCAGCTATAAAACATGGTATAACATTCAATATACCCAGCTCCCAGATCCGATGCCATGATTCGCTGTTTATTCAAATGCAATGCAATCAAACCATTTATCGATCGTAAACCACCAGTTGTGCATATGCTGAAGCAAGGTTGCCGGACTGAAACTCTGAGAAAATCGCTCAAATCAAACGTTCGTTACATATCACATCTCTAAAGCTAGGTCCGAGAAACACCATACTCAAAATAGGAGTATTTGTCGAGGCCGCCGATCCAAATGTCGTCCACGAGAAGGATATCAAGTTGTAAGGGATGACGACAGCAAAGAGTAGTAGCCAGTGGGTACCAAAGAGTGTGGCGCCCGCCATGAGACACAATGATGAAGCAAACAGTTGTCAAAAGCGAAGCGCAGAGTTCCGAATCCCGCGGCTCTGCTACCAGTGACGAACATACGTCTGCTGCTGCATCATGGCGGGCGATATCGAAGAAGGTGGACTTGGCACCCGCATGCCCGTACTAGGGTTGACTATCGGGATGGCATTGCGTGTGCGCAAGGCAGAAGGTTGGTGGATCTTCATCTGCTGGCTATTGTTTGATTGGAAGCCAGTAATGGGGTTGTAGGAGTTGTTTGACGCAGCGGAAGAGAGAGAGAAGCTAGGAGTGGCTTGTTGCTGAGGCTGGATCTGGGGTTGGAGTGGAGATGAGTGAGGCGAGCCGCTGGAGAGAGAGCCATCGGATGAGGAGGAGTGGATAGATTGTAACTGTAAATGAAACATAGATAAGCATACATCCACCACACATAACGCTGTCCACAACAAACAGATAGTCTAATGATATGTGTCACTTACGTCGTCCTCAGTCAAAAGTCCCGGGCAGAACTCCAAGTCGTCATCCAAGTCAAAAGACCTCCCGGCCTCGAATCGGACACGGAAAGCCGAGGTCGGTGGGCTCTCGGTGAGCTCCTTCATGCTCCGAACCCCACGAAATGGGCGATGCGAGTTCTGGGACGCTGAGAGCCGTGGCGCTCTCCGTGATCGACCACCATGGTGATTGTGCGACGACGAGGAATGTGAGGAAGACGACGAAGGCTGATGATGCTGAGGTCCGTAATAGTAAGCCGACATTGTTGCGGTGGTGTAAGATGTAAGAATTATGGATGAAGAAGGATGATGAGAGGATTCAAGTTGGTCTGTGCTGTGGGGCTGGGCAGTGCAGCGGACGCTTGCGGCGTAACAAACAAAGGCAGATGCAAGTCAATAAAGCCGAGCAATGATGGCTGCTGTTGAAGTAGAATTGACTGATAACGATTAGTTAACAGAAGTTGGAAAGAAAGATTATAATGAATAAGTATTTGATGGAATTGAAGCAGATGAATACGGTAGTTGATAATATGATAATGTGGATGCTGCGCTCGTTGATGGGGAGAGGGAAGCTTTTGGAAGGCGAGGAGGTACTTGGGAATAGAGAATTAGCGCCATGCTAAGTCCTAAGCTAGCACTATAGGAGGCAACTTCAGGACGCTAAAGCTCAGGCTAATCTAGATCGAGTAAGATATCAGCAGGCTGTTTCAAGCTAAAATTCCCATCTCGACTAACCGCTCCTTCCCCCACTTTACTTTTTATGCGCTCGAGGGAAATAGATATCATCGGCGTCGACCGAGTCGTTGAGGCTGGGAATGGTTACAACTTACGGCACATGAAGCAAGACGCCATCGCACGGCGACTACCTTATGTATGAAACATGCTCAGACACACTAAATCCATAAAATCCATCTTCTTCGCTGATCTAAAGCTACGAGAGGACGACATTGCCAGTTGCCACCTTTGACTTGATTAGCAAGTTGATTCAAGACCTTCCATTACTCGTGTTAATACCTATGCATTGGCTCATCACTGATTCCATCGCCCAGTCCTGCCCAGCCTGCCCAGCCGACCCTAGGGACCCGGGAGGCTTGGCAGGCTGGCAGCGCATCGAGGTCCGCTTCGCAGTAGCGTGCATTAGCGAAGCGTCTCGAAAAAGCCTCCTGCTTCACCGCCTTCGACTTCCTAAAAGCCGCAGAAAAAAGGAAAGAAAAGGAATTATCAAAAGGTACGGTCAAGAGCAGATCAACTCGACTTGATTTCAGAATAATGCATAGTCGTCGACTGGGTTATTGAAGCCGAGTCTCTCATGTTACCTTCAGTGGGAGATGATTAGAGTGACAGCTTCGACTTTCATGAGGACAAAAGTATTCGCTGATTGTGGCAGACGGTGGGTACTGAATGAGTATGACAACGTGTGAGACGATCTGTATGCTTGGGAGGCGATATTTGACTACATGCCATCCCAATGCCAAGACGGCTAAGCCCAGTGAGGACAGTCTCATAGGCTGCGGATCCAGACTAGCCTTTCTTTAAAATGACGGCAGCATGCTCGCTCACACAATGACATGGCTCATGAATGGTAAAGAAAGAAGTATACATGATGAGAGGTACGTCGGCAAATACCAAACTCGCCCTATTAAACCTCATTGAACGCAATGGTCATTGAATGGGGCGCAGGGTGTGAACGAGGGATGCGCCAGAAACATCTAGCTCCCAAAGCAGCGACAGTGCTCCATCAGGACATAACATCCATGCCCACCGGCACCAAGGGTTGGGTTATAAGTTTTGCCGCGGCGGTGAGCTTGTCCCCTTGCTACTTGTTCTTCAACATCCGGGCCAGCCTCGCCATTCAATTGTTTCACAATCGACGTGAAGCAATCGACTATCTTGAGAGCGTAGCTCAATGTTCTCTGCATCCTGCCTCTCAACCTTCCTTCTCAACCACGCCTTAACGCCATCAATGATTCCAAACTTCTCTTCTGGCTTCAGCTCCTCCCACCCGTTCTTTTGTCGTACGTGAACATTTACCACGTCGTCAAACTAGGGTACATACTCCGTCTTGTATCGGGTGCACTTGCCTCTAACGTAGCTGGTGGTAATTTTCTTCTTTTCGCATTCCCCACCAGGCCATTGATATAGAGAGTGGTACAAGGCGGTGCAATTTGACAATCTAGTCTCGGCGGTAATTTTATCGATGAAGGTGTGATCCAGTTGACCAGACGAACCATCACCTTGGGACTGCTGGAAAAGGTATGGACAATTCAAAACAGCTGGAACTCCAGGAGCCCAAGAGATCACCGCCAATCCCTTGGACAGGGCATTTTGTCTGAACCATATTGCGCGAGTATGTTTCTTCCAGGATCTCTCTTGGTTAGCAGTACCCTCTCGGTATTGTTGTGCTCGCGGGGAGAAAGTTCACTGCCTCGGATCTGATGAGATGGTGACAGCCGGCGAATTTTTGCCATGAAAAATCCAGAGGGAAAAGATGATTCGGAGGAAGCAGATGATGCACAGAGAGTAGATAATGTAGTTGAAGAGTAGCTAGACAAGGTGCTGAAAGATGCTGAGGTAGAGACTTCGTTGCCGGTTACAGAAGCGGATTCGGTGAGACTGATGTATGGAGTAATTAGAAGCACATCTGGATTGGGACGGAGATACGCTACTTCATCATCAGTCAAATTAATGTTTACCCAATCAGCTGCACTCATCCGGGTTGAACCGACAGCAGGTTGAAGTGCTTTACATTTGGAATTCAGCGCCCCAAGAAGATCAGAGACCTCATCCTCGTCACCAACGCCACCGAAGAGATAGTACGAACCGGTCACGGCGCTAGATGCGGAACTTGTCATTGTCGAAGATCGGCGGTTGGTAGAAGGAAAGCTTGTGGAAGATGCATGATCAGATGAATTTCGAGAGTTGGTTGGCTCATCATCCTCGCTTTGTGGGTCGTCCTTCGGATTTGGCGGCGAGCCCTCCGCCGAACCTGCGCCTACAGCGGGGCTAGGAGGTAAAATAGTGATGTCGTCAATTCCAACTAGTTTCCCTGTCCTGGGATCACAAATCCATCGAAGAAGAAATGCAAGCAAGCTAAGCACTGTTTTACAAAGCAGTGGGATTGCGGCCCCAGCGAACAGCAGAAACGCGGCATCGTCGCGGCAAATTTTGGGAACAACAGTGACAACAGTACTACCAGATGATGTAGTACTTGCCAGCGCGAAAGCATGCGAGCATTTCGTACTCGTCGTGATACTCTGCACGACCATTCCAGGAGGAACAGTAGTGATGGTGGATAGCTGCTGCCCCAACAACGCAGCGGTCAAAATTTCTGCCAGTGCAGCATCCGACTAAGCGACTAGAAGTAAGTCCCCACCAGCTGTACTATTAGTCGAATTGCTTCCTGTAGTATTTGACGCTGATTGGGAAAGCTTGGCCTTCAGCTGGAATTCCGCTCTTCCCGGCAATCGTTGATGTTGACCTGGGAGTATTTAAGCCTACGGCGGGGACTGATCCACCAGCGACGTGAGACCATGAGAGGCCGCTTTGCGCGCTGGGACTCGCTGATATAATTTCTGCCGCAGGCTGCCTTGTCTCTGAAGTCGATTGAATGATTGGCAACGGCGATGCTGCATGTGCACCTGGCGATTGCAACCACGGTAATAAAGCCGGGGTGTTCACAGAAACCATGGCAGCGCTCAGGGTGCCAACGGACCTTGAGGAGCTAGTCTGGTCGGGGTCCGGGACCGGAGCATTTTGAGCATTTCGCAGAAAGCTGCTGATCCTTGAAGACGAGTCCGCGAACAGCGCTGATTTGACATTCGTGGTATTAGTACGAGCTGCTCCAATCATTGATGCGGCTCCAGGGCCAGTGTTTGTGCGGGAGGCTCCTGTCACCGAACCTTGGTAGCTAGTCGTAATGGAAGCAGTAGAGGAAGATTTACCAGTTACGGGTATTGATAGCGCGAGCGAGGATAGGTCCGTTGCGGAAGAGAGAGTCTTAGTGGCTACGCTGCCATTAGATCTGGTGAACAGCCCCAAAGTCTCAAAGACAGTAGAACCCTGAGGATTTATTGTGAGACAAGAGGTCGAGATACTGCTCAGTATAACGGCGGTCGAAGTACTCCCACCTTCTCTGGTGAACATCTGAGCGAGGTTGACAACAGAATGGTTATTTGCATCTACCGTTGTGAAAGCGAAGCTTGGTGGTATCGATAACAGTGTAGGTATGACGGACACTGGTAATATTTTTGTGATACTACCCTGAGTTGCAGAGGCCTCAGCTAGACCTGTTATGAATGAGCCAGCCAAGTTGGTTGTCGTTACAGGTTTGACAGTGCCAAAAAGGTCTGTGATTGGGGATCCCAATGAGTTCTGTACTACGGATCCAACATAGAATATCTCATGTCCCGCGACATCAGTGGCCTTGATCAACGATAGTACAGGCTTTGTAGGGACAGGGTTTTGTATTTGTCCATCCGGAAATCTCGATCACAACGACTCCAGTGGTAGCCGGAGCACCATTGATCACGGGAATGCTAGTCAGCACAAGTGGGACTGAGACCACAAGGTGTAACAATTGTGAAGTCCATGTCAAAAGGATCATATCGAAACCGAAGACGAATACTGGCGCGTTGCCGAAAGCTGGTCGATTGCAGAAATGACTGCAGCTGGAAGAAAAGAATTGCTTTGATCTTAGAACGCAGTCGAAGGCAAGAGAAAGAGGGCGGCCATAATGCAACCGCAGCGACCAAGAGCTTCAGACTCGGAAGAGGAAGATAGATCGTACAGCGAATGAAAATGATGTCCAGCGGAAAGACAATGACGGTCATGAGATGGGACCGGTGGCACTTTCACGGCTCGCACTTTGCGCATGGAATGCATAATTTCAGCCATCTTGATGTGCAGGGGAGTGTCTTCTCAACCACTCATCTACTCAATTTGACTCCGAACAGGCGTCAAGTCCTTCCATACTTCCTGCAAGGTCTACAGAGCCCAGCTGTCCGCCAAAGGCTAGTCTGAGCTAATTATTATAGAGACAGCACTTTATCTGAGACGGCTCAAAGAGAGATGGCGATGGGAAGGGAGGGAGGGATCGATCCGGGCTGTGGAAAGCGGCAAATTCTGCCGAAAGAGTTTAGCGCCATTTAGCCCTGTCGAGTAGAAAGCATCCCCATTATTTACTCCTCGTTCAAGATTCCGCATTTTGAATACAAAACTACTCAAGGTCAACTTTCGGTCTCGTTTTCGACATCGCGAACAGCTCTAGAAAATCCATTGATGCCAGCATTAGGGTTTGAAAGGCTTCTGCGCAATTGCGACTCATCGAGTCCTTGAGTCAGCCTGCTCCGGTCGAAGCAGGAGCTGATAGAAGAAGCAAATATATGTGAAACGCTTGATTCATCTCGCCCAACCCAGACAGTGAGACTCGAACAGGCTTCCAATGTCCATAGGGGGAGCTTGACAGGTGGGACAATTCGAGATCTAAAGCTGAGGCTAGCCTGCACGTCTTTGGCCTGCTGTGATCGACTCACAACTCTGCATAATTTTGTTTACATGTAGCCCGACTACAGTAACACCACCAACACAGGGGGAGAATAGCCACTTTCGATGCAGCTACGAGCAAGAAGGTTATGCGGTAATGCATTTGATGGATCGGTTCCTGTACAATGAACGCCAAACGCGGTTGTGTAGACAATAGACGCTTTATCAACATCACTTAGCGTATCCTTAGCGCTGTTCAACCTATCGAGCATCCTCCCTAAGGTGAAAGATGGCGAAAACACAGGGTTCACACGCGTTCCAGTCTGGATTACCTATCGCTACCCGTTCTAAATTCGAAATTGCCCCAGAAAGAGCGTTGAAGAGGCCGGAAATTTGCTTGCTGATATGGTTTCGTCAAACGCTGGAGGATATGTACCCGCTTCATCTGCCACTTCTCCTGACACATGTTGCCTGTAGCTTTCAACCCCGCTTGTTCGTAATGAAAGCATTGAGCACGAGCGCGACGGCAAAGACCTTAGGAGTCCAACACTTGATCAGTTTGTGCTCAACAAAATCAGTTGCATAGCCCGGAGGATTAGTAGGTTGAAGCGGAGGAGCATACTGGAAGGGAAGAATTGCGCGTCGGCCCGAAGATTGACAGGAAGGAACTTTTGGAGGAAACAAGGGAGAAGCACGAGAGCGTTTGGTGCATGGTTGTTATAATCATCATTACCCATATTGTGACCAGTGCCCCATAGTCCTGGTCCTGTAACTCGCACGTTTCCGGCATGTACTTTTTGGGAAACTTCTCCCATTGCGCCATGGCTATGCCCCAGGTTCAGCTGCAATTTTTGTTGATCTCCTCCTACGCCTTCCCAAATGCACCATCCCGAGCATAGCTCTATCCTAGACGAGAGCTTCAACCCATCTCAACATCTCCAGACTCGTCCCGCCGATGAGAACCATTGGGCTCGTAGTGCTCAAAGACGAGTCCACCATTTGTGTTTGGCGCTGGGGCACGGGTTTCCTCAGGGTCTGCCTCACTAATGGTACCATCCGACATTTTACCGTCGTCCACTGGGGCTCCATTCTGCTCATTCGTTCCAATTGGCCGTTGCGGCAGTGATCGTCCTGCATCCAATGTAGTCTGTCCATTTTGTAAAGGCTGGTTTCCTTTAGTTGCCTTGCTAGCTTTCTTTGCCTTGTACTCTCTGAAAGTCGAGGTCCGGGGTATTACGTCTTCAAGAAATTGAAGGCAGTCCATTCGAGCAACAGCGTTTGCTTTGATAGTGAGTTTGCATGAAGTAAGCCTTTTAGCCGGTAGACTTACCCATATCCTTGTATTGTATATTGCGTCTAGGCTTCTTCTCAGACTTGACCACGTTCAATGCTTGCTCCGCAAGATAGCGTATGAACATTTCCTGAGGCCATTAGGCACTCGTTCGCACGGGAGAAGGATTGGTGGAACGTACCGTGGCTATAGTGATCGCAAAAGCTCCATTGTTTGAACACGCAATGATCTCTTCATCTATGTGAAGAATCTTCTTGACACGAGCCACTACAGATGTCAATCTCACGTGCCAAGACCGAGATCACTAAGAAGACTAACATGGGAGAGACGCTACTCCAGTAATCTCTTCTGGAGGAGGGATAGCGGTATTGTTATAAGGCATCGTAGCAATTTGAGCTCTGTTGTGTTTATATGTAGCGTCCGATAGAGTCAATGTCTGAAAAGGATGATAGGGAGTTTGTGACGATGGTGTTTGGGTGTCGAGAGAGTACGGGTGCGTATGGGCGTTCGCAAGTTCTTCTGGTGGTAAGAGGATCCAACGGTGTGAGAATATTTGAGAAGTTTCGAACGAGGGAGCTTTGAAGTTTTTGGACGGCGGAGTTCCTGTGTCAACCTCATATGACTTTTTCGATAGACGGCTGATTCTGATTGGCACAAGCGATTCTTCCTCGAAAATTCGAGGTAGATATCGTGCATGAAGTGGGCTATCCGGAGGTACTGCTTGCGGACTAGTAGCCCTTGTAGACTTGAACCCCAGTATCCTGTTAGCCATACTGATAGCATGCACGAAGAAGAAGAAGAGAGAGCATACATACGGAAAGACTCTTTCAACAGGAGACTCCTGCTTGTGAAGTGTGGTCACTTCGTAAGGAAGGAGCCATTCACTTCGCGGTCGAAGAGTTCACTTCCACGCAACTTACGCGCCGGACAGCCGAGGATTTACCGAACATGGACATGCATTGCAGCCTCAGGGCACCCAACCACACTACTATACAATGATGACTTGATATGACCGCTCGAACGACATCCTTTTCTGCGCAGCCCCCGCGCCGACCGTCATTGCCGGAAAGAAGGATATCAAGACGGCTGTCCGCCCTTTCAAGCGCCGAACACGGGCAAAATGGAGCTCCGACAGGTAGCACCGAGCAAGAGTTTACCGAGGAAATCGAGAAAATCAAGAGATACGAGGACTTTACAACGATAGATTGGGTGCAAGATGCGGCAAGGGAACAACTCAGGAGAAGAGCAAGACGAAAGGAGAATGCAGGCTTTTTCGAGCGTGATGGGCAGCTAGGCTGGAGACGGAAGCTTCGAGATTCATACGATGCTGGTCAGGCGTGGATTGTTGTCACATTGGTTGGGGCGGCCATAGGATTGAATGCGGCGTTTCTAAACATCGTTACGGAGTGGCTGTCTGATGTGAAGCTGGGCTACTGCACGACAGCCTTTTATTTGAATGAGGACTTCTGCTGCTGGGGCGAAGATAGTAGGTCGATGGCCCTGTTAGTAAACTTGGACTGATTGGAATAGCCTGCGATGACTGGCATAGGTGGACGTCCTTGTGGCCGGTCAATTACTTTCTATATTTTGTCTTCTCGGTATGGCAGAGAAAGATTAGCAACGCAACCCTGCTGACTAGGGTCCAGATTATCTTTGCCCTGACCTCCGCAAGCCTGGTCAAGGCTTATGCTCCCTACGCTGCCGGTTCAGGCATATCAGAGATCAAGTGCATCATTGCGGGCTTCGTTATGAAAGGTTTCCTCGGATTCTGGACGTTGTTGATCAAGTCAATCTGCTTGCCGCTGGCAATTGCATCTGGCCTCTCGGTAGGAAAGGAAGGGCCAAGTGTACACTATGCGGTGTGTACTGGCAATGTAATTTCGAGATTCTTCGACAAGTACAAACGAAATGCGGCCAAAACGCGGGAAATATTGAGTGCTTGTGCTGCGGCGGGAGTCGCGGTGGCGTTTGGGAGTCCTATTGGTGGTGTTCTTTTCTCTTTGGAAGTGAGAATCATGTCTGTCCAGAGCCCGTCTTCAAGACTGACATGTCCAGGAAATGTCGTCTTATTTTCCCCTGAAGACCATGTGGCGGAGTTATTTCTGTGCTTTGGTGGCTACTGCAGTATTAGCGGTAGGTTCAAGTTGACACACGACCTCTCAAATGACGCTAATCATGACTGTTGTAGGCAATGAATCCTTTTCGAACTGGCCAGCTGGTCATGTTCGAGGTCAGATACGATAGATCGTGGCATTTCTTCGAGGTGATTTTTTTCATCTTTATCGGTGTCTTCGGAGGACTATATGGCGCTTTCGTTATGAAATGGAATTTACGGGCAATGGCGTTTCGGAAGAAATATCTTTCAAAGTACGCCGTCTTAGAGGCTACGCTTCTTGCGGCGGGTACGGCGTTACTCTGCTATCCTAACATGTTTTTGAGAATTGACATGACGGAAGCTATGGAGAAGCTCTTCCTAGAGTGTGAAGGAGGTCATGACTACGATGGTCTTTGCGAGTGAGTTGTGTTTGCACGAGTCTAAGACTAGTTATACTGACAGCCTTTAGTACCAAAAATCGGTGGTCAATGGTATTATCGCTGCTATTCGCCACGATTATGAGAACTTTTCTTGTCATCATTTCCTATGGTTGCAAGGTGCCGGCAGGCATATTCGTACCGTCCATGGCAATTGGGGCCTCCTTCGGGAGGATGGTCGGTATCTTGGTTCAGACTCTCCACGAATCGTTCCCGCATGCAAAGTTCTTCGCCGCCTGCGAGCCCGATGTACCATGCATCACCCCGGGCACCTACGCTTTCCTCGGTGCCGCAGCAGCCCTCAGTGGTATTATGCACATAACAGTCTCGGTCGTGGTTATAATGTTCGAACTGACTGGTGCCTTGACGTACATACTACCGACGATGGTGAGTTCGAGACGCTTTCGGTTCCAGAAGTTGTGAAGAGCTGACAACTTGACCCTAGATTGTCGTAGGAGTCACGAAAGCCGTAAGCGAGCGCTTTGGAAAGGGCGGCATAGCAGACCGAATGATCTGGTTCAACGGCTTTCCCTTTCTGGACAACAAGGAAGAGCACACATTCGGGGTTCCTGTCTCCTCAGTTATGACAAGCGAAGTCACCTCACTGCCGTCCTCTGGTCTCAACCTTCGAGCTTTGGAGAGTATTATGTCTCAGAACAAGTATCAAGGATTCCCCATCATCGAAGACCGTACCACAAAAGCCTTGATTGGCTACATCGGGCGTACAGAATTACGATATGCAATAGATCGAGCCAAGAAGGAGGGTTTCATCTCACCAGACGCGAAATGCCTTTTTACTCAACCAGATTCGACGGCATTGCAGACCCCGTCAACCGCAGCGCCACCAGTCACATTCGACGCCATTGCATCCGTAAGCGGCCAGCAGAACGTCGATTTCAGTCGTTTCATAGACCCCACACCACTAGCAGTCCATCCGCGCCTACCGCTCGAGACTGTAATGGAGCTCTTCAAAAAGATGGGACCTCGAGTGATTCTGGTAGATTACAGAGGCCGCCTCGCTGGTCTAGTGACTGTCAAAGACTGTCTCAAATTCCAATTCAAAGTCGAAGCTCATGAGACTTCAAGAGACGACTCGATACTCGATGAAAGGCAGGAGAGATTGTGGGATGTGATTAGTCGAGCGGCTGATTGGGTTGCCGATAAAGTCATGAGTATCTCGGGCGGGCGATTGAAGCTTGGTGGGTCGGCGAGGAGTCCGGGCTTGCTGCAGTCTGAGACCATGGATCCGAGAGACCGGTTAGAGCCCATTCGGGCTTCGAGGCATGCCATATTGGATGGGACGGAGGATGAGGATACGGGGGTCGAGTTGCAGGATCGGTAGATTCTTAGATGTATATCGCGTAGATACCCAGGACTTTTCTCCGCTGGATCCCTACTATTATTAATCGTTTGATTTACATGGTGTATTTCATTGCGAGCTTTAGTGCTATGTTGACTAAAGTGGCAAAGCTTGAGACTGGCCCAAGTAAACGCAGCCGGGAGCGAGGTAAGGGTACCACATCATGACCTGAGCCGTAACAGCAGCACGATCACTCCGCCAAATGCCACTCCGACTGCAGCGCCCTCAAAAGCCGCTGTGGTCACATCTAAGCGACGGAGCACAACTTGTCGCTCACTGAACAAGTCCCGTATCCATTCTTTGATACTGTCGAATGTCCACGTAGGAAACTGTGGTTGTGCGAGCAGATCCAGCTTCGAGCCGCTGGAAGACTCCATGGGTACGACTTCGAACGGTATGTCTTCCTGTAGTGGCAGCGGCGCTTCTATTGAAGGATCTGCAGCTGCTGGTATCTGTGCGTCCTCAACATTTGCTGGCACTATCTCTTCCTGGGCTTCTTGCGTCTCGGCGGAAGTCGCCCCTTGGGCCATCTGAGCCTCTGTTGGCGTTGCTCCAGCAGGTGAGCCTTCCTTTTCTAGCGCCTCCATCACTTTATCCTCGAAACCTTTCACCAGCCTCTTCCTCCTCCATGGCTCAACTCCAATCTGGAACACCAAAAACAGCAACACATTCACCCCCATCAATCCCCAAGTTCCCCAAGTACTCATCCTCCGTATCTTGTCACTCCAGATCTGCTCTTCGTGATACCTAGCCAATATGCTCGCGCTCAACTTCGCTGCTGCCTCCTCTGCCCGCCGCTCTATCGTCAACAGACTGTCTTGGGCGGCAGTTTCAGCTTGCTCGTTCGCGTGGTCTGAGCGGTAGAGCTCCGTGAAGCGCTCTAGGTCATTGGGAGTCCAGGCGTGCTTTCGCTGCAGGAGTTCGTTTACTTCGCGCTGAGAGCGGGAGCGCTGGCTTATAGCTAGAGTATAATCCTCTTTTGCCTTCTGCAAGGTTGTTCGAGTAGTTTGAACATGAATCTCTGGCAAGGGTCAGGGTCGACATCGCCGAAGACGGGTTGATGACCGACCTTGTTGCTCGATGTCCTTCTTCAGAGCCTCGATGCCCGAGTAGCCAGTCAAGTCATTAAGTCTTTGGCCAGCGATGAAGATGTTGGACTGTAGATGGTCCATCACATGGGAAAACCTCTTAGACACGTGAGACCGTCGGCCCTCCTCTTGCGAGGGTAGATCGCTTCGTGGCTTGTCTGCTACATTGCTACTACTTGTTGACAAAGCGCGGCTAGGAGGATTGAAGAATGCTGTTCTGGGTGCTCGAGTTTTGCGACATTTATCTTGCTGTGCAGTATGTATCCGTTCCGAATCCACCGCGCGTTGATTGTGATGGTAGCATCGCTGGCAAATCCATAGCCTTGAAATTAGCTGCTCCCCACGAGCAGCTCGCGGAAGACCTAACAGTTGCGGAGCATATCTTAATAGGCCTTGAATAGGTGAAGCTGTGGCTCGCCCAAAAGTTGGCCGCATTACTCTTCAGCAATGGTATAGCTTCGGAGTTTGGACCGAGGGGTGGTGTGCTGGGGCGGAGATTTCGTGTGCATGATTTTGAATGCCGGGTGCCAGAGGTGAAAAATCAGACGGCTCTGCTGGTACTGCCGTGGCGAGGCGGTAGATCTACACCTGTTCGCTTTCAGATCATGCTCTGGTTGGCAGCCAGTCAAGCCAATCTCGGCATCGATGCCGCCTCTTCGACCAGACTTCCGACAAACATATTCACGCAAGAAATAGAGCGAGCTCGGGGAACGTCCGCGGATGAGGCACTCCCAAGAGTCCCTCACGTCATAGCTAGGAGCCGCTGTTGATGATCACATGGACCCCTATCTCCTCTACGAAGTTCTTCTTTTCAACATTGTCCATTCTTCTACACAACAAGAAACAGCATCCAGCCTGTTCAGCTTCATTAAGAAACTCTTTGCAACCGACACCACTTGACCGATCGCAATGGCACCTGCAAAGCCAGACATCGTGCTCTACACATCCGGCACACCTAATGGGCAGAAAGCTAGCATTACGCTGGAAGAGCTCGGTCTACCTTACGAAGTGCAAAACATTCAGATTAGCAAGAATATCCAGAAGGAAGACTGGTACTTGAAGATCAATCCCAATGGCCGAATCCCAGCCATTGTCGATAAGACGCCTTCATCTGATGGGAAGCCGCGAGAAAAGAGAGTATTTGAATCTGGAGCACTGATGCTTTACCTTTGCGAGAGATACGACCCAGAACACAAGCTCTCGTACCCATACGATTCGGATGAATATTGGGAGGTTGTGGAATGGTTGGTCTGGATGCAAAGCGGACTCGGCCCCATGCAGGTATATTGACATGGGCCAGAACCCGACTTGAGGCTTTGATTTTGAGAGAATTAGGGTCAAGCGAACCACTTCTACCGCTATGCTCCGGAGAAGATTCAGTATGGCATCAACCGTTATCAGACTGAGACCAAGCGCTTGTACCAAGTGCTGGAAGACCGCCTCGAATACCAGTCTAAAAACGGTTCAAGTGGGCCATGGACTGTTGGTGATAAGATGACTATTGCGGATCTTGCTTCCTTTGCCTGGATCAACTGGGCTGAATGGGCAGGTGTTGAGGTAAAAGAGTTCAAACACCTCGAAGGATGGCTGGATCGGATCAATGCTAGACCAGCAATCCAAAAGGGGTTGGATGTCCCTGAGCCATTTGAAATGAAGAAGAAAATGCAAACCAAGGTCAGATGCCGCGCTTGTAGGGTAAGATAGGCACACAAAGCTGACATCAAGTGTAGGAGGGCGAGGAAGAATATCAGAAGATGCATAGCCAATGGGTCATGAAAGGGCAAGACGCCGACCAGGAAAAGCACAAATGAGTATACAACAACAATGTTTTGTCTAGAACACCGAAGAAGACAGTATGTAGAGATTTTATCTAGTGTCGACAGAATTTATTGAATCGTGAGAAACTTCGCAGACCCACGGTTGGATATCCCAGGCCTGCACAGTATGATTGGCTGTCATCCGCCGGCTTTAAGCGCCCAGCTCTAGATATCTAAAACCCGGATGTAAATTCACATCTAATGATTTAATGATTAAGGCTCTTTTGTTTCGCCCATTGTCCACTGAATTTTCTTATTCAGAACAAAGCAACTTTGTGGTAGCCGTTGTATTCATGTAACAATGGCCATTTCCCATTCCTGGCTTTGTCCAGGTTCTTCCCATTAACCCCCCAACCTCTTCTAGCCAACGTCACCACCTAATTTCCCCTTTACCACAGCAAGCTATATAGAATCACTTACCACACCCCTCGGTCACATAGTACAAGCATGGCTTTTGCCTCGGTATTTGCCAAAACCAGCGGATTGATCTCCTCCAGTCCACAACGCAGCACCTCATCCTACAGCTCAACCACACACACAGAGCTCGAACAACAATCAGAGAGCGGCTCGATGAGTCCCACAAAGCGGCGCACCGAGAAATGGCTACAGGAACACACTCCAAAGAAACATGGCAGCAGCCATGATCTACGCAAAGTGAAAGACGGCAGGATCGTCAGGGAGAATGGCCGCGATGGACGCAAGAAGCGTGCAAGCTTCTGGAACTTGGCACTTTGGTTCAGCGGTTATGGTAAGAGCCAGAGCAATGATCGCGAGGAGGATGATCTCGAAGGGGACACGATGATCGACGACGATGCGTCTACTGCCGCTCCTGGATACGACAACGATCCTACTCTGGTCGTGGATGATGACAATACAGGAATCAAAGGTGATGAGACCGCGCATGCTCTACAAAAATACAACGACCGCTATCTCGACTACGATGATCCACGTATTCAAGACTGGACGGAGGAAGAGAGATGGCTCTTCGCCAAGCTCACAAATCGCGGCTACGAGCCTTTGCTCCATGACACCTGGATCTTAGACTACCCAACCTTTCCGGATCCGCTCTTCACAAACGACGAGAACCAGGTCTACATCAATAATATTCATAGCTCAATCGGCAGAGGTACGCATTATCCGTCCGCTTCATCACGTTTGTATTGTAGCTAACGTTTGATCTTCACAGCCTGCCGCTCCCTTACCGACCTCATCTTGGCCGGCTCCCGCGTTCGCGACCAGATCCTCAGCCAGGCAGCAACCGAGAAGCCGCTCTTCCATGCGATCAACAAGTATTACAAATGGTCGATCGCGGACGGCAAGGTGCAACACAAAGACCATATCCCGGTCATCGCCATCGCCTCAGCCAAAGGCCAAGAAACAGTCGAAAGCGTCGTCGGTCGAATCACCGATCAGCTCCACTCCCTCGGCCGCCAGTACCGCGACAAATGGCGACACCCGAGTTCGCACGAAAGCGATGAGCATCAAGAGTTCACTCATGAGCTGCCGACCTTGACTGGATTCGTGATCAAGTATAGCATTGTGGCCATCGTGACTTGTGACATTCGCGTGGCCGGCAATCCGATCAGGACGTTGGGGACGTTCGATTTCAAAGTGATAGGGCAGGACGTGTGGCACGCGCTCGCGATCTCGATCGCGATGATCCGGGGCCGGAACTATCTGATGCAGTTGGACGAGGAAGGCGAGTTGGGGCCGGAGGTCATCGATTATGGCTCCGATCCAGATGCCTGATTTCGTCGAAAGGGGAATCACGGCTCACCCTATAAGTCAGGTCTGTAGTGAGGGCAGAACGGCAGGAATCAGTCGCATTGCATAGTGTTCAGAAGCGGAGGAGTAGGAGTTTTGAGGGCTTCTTCGATACCCGAGATACCCCATGTTGCATACATCATAGCGAATCTTCTTTCCTCGGAGTATGTACATCCAATTGTAAGCTCATGTGGCTTCAATGATCACTGATTCCTAATCTTGATCACCCAGCATCAAAGCATGGCTAATTCCATTGACACTGACGCTGTTCGCGCAGACCACTCATGTCTCTCAGATCGTGGGGTTGCTCATCCTCATCCTTATCCATGATGCCATCCCTCTGAATCAAATCTCGAGCGATTCATCTCCATGCCAACGTCCCACCCCTTTATCCGCAACTGAAGGCGCTGCTGATCACCAGCCAGTACGGAAGGAGAGAAGATCCTTCAATGTTGCCGTCTTAGCCTGCTGGAAAGGAATAATTTGCGGCCCTAGGCTGCAGAGTCTTCGGAGGCAATGTCACTGAGATCTAAGGTTACCCTAATCTGCAAGGAGTATCCACGACGCAGGGGGCCAAACAAGAGGTCGAGCCATGAGCTTGCGTCAGGCATCCTGCCAGATATGATTGTGGGTGTTTCGGTACGAGTCCCGGAAAGGTCGAGACTGGAAGAGACGAGGATTAGATTTCTTTTGGCTCAAGGCTCCGTCTGAGCTGGATATATGTCATAACAGCGGAAGCTTTCAGCTTGAAAACCATCACCTGTGTCATACAGACAAACCCGGCGCTTGAGACTGCAATATCATCTGGCAGCTTGCCGGGCGTGCTGCCACATTTACCGGGGCTCCACTTAGATATTTTCCTTAGCAACGCTGACGTTGACTCTGTCAAGATCAGTTTCGCTACAGCTCGATACGTCACAGCCTTGCTTTTGTCTGCATTTCTTTCCGTCTCCGCTTCTTTGGACTTCTCAAGGCATCCACAGCGGCGTTACCTGGAGCAGCTGCGCTTTCGAACAACTGCCGGCCAACTTTGTCCGCCAACACCAGTACTCTTGTGCTGACTGTAGCACCATCACGACGGTTCTTGCCTTCTCTCCGTGAATTCGCTATAGTCTCGATGAAGGACCAAAGGTTGCCTTCCGGAATAATATTTCCCGTCGCCGGGTCTCTTTTAGGTGTCCATCCCTCAGCCAGCTTGATCGTTGAGGGAACCTTTTTATCTTTACTTTTGTGCAAATTGACGATGCCTTCGTCTTCAAAAAGTTGAAATGCGTTCTTCAGTGTTTCTTTGTTGACGGCCTCGAAATACGAAAGATCGCCTTGGTGATAGAGCGTCTTGCCCAGCAGCTGCGCAGCGTCTTGAGTTTTTGCGACGTCAAGCCACACTTCATCCTTCTGCTCCAATGGCGGCGTCAAGCCCATGAGTGCCACAGCGCCTAGCCATGTCGATTCGATAAAAGGCCAGATTAGGAAACAGTAAAAGTCGAAATTTTCTCGCCCATTCTTTCTCTCTGTATCGCTCAAGCCTGCCGAGAGCGCCTTTCCTGCAGGATCGCGAGAGACCGTGATAACACCGTCTCTTTCCAGACCCCGTAGAGTGGCATTGAGATTAGCGAGAAGGCCTGCTGTAGGGTAGATAAATTCGCCGCGGAAAAGCTACGATAGTCATCAGCCAGTAGATCAACGTTGATTTGAAACATCTTACCTGAGAGAGGAAGTACACCTGGTCATGTAGACGATCAAACGATATTCTTTGATTGTCAGGCCCTCCGCCTTGTTTAACACGCGTGTACATGGCTGCAGACACGAGTGCTTCTGTGATGAAAAGATGAATCGTCATGTTGCGGTAGAAAGACAACTGGAACCTGTCGACGGCGTAATATGTAGTCTCTGGTAAGCCATCTACGACACCCACCAGACCAGATCCCAAAACTTCAAGGCCCCGATCCACAACTACCTCTGTAGGAGCGCCGGCGAAGTGTGCCACTCGACCTCCTTTATTTTTGACCCGCTCGCTCAGCCATTCGACTCGTCGTATCAGCTCGGATTTGCCGACTCCCCGTCCGCGTAGAGTGAGCAACACGGTACCGATCAGGGCTGTAGGCATCACAACGGAAACAGCATTGATATCCGACAGCACTTTGAAGCCCAACGTTCTGAGAAGACGCCCCCGGTTCTCGGAGGTTTGCAAATTGGTCCGACCCTCCGTTGCGAGCGACTGGTCTTTCCGAGTTTGTTGGCCATTGATGAAGTCCCGAAGACTCCAGGGTTCATGAAAACGGACGTCGACTCTCCCAAGTTTCAGAGAAAGTACAGAAGAGGCGGAGAGGAAGTCTTGTAGGTTCTCCTTTGGCTTCGGCTGACCGAGTAGCTCACTAATATATGACTCTGTCTCGATTACCTTATCGTACTGAGTGCTCACGGGACAGATAATTGCATCATCTACGCGGCCAGACAGGACGCTGTCTAGAAGGAAGCTCAATATTCCAAATTTGGGGGACAGAAGCTTGCCAGTCCTCGATCGACCGCCTTCAATGAAGCATTCAAAGTTGAAGCCGTTCTGCAGTAGTGTGTCAATGTACGATTGAACGAGCGTCGTGTACAAAGCATCATCTCCAAAACTTCTTCTGATCCACATAGCTCCAGCATGCTGAAGAAATGAGCCTATTACTGGGAAATTGAGGTTATCACCCGCAACGACAGTAGGTAAAGCGATCCCTAACCGATAGCAGATGAGTTGTAGCGAAACGTAGTCAACATGGGATCGGTGACAGGGGAGGAAGACGATTGAGTGCTTTTTCTTGGCTGCTTGTTCGGCAACAGCTCGTAGCCGAAGCACTTCTTCGCTCGAGACATGGATGCCTTGGTGGTACGCACGGGTCAGAAGCTGCGTGCACAGGTAGTAGGCCCCTCTGATAAACCTTTTGCTCTCCATCTTGCAGATCATGCCATCCGTCAATTCTAGTGCAACTTCCTGCAGACTTGCTTCAATCTCGGTTTTTCTCCGGACTTTGTTCTGGAATATGTCTTTCTCATCACCAAGTAGACCCCATTGTTCCTCGACTTCCACCCTTCGTTGCGCCAAGTCTTCGATTCTTCGTCTGAGCATCGGTGTCTTCATAACGGCCGCTTTCATGTTTTCGGAGAAGCCGCTGTAGAAGATCGGCTGACCTAGGACCTCGTCATAGGCTCTCCATCCCGTTCCAGACACGTGTAGGCTGACCTCCCGAAGGAAGTCCAGAGGCGACTCGCGGAACCGAGCCATATGTTCGACGAGGTTTCTTTCATGACCTTCATCTTGACTAGCAGGAGGCTCGACATAGCCAGTTGGATGTATGGTGACTTGATCCCCAAGAATATCGAGATCAGGAGCTGAAGCCGGAGAGCTTTCAGTCTTTGGGGGAGGCATGACTGTGGGTCGACCTCAGGGTATCAGGAGGCCAATCTATGTTGAGTACCAGTGATAACGCCCGTTAGGCATGAAGCCATAAGGTGACAGCTCATGTCATAAGGTAATGGTCACAATTTAACGGTGCACGCCGTTTGTTTTAGCCGCCTAGCCCCACGCTTCCAGGCCCCCACGTGCCGGAGCGGGGGGCTGCTGTAGCGCCCGACGGCGGGACCCCGCATAAAATCTCATTCCACAACGGCACAACCTTACAACAATTCTCGCTCGTCAAACTTGGCGAGGCCGTCTACAATGCCTTCGGTGGCTCAAGCACTCGGGCCTCTGAGCACTCAAGCTATCATCATAGACCAGTGAGTTGATGCGCTGCCTCCAATTGCGCTATTCTAATTGTTGACAGCTCCTCAACCTCCCCGGGCCACCTGTTCCTCTCCCGCCCAATCTTCGCTCCTTTGCTCTTCCCCAACGAATCTTCCGACGCCCGCGACCACTGTGCCAACGAAAGGACTTTCCTCTCATGGCTTCGACTGAGCATCTACATGTCCGTCGTCAGCGTGGCCATTGTCATATCTTTCCATCTTAAATCTCAGCCCACCAGCATTGAGAAACGGATAGCATTGCCCGTAGGACTGATTTTCTGGTTCCTGAGTGTCGCTTGCCTGGCTAGTGGGTTTGCGAATTATGTCAAGACTGTTACGAAATATTCGCGGAGACAAGCGTTGGTACAGAGTGGGTGGAAGACACAAGTCGTGAGTATACTCCTCGGATCCGGGCAGAAGAAACCCACGTGTTGATCGTTTTCGCGGCTGATGGTCAACCTACAGGTCTTCACCATCGTATCATGCGCAATAGTAGCAGCTTGTGTACTGTTCCTATCTACTAACGCTGCGTCAAGCCGATGAGTTCCAGGTCAACAGGAGAAGAGAATGTCGATGGCCAGATGATGTGTCATTCTACCATTTCCTGGCGGGGCTTTCCCTCAAGGGTATTCCAAGGAAAGGAATGCATACCTCATCAGGGTGTGGGATAGTGTTCCAGCTACAGAATTTGCCAAAGAGCAACTCCGTTACGTGAAGCAAAAGCCGCTCTCACCCAATTGCCAGATCCGATGTCCATCTCTTGCATAAAGATCCAGACCATTTCAAAGACTACTCTCTTTCCCAAGGTCAAGGGCAGCGAAGGATAAGCCAACACATAAGACAAGACCGTTACCCAGTGACATGGAAATACCCCTGGTCCATAGCTCAAGAATTTGTCGTATGGCAAGTCCGGTTCCCCTCTCACATCTCGACCAAGGACATCACAGAAACCTTGCTCGCCTGCTGTAGCACAAATCGCAAACTTACCTCATTGTTTCATCGCATCAACATCTTCCACATTTCAACTTTATCATATGGCCTGCCTCGCATGCTTCAGGATCAAAAACTATGATCACATTTGCGGCATCTGATCATCGGCGACTCAAGCGCCGTAGCACGCACCAGCCTAGTGGACGCGGATATGGGAAATTTTCATGGGGAGATCGCAGAGCTATGTCCGGCGCCGAAAACTTTCGAGGTGCAGTCTCCGGATCTTGTTAAACGCATCTTGTCCCTGCGACGCTAAACTTTCGAGGTGCAGTCTCCGGATCTTGTTAAACGCATCTCGTCCCTGCGACGCTACGATATCATTGCGACATCTGGTTGACGCCTTTGAAGGTCAAACTCCTAATGTTGGTACTGTTGAGCGGAATGGATATCATGGTCTCCATCCTCATTGTTGGGCATTTCCGTTGCATACTAGAACGCAGCAGATTTCATGCGTAGACGCAACCAACCTTGAGTGTTTGAAATTTCAATAGACCTGCCGGAGAGAATCCTTATACTGCTGCAAATCACCGGTGCTGAAAGCAGTTAGTGAAATACCGACTCGGGTTCTATTTTTGTATCACAGGCTTTGAGACTGTAACATCTCAGTTTTGGAAGCGTAAGCAGGTGTGGATGGGTATCATCTTTGAGCATTCGGACAATCTTATACAGTCGTTATGCCTATGAATATCAGACCAAGCATGTACCTTCAGAATTCGACCTGTTACTCTCCTACAAATAAGGCTTGAGCAATGACAGACGGGTATGATCTTCGGTCTTCAAGCCCACATTGTACGAAAATCTCTTCTCGAGGCTTTGTCAATTCAAACATAGGATTTGGGGAACCAAGCTGGGATCTTGTTGTTTTGGAAGCCTGAGTAATGCTAGATGAACGCAATAGATGGGGAATGAGTATGCATTATATTTCGAGCTGGGCTCCAGATGTCTTTCCGGATGTTGCCAAGAACGCTTACCAGTAATTGCTGGCTGTCTTTAAGGATATCTAGGGACATGGGACTACCCCAGGCATGTTGCGTAAGGATGATGAGCAGACTCAGCTCAATACACTCGGACTCAAATCATACAAGATTAGAAACATTGCTTCCGGAAAAATTGTGTTCAGATCATACGAGTAACATGGAGTTCTAGTAGCTGAATGATCTAGAGGAAATTGTCTCTTAGTATATAGTCCCAATCGGTGAGAACTCGTGCCTAGATATCTGCTTGTCCTTAACGCAACCCGAGCAAGGTCCACCTCGAAGCCCGAGAGAAGCCCTAATCTAATCGGTCGGCTGTCGGGGATCGGCCAGATCGGTCCTCGGTCATCTTTTTGTTGTATTCCATCCCCCCCCCCCAAACCGCATTGAAAACTTTCTACATCCACAAAGTTGATGCTATAGCGCTCAAAAAATTGATAGACATCCATTCCAACATGGGCAGCACTACAACCGAAACACAAACAATCACCGCAGAGAACGTCATACGACTGTTTCCCGACGTCGACACTCACTTAGCTACCTCGCATAGAGTACCCACAAGTGACGCTGACTTGCAAGGCTACGATGAGGAACAGATTCGCTTGATGGAGGAGGTCTGCATTGTCCTCGATGAGAACGATGTGCCCATAGGAAGCGCGAGCAAGAAAGTCTGTACGTTCAACGTGTATCCCTTCTCGCCAGCACCATTGCTGACTGGTGATTAGGCCATCTCATGACGAACATCAATGAAGGCCTACTACACCGAGCTTTCTCCGTCTTCCTCTTCGACTCGAAAAATCGACTGCTGCTACAACAGAGAGCTTCCGAGAAGATTACATTCCCAGACATGTGGACCAACACATGCTGCTCGCATCCATTGGGAGTACCTGGAGAGACGGGAGACGAGCTAGAGGCGGCCGTGCAAGGTGTTCGAAGGGCGGCGCAGAGGAAATTAGACCAAGAGCTTGGTATTGGGGTGAAGGGAGTGCCACTGGACAAATTCCGGTTCTTGACGAGGATACACTACAAAGCGCCGAGTGATGGCAAATGGGGAGAGCACGAGAGTCAGTCTTTCCTGTTGACTCCGACGACCCCAGGAGCGCACTAATAGCCCCGAATCTAGTTGATTATATCCTGTTCATCAAGGCCGATGTTGACCACACGCCGAACCCCAATGAAGTGAAAGATACTCGATACGTCTCGGAGGCGGAACTAAAAGCGATGTTCAAGAACGACAGTCTGAAATTTACGCCATGGTTCAAGCTGATTTGCGAGTCAATGCTCTTTGAGTGGTGGGAACATTTGGATCAAGGCTTGGAAAAATACACTGGAGAGAGTCAAATCCGACGCATGCTGTAATTGAAAGCGTCGGACGTGCTAAAAGGAGGGCATGATGTCATGATCCTTTCAACGCGAACTGCAGGCTTCTTATCATATGCCATACCCAGTCTGAGTGGAGATGTAAAGGCAGATGAATGTAGAAGGATGCTTACGGACCTGGTGGAACTACGGGAGTAACCAAGAGCAGCCATACTCGATGTAGCAGGTACAAGCGATCCATCCAACATTAACCTTAGGGACCTTACTGCAGATCTTTCGTTGAGCTTCTTAAGGTAACGGCTCAAGGGCATGCAATTGATAGGCACAATGGCCTAGAAAGAATCTCTTCTATTGATTTGAAAACATCTACAAGATATCCTGTAGAATTACACACCTCTTGCATGCTGCAATTTTAGAAAGGAACCCGGCGGGGATAGCTGCCTTATCAGTGAATTGATGCTGGCCAATGCCAGTGACCCAAGTATCTGACATATGCAGGAGTCGCGACCCAGACTCTAAGATGGGCAAGTCTAGAGAGTCTAGAGGCTTTCCCGCACTACGGAAAGGGCATCGCTTCGATCCGACAGGTCACTTGCTTTTTCATCCAATCACTTCAGTCAGTGAATGCATCTCCATCACAAGACCTTTAAATTCTCCCAAGTCTTCTTGTCACTCTTCCGCATTTTCCTCCTTCTCTTCTTACCAACCTTCAAATACCCTGTTTTACAGTGCTGGTCTTCCATCTCAAACTGAATTTGGGCAAGGTCTGAACTGCAACAGTGTCGACCAATCTCGAGGTTACACAAGCTTTACTTACAACTTATCAAAACCAATTATCACTTTACCCTCATTTTCGCTTACTTGAGACGTCCCGAGCAAAGTCCGGGATTCCCTTGACCAGAAAATACTATCATCTTCTTCGGATTGAAAAGCTTCAACATCTGCGTTGATGTCGGTTGATATACGCCAATCTCTTACCTGCTTGCGTTATCCGTCTCGTTTCGAGACGGTGTCGAGAACGCAGTTGTCGAAAGAACATAGTGGTGATTTAACAAGACCTATTGATCGTCATTGAACGGTAGAGTGGAAGGAAGGTAAGCTCGAAATCTCGACATAGGCCTCATATGTACAAGTGCACCATTGCTGACCCTTGCCAGGCGGATGAATCAGTCTACTCAGCAAACCAACAACATTTCAGCCATCTCACCCAACAGAGAAAGCTGCTCCACCGCCAGAAACCATGGAGAAGAAATCTAATCCAGCCGTCACAGTCGAGTCCCTCCCTAGCATCTCGCAAGCCTCCAGCTCCAGCTCCAGCGCTGCTGCCGCTTCAGCCGCCAACCACCAAGTCCGCGTCCTCCACAAAAGCGAGTACAAGGAGGCCGCCCTTTGCCTCGCCGAAGCCTTTAAAGACGACGATGTCGTCATGTACTTTGTCAAAACGGGCGACCGCAAGAACTTCACCGCGGCCGATGAGTGGAAGTTGCATCTCCACATTATGGAATGCATTACCTATGCGCACATCATAAGTGGATTGGCTACCGTCGTTGGCCCAAACTACGACTGTGTGGCTCTCTGGTGCGTCTGACCATCATCCCCGCGCCAAACCCTATGGACTCGGAATACACAAGTAAGTCAGAAAGTAAACAAGCGACTAACCCAAGCCTCGAGGAACAGGATGCCCCCGAACAAAAACATGGACGACTTCTGCACCATGCTCTGGAGCGGCATGTTCGGCCTCAACTGGAAACTGTCCAAGGAAGGCAAGAAGCGCTTCTTCGACGAGTTCCTCCCCCTGCTGCACGACACCAAACATCACGTCCTAGGCAACGAGGACGAAAACTCCTGGTACCTCGTCTACATCGGCACGAAACCGGGGTCCAGGGGCAAAGGGTACGCCAAGTGTCTGATCGAGCATACCACCAAGCAGGTAAGTCCAATCCAATCCCAACCCGCTCACATACGCAATGTTTTCTTTTCCGTCCGGTTTTTTTTGGAAAAAAAGAAAGGCTGGGAATCCGGTTATTGACGCGGGGAGAACCTAGGCCGACGTCGAGAACCGCACCAGCTACCTCGAATGCAGCAACGTCCTCAACCTGAACCTCTACGGCCGCCTCGGCTTCCGCACCGTCCAGCAGATCCGGCTCCTGCGCGGCGGGAAGCCCATCGAGATGGACGTCATGACCAGAGTGCCGGTCGCGCGGCAGCTCGTGGGGAAGACGGCCGGGTTCGCGGGGCGTGAGGGGGGGAAGTGAGATCGTGGCGGAAAAGGGGAAGGGGGGGGGGGAAAGGTTTCATTGGTAACATGTTTTTGATTTTGCGGGGAGGTGAGGAGATTGAAGGGAAATAAATTGGGAAATGATGGAGGATGTGGTGGCAGATTGATGATGATGATGACAGAATGCGCTCCTAAGTACACATTTGCATGCTAAGCAATGACGATATCACGAATCCATGCTCTCTGATTTTGCCACATTCTCATGCCGCTTGCCCAAACTGCAAATGTTAGAGATTCCACACCGTGCTCGCAAAGTCCAACGCGAACGACCTAACACCGTTCAAAGACCCTATAAAGCCCCTTCAGATCCGCCACCTCCACCACACCCTTGAGCAGACCCTCGGTGGCGACCAACCTCGCCCTGAAGGCCGGGAACAGGACGTGCTCGAGCGCTCTGCCCATGTCTTCCCTGCGTGCTTCAAGGCCAGCCTTCAGCTCGTCCGTCCCGTCCGCTCCTCCCGTCCGGGTATCGTCGCCCGCCACCGCTCCGGTGGGCAGCTGCTCCGGCGTATAAAAGCTCGCCAACTCCCTCAAGAAGGTATGGAAGCAGCTCTCCTCGTCCACCCAGTTGACGCACGGGCCCAAGCGCATCAGGAAACGGGGAAGCTTGGCTAGACTGGGGGTGTAGCCCTTCGTCAGAAGCGGGAGACTGACGAGTTCGCCCGCGGGAGAGACTTCCAAGGTGAAGTACTGTGATAGCATTTCTCTACTAGCGATGAGCTGGGTCGCGACCATATCTGGGACGGTATCCCAGGGCACGCCTTCGTCTTCTGGATTTCCAAGTGCCTTTTCGTGCTTGACGCCGATGTGGATTAAGGATCTGATGTCCAGCGGGGTTTCAAACTTGATGGCACCGAAGTTTCCGAAGTCGGTGAGGCCCAGCTGGTAGAAGTACTCATTCGAAACCATGCCGTAGTCGACGAGGTATAGCTTGACGCCGCCTTGAATCGCGACTATTCGACGATTGAAATCCACGACGCCGACGTAGGTGTGAGATGCGAATACAGCTGTCAGTCCAGCATGCATGGAATCACGGACCGATGCTCGGAGGTGCTTGATCGTTCTATAGTTGTACTCTGTGGGTTCTCTGGCCGAGGTGAGGTAGGTAGTCGATGGAGGAGCAGGTGTGGACGCATTGTTATTCGAAGGTGGGAGCATGGAAGTTATTTTGCGTAGCTGAGGGTCGGTGCGAACAAGTTGGTACTCCCATGGCTTGGCCGGAGTGGCGGATGATTGTTTCTGGCTCGACTTTGGGGTTTCTGCCCGGGTCTTGGAGAGGGTTGGGACAGGTGTTTTGGCGCTGGGGAGGAGGGACTGAGTCGTGAAAGTTCTGCTTGTGTCGACCTGTGATAGCTTGGTAGATATCTCTGCGCAGATGCTTTCGATAATCTCTTCTTCATTGAGAAAATTGACTTCGCGCTTGGTAGGATGTACATTAACGTCGACTCGTGAAGGATCGATGTCCAGGCTGAGATAGATGAACGGGTGACCACCCTTAGGTAGATAGGCCGAGTAAGTCTGCTCTATAGCCTTTTTGATCGCCGAGGATTCCACAGAACGATGATTGATGAAGAGGAGAAGTGTTGTCTTCTTGATGTGGTAGTTGGCATTACTCGTCCAGCCAGAAGCCTTGAAAGCCCATTTTCCATCACTGATTTGAAAATCAATCAGCTCGTTGGCAACAGTAGTTCCATGGATTTGGCGAATGCTGTCAACAGTGCTAGCGTTCGAGGGCGTGGATATGCCCATAGCAGATTCTCCATGCTTCTTGCATGAAAATGCGACCCCTGTACAATGTACGGCATAACGACCTACAATTTCAAGGATCTTGGCGTATTCCTCGCTAGGGGAGCGAAAAGCTTTTCGACGAGAAGCCATGTTGTAAAAGAGATCCTCGACCTGTCATAATAAGAATTGATCACGAGGAGTGTTGAGACCTACCTACCGTAATCTGTGTACCACCGCGACCTGCAGTGGGCTTCGGCTCTGTGCCTTGACCAGGCTTTGCAGGTGTCAGTCTACCGTCAGCATAGTGGGCGCGCCAAGCGCAGCTTGAGTCTGCGGTTTTGGTGGTAACTGTGAGATGAGCAATATGGCTGATGCTAGCCAAGGCCTCTCCCCTGAAGCCATACGTGCCTATTGAGGATAGATCCTCAAAGGTCTTGAGCTTGGACGTTGTAAACCTTTCGCAAAGAATAGGTAGGTCATCTTTCTGATCCGGGTGTCAGCAAATACCTGGGCGCCCATGATCTGTATGGCACAGAGACGGACATTGATGCCGCGGCCGTTATCGGTGATCTGAAGCAACTTCAGCCCTCCATCCTTGACGACAATCTCGAGAGAAGTGGAGCCAGCATCCACTGCGTTTTCAATCAATTCCTTCAAAGCATGAACGGGAGCGACTATAATCTCGCCGGCAGCAATTTTGTTGACAACATCTTGATCAAGAGCCTGGATAAGCGCATCAGCTGCGGCTCTGCCCTTAACTCTTATCTGACATGCTACCTTGATCCTTTTGGGAGCCTGAGAAGCTAGATTGGACTCTTCCGCTTTCCTCTTAGTTCCCCGATGAGTGGCTTCGTCATGAAGAACTGCTTCTTGCATTTTCGAAAGATGCCCTGAGACAATGCGAAAGAATTCTGGTAGACAGTACTAAAAGAAGAGAGAGGTTGAGACTTTTCGCTGTTCGGTCCCTCGGTCCGCTTCCCATTCGACTCCAGTGCCCATGGAACCAACCCTTGCCACAATAACCACTCCGCCCATAAAATTATATCGTAAAACATGCAAAGTCCCTCAGCTCACTCCTTCCAAAGAAGAGTACAAATGGTACTTGAACGCCAGGAAAGCTTCAGGAACGAGAGGAACACCAGGCCAACCAGTAGCCAGTGAATTCAGAAAGGATCGAAGCTAGAGTAATCGGGAGGCGGCTCGTGCCGCAGCGCGAACCATAAATAGATGCCCTACCAGGTATCTAATAGGCACCTCGACCGCCAATACCTGCTGATAGCTACCCTGGATATTATTCGTACACGAGTACTGATGAAAAGTTGCGGCATACATCAGATCTGACCTCTTTCTTCCCTCAATGGACTCACGTTCAGCCATAATCAATTGATTGACGATGCGCTCGTGCTATCCCTCAAGCTTCGGGTAGCCGACAAGCAGATGTCTTGGCTTGGGCGAATGTTCACGGGTGACGAAGAGCTTGGAAAGAAAGACGATGACCATAGACCGCACACCAACAATGCTCCATCATCAACATCATCATCATCATGGTCTGCCCGAAAGACTTCGCCGGTATTCCGAAGGAGGAGGATCATTTACGGCATCTGCGCTCTCCTCTTTATCTATGTCTTCGTCAAAAACATTCCAGACGATCTGGGGCCAAGTACACGAGATTTCAATCCCGGGGCCATTCACGTTGGCAAGCTCCCTGAAGGAACGGTAGACCCACCAGCCAAAAAGCCAAAACGTCCTGCAACACCATCCGAGGCAGAGGAACATTATCACGATGGACCCATCAAATTCTACAAGCTGGCTTCATCGCTGCATTCCGTTGCGCGACTAGGCGGTCAACATGAATTCAACAAAAATGTTTTATTCGCTGCGGCGAGCTTGAAAAGCGCTTCCGAGATCATACCACTGGCCTGCGAGATGGCTCGATGGGAGAGGAATGACGTCCACTTCGCCATCATGGGCAGAGATGACATGGAGATACAGGAGATCAAGAGCCTCAACGGGGCTGTCGATGATTGCAATGTTCATTGGCATGGTAGGAAGTGTAACCAGTTTCGACCCATCAATTACTGATCTGGGATTGCAGACGCTCGTCCGGATTACTCTCGTTGGAGTTCAGAATTTCGTATGGAGGTTAGCGTGGAAGCGAGTATGGAACATATTCAGACCTTCGTACACCCTCAGGTTATCGTTATCGACAATCCAAGCAGGGAAGATACTTTCTTCATAACGACGTTGAGGAGCAAGGCGATGGATATCGGCAAGTCAATTATAGAACTGCCATCGGACGCAACGGAGAATATGATGTGGATTACACGGCTTGATAGCGGATCACTTGCAGGTTTGTTCTACTACTCTCAATACGTGTTCGGTCATTGACGACCTCTAGCGTGGTCCACGACCTACATCGACTTGCTCATCCAGGCACCATCAGGCTCGTCGGGATCCCTTGTCCGCCTCCTGAAATCTATCGAAAGCGCAGACTATCTTGGCACGCGACGGCCGCATTTGACTATCGAGCTTCCTGCGGAGATTGACGCTGCCACTTGGAGATATCTCGAGAACTTTGTATGGCCACCGGTGGACTCTTCAGGAGCATCGCACGCTTCACAAGTTTCACTTCGACACCGTATACCTCGTCGGACTTTGACAGAATATGAGGCTTCTGCACGTCTGATTGAGTCATTCTATCCAGTGAGGACGAAAGATTCCCATGTCCTGTTACTGTCTCCTCAAATCGAGCTTTCGCCCTTGTATTACCATTATCTAATATACCATCTACTTGAGTACAAATACTCCGCCCATGGTAAGGAAACCAAGAATTCTCCACACCTCATGGGTATCAGCCTCGAACTCCCCACGCACTTTCTCAACGACAGTGAACCGCTCGTACCGCCCCTAATGGAAAAACCGCCGTCCAATCGCGAAGGTGGCTCACCTGGGGAACCTACACCATTCCTCTGGCAAGCTCCCAACAGTAATGCTGCTCTCTATTTTGGCGACAAGTGGATGGAATTTCACTCTTTCCTCACCGCCCGCCTCTCCAAGCCACCTACAACCCGTACGAAATTGGTCAGCAAGAAGCATCCGTCCTGGCTAGAGTTTCTCCTCGAGTTGATGTGTGCACGCCGTTACTCACTCCTCTACCCCACCATCTCTATCGACGGCGAAGCAATTGCCACCGTTCACGATGAACTCTACCAAGTCCCCGAAGAATTCCCCAGAGAACCTTCTACTCCCGCCTCCGTACCCGAGCTCAATCCCGACGAACCTCTATCTTTGGTCTACGAAAAAAAGGACCGTCCCCCACCCAACACTGAACATTCTCTCTCCTCATCTACCCTGCTCTCAATCCTCCCAAATTCCGGCGATCTCCCTGAAATCCCCAACCTGCCCCTTCTGGCTTTCGACGGCCTGACTCTTACCCAGAAGCAGGCCAATGACGACGCGTGGACGTTCACGGAGGCGTATCGCCGCGACATCGGCGGCTGTAAAGTTGAGGCAGAAATCACGAAACGCGAGCCTAACAGCGCGCTCGACCTTTTCTGTCACCTTGAACAAGTGTACGATCCCATGAACGTCGGAGTGCAACCTCCTAAGAAAACCAATCGTGGAGGTGCTCAGAGAAAGCCTGAGGCAGATGAGGATATCATACCGGCAGAACAGAAGGAAAGTGCGAAAATGGAAGCCTCTGAGCACTTGGCACGACAGGCTGGCAAAGACACAGCCAGCCGGCCCAAAATCAAGGGTGACGACGGCGAAGAGACGCAGAATGAGTTTCACGCTCAGATGGAAAGGCAGAAAAAGCAAGCTGAGCCTGGAGAGGAGAAGATCGCAGAGGATGATGGCAAAGAAGAGGGAGCTGAGGTCAAGAAGCAGGAGCCGAAGAAACCAGCGGAAGATCCGACACCGAAGACCGCGCCAGAGAAGGGGCCCGGTTGGTAAAGACGGAAGCTGTTGGAGGTTCCTCGTGTATAAGTGGCTTGCCGATTTTTTTTTTGGGTCAGTCGCCTCGGTATAGATATCCAATTTTAGTGCCGCACTTTAGCCAGTATGATGACTTACGTTCCTTCCATGATTTCGTGATCGACGAGTACGATCCATCCTGCAGTTGGGAAGGCAAGTGTAGCACCAGGAAATAGTTCGTCCAATTCTTCAGCTAACGTACATGCACAAAGCCGCCAATGGTACAGCGATGCTTCTATAGGTATCACCTTTCATGCCATCCGTTCCAGGGACATACATGTTGCGAACGCCAGTGCAATGCCATAAGAGAGAACACGAGCTCGCTCGCTATCGTACCGCTATGAAGATGCGCCAAGGAATCTAGTAGTACAATGCAACAATGGCGAAAACACCCTGAATGCGGGGGACACATCATCATTCGTGGAGCATACGCATCTCAAAAAGTATCAGCGGGCCTTGATCCCTGATTCTGCAGATAAGCCTCGGGCACTTTGGGTACCCTCGGACTTCCGGGTCCCTGCTGCTGACCCCTGGATTGCGCCCTCAACAGCCCGCGTTGTCTGTAGTCTTTGCCTTCCAGCCCCGGCGCCATTTTCCGGATTGTCGACACGGCGCTGCTAAGGGAGGTGCTTCCTAAAAGCTTGGAGCCATGGCCCGTGGAGCGCTCGTCTTCGGAGAAAGTTTCGTCGCCCTCGTCATCGGAGAAGAGTTCGCTGGCGTTGTTAGATCTGGTCGCCAGGTTGTTGGCTGGAGACGTGACAGAGCGGGAGTGGAGGGTCGGGCGCGTCGGAGGTGGAGCAGCCGTATGCGACATTGTGGTGGATGGCGAAGTGAAGGCTGTGGGTGTCATGATGCCAGGGTCTCTGTTACTTGAGGTCATCCGTGGGTCGGTGAAGCCGTTGTTGAACGATATGACGGAGGCGGTGCGGGCAAGAGATTTGTGAAGGATGGGCGCTGTCTGTTGATCATATATATCGGCGCCATTGTCTAAATCATGATTGTAAGGAGTGACCGTGAGAGTTGAATAGCGATTTGATGCATCATTCTCTACGTCTAGAGAGTCTTCGAAGAAGTCATCGAGGCTGTTGAGCTTAGTGAGGAGGTCGCCCATGCCGCCTTCCATACTAGTATCCGTGTAGGCGTAGGTGTCCTCGGAAACGAGGGTATCGGAACGCTCGAGCGGGAAGTATGAGCCAGGGTTTTCATCATCGGCATGGAATTCGACTTCTGGTGTTGGTATGGCCTCAGCTTGGGTAGAGTCGCTCTGGATGCAGGCAAGGTACACGGCCTGCATGTTTCCTCTTGTATTATTCGAGTGGATGGCCGGGGTTGGTATTGACCACCCCGTTTCCTCTGGAATGCCATACAGACTCTGAGTTTTGTCGTATTCTTTGCGTGTAGTACGGGAGCCCGAGCTAATGAGACTCATCCGCAAATGATGTTTCGACATCGGCGTCTCAGACATAGTCATGATATGGTCCATGACTTCCAATGCTTGTGGGCAATACTGCGTCTGAAGAAGTCGGAGCAAGGGCGAGATCAGGTCCGGGCCATGACTCGCAATCTCTGTCCGACGCGTGTCGACGTTTTGAATAACTGCCAAGAGAACTTCCAAAGTCCTAACTTTGTACCAATGAAGCCGATTAGTGAGGAGCCCGATCAAAAATATCAAGGTCTTGAGCTCCCAGGTTGGGAAAAAGGTCTTTCGAAGCGCGGATAGTATTTGCGTGAGGAAATCGCCGCTTGTCTTGAACCGACTATTTGAAAAAGTATTGAGAACCATCGCGATCTCCTGATTTCCCTGATACTCCGCCACCGATGCCAGTATCTGTGCACTCTGTATGCATTCAAGTCTCTTGTTCGGATCATCGAAAGAATGCAAGAACCGCGGTAGGTTGGCC